CTCCTCACTTGAAGATCATTTAAATGTTAGGCCAATGGATAACAATTTTGTAACCTAACAGAGTTGCTGTTTGCCGATCAAATGTTACTTGCTAGTCATCTTCGCGTGAAACATTCCGTATTCCCTCAAATCTTTATTTTTCATCTACAGACCAAAGATTCGAACCATGATCTTCCGCAGATCGAAGAGCCATAATTTCAAACTCACAAGTTCATTCAAATTCACTCAATTTTTCAACCTCTAAATGACCTTTGAAGATCATTTTCTGAGAGTGCTACCAAACATCAACCGATCTGAAAAAGTTTGCTCCAGAAAATGGCCTCTGAATGTCATTTAGAGGTTTAATAAATGAAGGCCATGAATGCTCTGCAAACTCTGGATTTCTGTTCCTCAATTTCGGGGCTCTACTCACCGAATATTATCAAGATATCAATATCATCATCATTTCTAACTTTTGGTTGAAAGTTATCCGCACATCAGCGTCAAGGGTAAAAAGCACTCAGTTTAACTTTTCTCGTTATTTCTTGTTATTTACTGACCTGCAATTGAACATTATTTGTACTATTTCCTGGCCATTTATCATTGATTGAGCTGGACTTGATGATGTTAATGATGTTACATTTATGGTACAATTGATGCTTCTTGATGATGTCTTGATGACTGTTTTTAGTGATCAAACAATACCTTATGATACAAGATTATAATCAATTGTGAATCAACTGGAAGCTCATTAAAGGTTACCATCATTAAAATGTATAATAGCACTATCAAATGACTAAAGGATAGTCGAAGGTTGATGACCACAGGAAAAGGTCTTTAATGGTGATTCAATACAGGCAAATGTTTATTACCACGTGCAGCACGCTCATAGATATAAATCAAACTGTGTAACCCTTAATAAGTTAGCAAATTGTGACTATTGATGCTTTATTTGGGATCAAATTTGGTGATTATTGAAGTGCAAATTTACGGCTCTCACTCTATCATTACTGTTAATAATTGATAGTCACTCTACAGCCACCGTTACTAGCAAGCTTAAGGCACAAAAACTTTCAAACAAACAGACCATTCACTGGTATTATCTACTTTCCTCTACAGTTGATGACATTTACAATTGCAATCTTCATCTTCCTAATCTCACTTTATATTTAATATAATTTCAACTTGAGCTTAGTACACTTTCAAGTGCTCAATGTTTCATATTTACTTTCAACATAAATGATCCATTTGGCTTTTTATCAGAACAAGAATATTCAGAAATTTTATTGTCAACATGTTTTTTTATCCTTTGCGCCTGGTTCCAGTCATAACTCAAGACGGTTGATGGTATATGAGTTTATACAGATTCAACAACTACGCCTATTAAGGAGTCTCATGGCTCTTGTAAAGGTTTAATCTTGCTTCAATCATTTATCAAGCAAATGATGCTGCTCTTGATCATCACTGAGCTCGAGAATTAGATGCAAAATGAAATCATTGGTAAATCTCAATCATTCTGGTTCTAATGAGTTGACAACAGTCAAATTGATCCATTTATTTGATCCATTTTATACTCAATCTGTGCTTCTTTGTCTTTCATCGATTTAATCTCACTTTGAACCAACATATTGAACGAGATGAAATGTTGCAAAGGGCAAAACTAAAGGTTGAATTACAAGTGAATTTAATTTTGGCAGATTATATTCCCTGCTGGAAACTTGGATTCAATTAAAGCATCTCTCGTTATTACTAATAAATACATGGATTAATGTTGGCCAAACAAGTTAATTGAAATCGAAGAGCGAATAAAATCTTGATAATAACATTGCTTGAGGCGAGAAACTGGGATAAGAGTAAAAGTAAAGATTCATGGGGAAACTGAAGCTATACTGATGTTGAGATGAGAAAAAAATATTGAATAATAATTGAGAAGAGGAGGAGAAGAAAAGGTAAAGAATTGTAAATAAATGATATTAAATGTGATTATAGCTTAATTCTGTGGTTACCTTTTCTATCGAATCTTTCTTTGTTTCAGATTAAAGGTGAGTTTAAAGATGGCGAGCATGGTAAAAGAGAAGCTTGAAGAAGATGAAACCAAGCAAAATAACCCTCTACACCCATAAATAAATCCATCATAAAATATCTTAAGGAGTGCAGTTCACTAGCATGGTAATCAGGTTGATGATCACCAGCATAGACTGAATATATACTGAAACAAGTCATTAGATAAACTGTCAAGGTGAAGTTTGATTAATTTAGGTAAGTGAAGATGATAAACGTAGCAGCTCAAGGAGACGATCAGGTGAAGCTGATGATACTTTTACAAGATGAATTATCACCATTACCTTATAATGTATGAGCATAAATTGAGATCGACACTATTAACATAACACAAAGCTAATCATTAAAAGATATTAATTTTTATGCTAAACTCCAACCTAAATGGCAAACTCTTTAAAACACAAAACTCTCATTCAAAAGCATAAAACACCTGAAAACTTTTTTTTTCAATTTCCACAATTAAACATAAGTCTTGCGAATATTTTTCACCACAAATCAATGACAAAGAATGGGCCAAAGGGAATATCTTATGAACCAAGTTTTCATTCAATATTAGATTAGATGTCTTCTGTTATTACAAAAGGATTACAAAGGAAGGTCAAAACTGCAAAAATATTGCTCGCTAGGTAGTTTCCTATTCTTTGGGTCTTCAGCCTTTCAAGAGTTTTATCAATTGGTTGATCGATCCAGAAAATTGTCCTTCGCTAACCAAAGGTAAACTGAAGACTCGTTTTGAGCGACATTCATTTAACTTTTGCAGATGAAGACCATTCACTCTGTTGTTTGACCTCTGATCACCATTTAAAGTTAATGTTTCTGTAGATTGTTTCTGGCAAACTTGAGAATCGTCATAATTAATTGATTTACCTGTGGCGACCACCCAGGACAGGAATTGCGTGATTATGATATTTACAAATGAAACTAAAGTTTTGAATGAAAGAGTTATACAAACGAGTTTAAACGTGTTGTTTGTTAATTTAAATTTTCGTGATTAGATTAATAATGATGGAAATGATGATGACGAGTAAAAAAAAGGGAAACCATGAAAAGCCTTTGTTTCCATAAAATTGGAAACACTTTTATCGTCTGTTTCTGTTCATTGCTTACCATTAACAGTTTAAACAATTAACCTCAAGACCACCTTAGCATAATCTTGCGTGAGCATCATCATCGTCTTCACCTTCAAGACGACAATGTTACCAATGATCAAATGAGAAACAAAATGAAAGCTGAATAATTATAGCAAAGCTTAATTAGTTTATTACCGTGAGAGATCATTAATTGTTAATCAACAGTTTGGCAAAAGGTTAACTCTTTTTAATGAGTTTAACAGGTTAGAGTCGGAAATGCTGTCCGATTGGTTGGATCCCATGGAATCAAAGGGATGACCATCAGGCAACGCAAACACAAACACTAAACAAAAAGATAATGATATTATTACAAGTGATAAAACCTCCCTTGGAGGTTGCTCTTTGTGCTCAAAATGAATTATCATAATCTGTATAAATCATTAGTTGACATAATACTATTGACATTTAACTTTCTCTTCTTCTTCATCTTCTTTGTTTGATCAACAATCATGATGATTGAATAAAGATGAATTCTGATTGTTTAGCCTGGTGAGATAAACATATTGAAAGGCAACAATGGAAGAAGATCTTAGGAAGAAGAGCAAAGAAGATGATGAATACTCTTTGTTATTACATTTTCAGGTTTACCTTTTCACTGAAACACAATAACTCTCCATGTGGATATATTGTCCTGATTTGACAAGTTTTTTTAGATGAGGTGATAACTATGATAATGACCATGAAAAAAAGGTCTTCAAATGATTGGGTGTTAAGGTGAAGTCAAAAGATCGACAATCTAAAGAAATGTAAAATAGTAAATTTACATTTCACCTTTGACCATTTTTAAGGTTAACCAAAAGGTGCATCGAGTCAACACAAGGTGAAAATGGGTTGAAAAAGAAACCCAAAAATGACAACAATTTACATTTCTTTTGAAAATGAATTTTCGATTTCATCTTCTCTTGACTTTTGATTCTCTTTAAATGTTATTATCATCAAGTGTGCAAATTACAATTGAAACGGTGACAGAGTGTGAAACAATGTTGATGTGTTGATCTTGATTAATGTTTAGACGGAAAGTCATTTGTAATTTTGTCAGTTGAACCAAAACAACAACAAATGGAAACAAGTTTGATCAGAAGAGAGAAAAGTTAAGTTAATTAAAAGAAGCCTTGGGTTAAATTGTTTGTAATTTAGTTAATTGAAAACGGCAAAAAGATGGTGGAAAAGGGCAGAAAAATTGTTAAATATTATTTGCTTTCAAATGTGATTCTATTCATTTGAAAAGGTTGTTGCTTTGCAAGAATAAATGAACAGAAAAAATAAGTGTTAAGGTGTTTTTAAAATGTGTTTTCTTGCACCTTAAATTACCTTTAAAAATGCGTAATCTTTTCATGTCAAAAAAGAGTAAATGAGAATGAATTAGTTACCTTTTAATCCCATCAAAAACACCCATTTTACTCTTAACCTTAACACCAAGATTCATCATCTACAGATTTACACAAAACATGAAATTTTTGCGCTAAGGTGTTGACCACAACAACAGGATTCAGCAAAAAAATTTGAGCTCGAATGAAAGCTGACATTGGATTACGACAAAAAACAGTTTACTTGGGACTCAGGCTACTGAGATATTCAGTGGAAAGAAATTTAAGAGTATGATTGGTTTCCGCTTGTATTTACAAATTAAACTCAAATGATAAAATACGAAACACAATTTTGTTTCGTCGATTTTATTGTCTTCGGTTTCACAGTTTTGTTTGAAAATAGCGCTTGACGACCTGAAACTTGTTTTCGGCCAATAATCTGGTTCTTTGCTTGGTCCTAAACCTTTTGAATTTTGTCAGTTTTACTTTCAGTTCAAACCTTTCACTGTTTCCTGTTCCTAGACACATATTATACTAGTTGAAATGGCACAACGGCGTGACTATCCTCATAAAAGTAAGTTTTATTTTAGTTTTAATTTTGAGATAATTCACTCTTTACCTCTCGTTTTATGCAGTTACTTTCAAAGTGAAGCATTTAGATGAATATCATGACATAGTCCTTGATTGGGATGAGGATAGATATCGATATAAAAGCCAACAAATATTTGATCAGGTAAGTCTATCATTTAATCTTTGGACAGCAACTCACTTTTTATACATTTATAGCTGGAGTTGATAACTGGAGTTCCAAATAGATACGCATGTAATGTTTGTGTACGAAGACCCGACGAAGTTAACTTGGCAGGCATCATAGCAGTTCCACACATCAATCTCAAAGCGTAATCCTACATTCCACTTTTTGTCATCATTTAGCTTGGGATTTATATTAATTCATTGCTTCTCAACTTTTTTCATAGATACCCTCCTGGTTCGGAGCCAAATTTGCCAGACTATTCACGCCATTATTATCGAGAAGATGATATCTCCTGGCGAATATTTCGTGATGGAGAGCGTTATCACCTCGAATATTATGCTTATTATGATTATGAAGTTTCCAAACGTATAAGTTTTTCGTATTCTTTAGTAAATGAAAGATACGTTACTGAAGGAGCCTGCAGTCGAGATTTTTGTCATTATAAGTGCACTGAAAGTCACTTTAAAAAGTTGAAAGATCTCGCTAGCAATGATGAATTGAATGCAAAAATTACTCCGCTTGTCCAGCCAATAATGGAAACTTTTTCAAATACAAGGAATTCAGAAAAGAGAAAGATTCTCATAGAGTTCAATGTTGAACAATTTTTGTATGTAATTTGTTCTGAGGAGCGCAGGGAAGTAATTCAACAGAATGGTCATGAACGCCAAGATGATCTTTATTTAAGAACTCGAGGTTAAATATCTGTATTCAATGAATCAAATCAATGTAATTTTTCTTAGTAATCTCTTTTTTTCATTTAAATAATGAATCTGCAAGTTTACATTCTGTTTCCTTTAATAAACTGCTCATCTTCAATTTGAATAAAATTTCAATATGTCATCTTTGATCACATGATGTAAAAGCTGAGAAGTTGACTCAAAAGTTTCAATATCAATGAAGTTATTATGATGGCAACTAATTAACGATCGATTGGTATTATTGGTGCAATTTCGATGTTTTCCCGTAATGACAATCAATTTCACTGATCCATTCAACTTTACAATTTAAAGTTTTTCAATATTGAAGTTGATCAAAAGAGTTACTGCTCAAAATATTCTTTTAACCATTTTTCATGATCGCAAATGTTGAATTTCCAAAACTCCCCGGTCAATCCTCATTAATAGTTGAAATTTTGAAAAAAATATTCTTGGATTTGTAGCTTAAGTTAAAGTTTTACAATTGTTTACTTTAGTGTCCAAATGAGTCCAACCCCTTTATTTTCGGCCAATAATCTAGTTCTTTGCTTGGTTCCCAACCTTTTCAAATTTGTCAGTTTTACTTTTGCTTTCAGTGCAAACGTTTCCTGTTCCTAGACACATATTGATACTTGCTGGAATGGCACAACAGAGTAACAAACCTAAAAGTAAGTTTCTTTTTTTGTTTAACTCAAGATAAATTTTCACTCTTTACCTTTCATTTCCCTCAGTTACTTTCAAAGTGAAGCATTTTGATGAATATCACGATATAGTTATTGATTGGAATGAGGATAGAAATCGTTATAACTACCAGCAAGTATTTGATCAGGTAAGTCTGACATTAAACCTTTGGACAGTAACTCATTATTTATACATTTATAGTTGGAATCGATAACTGGAGTACCAAGTAGATACACGAGTTCTTTTTCTGTCCCAAGACCCGACGAAGTTAACCGGCCCTATACCATTGCATGCCACTTCTACAACCTGAAAGCGTAATTTTACATTTTTCTTTTTGTAATCATTCAGCTTAGCATTTATATTATTACTTCTAAACTTTTTCCATAGATACAGCTCTGGTTTGCTGCCAAATTTGGGCCCTCGTTTTCGCTACAGTAATATCGAAAGCCCATTAATTGTTGATGGCGAGCGTTATCACCTCGAATACTATGCTAACTATTCTCATAGAGTTTCCAAACGTATAAGTATGGGGTATGCTCTAGTAAAAGAAAGATACGTTACTGACGAAGCCTTCAGTCGAGATTTCTGTCAACATCAATGCACTGAAAGTCACTTTGCAAGGTTAAAAGATCTCGTTAGCAATAATGAAATGAGTGCGAAAATTGCGCCGCTTGTCCAGCCTTTAATGGAAAGAAATTTGTATCGAGGAGCGGAAAATATTTTCAGAGAGTTCAATTTTGAACAATATTTGCGTGTAACTTGTGTTGAGGAGCGCAGTGAAGAAATTGAAGAGAATGGTAATGATGATCTTTATATAAGAACCCGAGGTTAATTATCTGTATTCAACTTAATGTAATTTTTCTTAGTAATCTCATCTTTCCATTATTTTTGTATTGATAAATTTGCAAGTTTTCATTTCCTTGTATCAATTTGTAATCATAATTTCAATAAAATTTTAAACATTCATTCTGTCACCTTTCATCACATGATGTACTAGCTGAAAGTTAACCCATAAGTTTCAATCTTTGTCTAATGAAAATGAAAGTATTGAAATCACAATAAAATGTTCTTTTACACATTTTTCATGATCGCAAATGTTGCATTTTCAAAATGCTCAATTCTTGATTAAAATTTTGAAAAAACTATTCTTGGATTAGTAGCTTAAGTTAAAGTTTTACAGCTGTTTACTTTAGTGTCCAAATAAGTCCAACTCCTTGTTTTTCGGCCAATAATCTGGTTCCTTGCTTGGTCCTGAACCTTTTCAAATTTGTCAGTTTTACTTTTGCTTACAGTTCAAGCCTTTCACTATTCCACGTGTTTCCAGTTTCTAGACACATATTGATACTAGTTGTGATGGCAAAACGACCTGACTATCCTCATAAAAGTAAGTTTTATTTGTGTTTTAATTTTGAGATAATTCACTCTTTATCTGTCGTTGTATTCAGTTACTTTCAAAGTGAAGCATTTAGATGAATATCATGACATAGTCCTTGATTGGGATGAGGATAAATATCGATATAAAAAACAACAAATATTTGATCAGGTAAGTCTATCATTTAATCTTTGGACAGCAACTCATTATTTATACATTTATAGCTGGAGTCGATAACTGGAGTACCAAATAGATACACTTGTAATGTTTGTGTACCAAGACCTGACGAAGTTAACTTGGACGGTATCTTTACATGGAGATACATCAACCTGAAAGCGTAATCTTACATTTCACTTTTTGTCATCATTTAGCTTGGGATTAATATTAATTCATTGCTTCTCAACTTTTTTCATAGATACCCTCCTGGTTCTCAGCCAGAGTTAACCAACTATTCACGCGATGATTATCGGGAAGATGATATCTCCTGGCGAATATTTCGTGATGGAGAGCGCTACCACCTCGCATATTTTGCTTATTATGATTATGAAGTTTCCAAACGTATAAGTTTTTCGTATTCTTTAGTGAATGAAAGATACGTTACTGAAGGAGTCTGCACTCGAGATTTCTGTCAATATCGAAGCAATGAAAGTCACTTTAAAAAGTTGAAAGATCTCGTTAGCAATGATGAATTAAATGCAAAAATTACTCCGCTTGTCCAGCCATTAATGGAAACTTTTTCAAATTTAAGGTATGCGGAAGCGAGCAAAATTCTCAGAGAGTTCAATGTTGAACATTATTTGTGTGTAATTTGTTCTGAGCAGCGCAGGGAAGTAATTCAACAGAATGGTCATGAACGCCACGATGATCTTTATTTAAGAACTCGAGGTTAAATATCTGTATTCAACGAATCGCATCAATGTAATTTTTCTTAGTAATCTATTCTTTTCATTTGTATAATTAATCTGCAAGTTTTCATTCTGTCTCCTTTAATAAACAGCTCATCATAAATTTAATAAAATTTTGAAAGTTTATTCTTTCATCTTTAATCACATGATGTAAAAGATGAAAAGTTGACTCAAATGTTTTAATATCGATCAAATTTTTATGATTGTAATAATTAAATTGTCGATTGGTATTATTGGTGCAATTTTGATGTTTTCCTGTAATGACAATCAATTTCACTGAGCCATTCAACTTTACAATTTAAAGTTTTCCAATATTGAAGTTGATCAGAAAGAGTTACTGCAAGTGTTGGAAGAAATAAGGAAAGAAATATTTTTTCTTGTTTTTACTTCTTTTTCCCCTTGTTTTCAGGTTTCCCTTTTGCTGTTTTAATATCATGAATTAACTGAGTGGATATCATTTCTCATCCTTTTAGTGTTGTTTCAAATAAAATTAGAACAAAAATTCAATCAGAGATAAAAATCTTAATCTAATGAAGATGAAAGTATTGAAATCCAAGTAAAATTCCCTTTTATTGATGGTTCATGATCGCCATGTCACATTTAGTAAAAGTCCGCGGCCAGTTCTTACAAGTTGTTAGTTAAAATTTTGAAAAAAACTATTCTTGGAGTATTAGCACAAGTTTAAGTTTTACAACTGTTTACTTTAGTGTCCAAATGAGTCCAACCCCTTTATTTACGGCCAATAATCTGGTTCTTTGCTTGGTTCTCAACCTTTTGTATTTTGTCAGTTTTACTTTTGCTTTCAGTTCAAACTTTTCACTTTTCCACGTGTTTCCTGTTCCTAGACACATATTGATACATATTGTACTACTTGGAATGGCTGAACAGCGTAACAATTCTGATAAAAGTAAGTTTTATTTTAGTTTAAATTTTGAGATAATTCACTCTTTACCTTTCATTTCACTCAGTTAATTTCAAAGTGAAGCATTTTGATGAATATCATGATATAGTTATTGATTGGAATGAGGATAGAAATCGTTATAACTACCAGCAAGTATTTGATCAGGTAAGTCTGGCAATCAATCTTAGAACAATAACTCATATCTATATATTTATAGCTGGAATCGATAACTGGAGTACCAAGTAGATACACGAGTTCTTTTTCTGTCCAAAGACCCGACGAAGTTAACTGGCCCGGTGGCATTTTATGGCTTTGCGAAAACCTGAAAGCGTAATCTTATATTTCACTTTTCACAATCATTAGTTTAGGATTTATATTAATTAATTGCTTCTCAACTTTTTCATAGATACACTTCTGATTTGCTGCCAAATTTGGACCCTCGTCGCTACAGTGATAACGAAAGCCCATTTATTCGTGATGGCGAGCGTTATCACCTCGCATATTTTGCTTATTATTCTTATAGAGTCTCAAAACGTATAAGTTTCGGGTATTCTCTAGTAAATGAAAGATACGTTACTGAAGGAGCCTGCAGTCGAGATTTCTGTCAATATCAATGCACTGAAAGTCACTTTAAAAGGTTAAAAGATCTCGTCAGCAATGATGAATTGAATGCAAAAATTACTCCGCTTGTCCAGCCATTAATGGAAAGACAACTGTGGTCGGAAGCGGAAAATATTATAAGAGAGTTCAATCTTAAAAAATGTTTGCGGGTAGTTTGTGTTGAGCAGCGCAGAGAAGAAATCGAAGAGAATGGCCATGTACCCCAAGAGGAACTTTATCTAAGAACCCGAGGTTAAATATCTGTATTCATCGAATCGAATAAATGTAATTTTTTCTTAGTAATCTCTTCTTTTCACTCGAATCTGCAAGTTTTCATTCTGTCTCCTCCAATCAACTTCTCATCATAATTTGAATAAAATTTTAAACATTCATTCTGTCGTCTTAATTACCTACAAGATGTAAAAGCTGAAAGTTAACCCAAAAGTTTTAATATCGACGAAGTTATTATGATTGCAACTAATTAAAGATTGATTGGTATTATTGGTGCAATTTTGCTGTTTTCCTGTAATGACAATCAGATTGAGCCATTCAACTTTACAATTTAAAGTTTTCCAATATTGAAGTTGATCAGAAAGAGTTACTGCAAGTGTTGCAAGAAAATAAGGAAAGAAATATTTTTCTCTTGTTTTTACTTCTTTTTCCCCCTCATTTTCAGGTTTCACTTTTGCTGTTTTAATATCATGAATGAACAGTGAGTGGCTGGCATTGCCATCTTTATCCTCCTTTACACCATGAAAGTTACAATTCAATCAAATAAATGGTTTTTTCTGTCCGTCAGTTACAGTCTTATTACCAATGGAAACACAAGACATCCATTTAGCTTAAAATGTTACGATTGTCATTTCATTCACTTACAAGATGAGGCTGATGATGATGAGGATGGGAAAAGATTTGAGGTAAAAAGATGTGAAGATGAAGATGAGTAAAATGTTTTTTTTTCCTCTTCTTGTTGTGTTCAGTTGTGAGTGACAGGGACTTGGAAATAAAAACTCCCAGCTTTACCATTAATAGCTAAATCAAATCCATTGTGAAACTCGCACAGTAAATGTAAATCAAATCACTTTTTCCACTTCTCATCGCCATCTTTTTCATCATCTTTATTCATCTTGTTCATCATCAAGATTAAAGCGCAAGATGAAAAATGGTTTGTTAATAATAATATAATAATGATAATGATAATTGTTTTGTCTGGTTATAATGGCAATAGTCAGGCAAGGCGATGAGAGACACAGCAAAAGGTACAATAAAGGTTAATCATTGATCATAATTGGAAGCCTTTTCTTTTGCTCTCCATTTGTAATTAAAAGCTATCAAAAGGGAACAAAGAATCAGGGAATTGTCTTAATAATAATCATCCTCATCAAGGCTCATCATGATAATCATTATCATGATGGAGGCTTAGTGAACCAAACAGAGGAATAGAGAGACAAAGCAAACTCTTTATCATTATTAACATTTTCATTTTCACTTTCATCTAGCTGAGTCTACTTTACATGTAAATGATGTTTAATACTGATTTTAGGGTGATTACCATGAGAAGGAGGAGGAAGAGGATGCAGAGGGTGCAAGTTGATGGGAAACATGATAAATCATTTGCAGGTCAAAGTTGCTTTGTCACCTTTTAAAGGCACATTTTGTCATCTAAAAACTCAGCTTTCATCAAAAACGTCATTTTTTCATCAACATTATTTTCATTAACATCATCTTCAGATTATTTTGCCTTCTAAACTGTGTTTGATTGCTTGCCTGGAAAAAAGGGCGATTGATTAACCAACTAATGAATGGTTTCATTGTTTTGACATTTTAATACTCATCACAATGATTTTGATGGTAATCATGGTGTTGATGATATTAATCAGTTTTCTCGATTTAATCATCTTTTAATCTTGATTGATTCCGTGTTAATGTCAGTGTCGACCAGTTGTTGACTTGCTTTGCTGTTTTTCATCAACTTTATCAATTTACTCTCATCAATTATTCAACATTGAAAATCATTGATTCCCTCAGATTAACCTGATTCAATCAATTTTAATTGAATTTTATTGTTTTCTTTTGCCTCAGCATCACAATTAGTTTTGGTTTTTGTTCAACATTCAACTTAATCAGCAGTTCATTCAGATGATTTAGATTATTCAGATTATTCAGTTTAATCAGGAAACGGAAGCTTGTTGACAAGTCTCAAAATGATGATTAAGGAAGAAAAGAAGAAAAACAAGAAAATGTTTCATGAAATGTTTAAATTCATTTTTTTGCCTTCTTTTCCGTTCAAATATCCGTTGTTAATGTAATAACATTAATAACAGATTCTCAACAATTGAATTTCGACAATCGGTTGAAATATGAATTAACATTAATATCAAAATGATATTATGATTGAGAATTGCAATTTTGTTGGAATGAATTTTCAAATGATTTCTATTAGTAAATGAATTTTACTTCTGTGGGTGTTCAGTTGCATCAAAATTAACTGATTAAGCTGACACTTGATTATCTGAGTTTAATCAGAATTGGATAAATCAAATGATGATATCAACTAAATTGATCCATTTCAATGAGTTTCATCTTCAAAGGCCTAACCTTAAAGGTTTACAAGTCAATAGCAAACATGATTTAATCAAATTCATTGATTCAGTCTAAATGTTTCCCTCAAATTGACCATTCAAGATTCACTGAAACATAACTAATAATCTGGAGATTGGAAGATGATGATCCATTTAGGAATTCATTTTTGTCTCTATTATCAACTCGATTGGGACAATGTTGACCAACTAATCAACATTAACTTTTCAAGGCAATCAAGCAACAAATCAGTTAAGCTAATTAAAAGTGAAAAGTCAACATTAAAGTTATCATGGAAAGTCAACAATTATCAACTAAAATTGAACTGCAAATGAAATGGTTTGGTTAAGGTCAACAGGCTGGGTCAATGTTGAATTTCATCCAGTCTATGTGACTGACCTTTATCCTGATAACATTTATTTTTAGCTTCACTTGACCTGTCATTGAGATAAATTGCAAGATGTAAACAGGCAGCAAAACACCCAAAAATGTGACTTTTTTCACTCGCATTTTCATTTTTACCTTTTCACCATTTTTCAATGGCTTTGCAGTTGAAAAACGACTTCAACTTAAAGGCGATGAGGACGATGATGATCAAGATGAGGGTAAAGAGCAACAAGATGAAGCATCCTTTTCCTGCCATCTTCAAGTGATTTATGATTAATCCATTGTTATGGACAACATTCACAAACTCAAAAGGAAACAAGCAAAACCATTGATTAAGTCACTTTTTTCATTTCAACTTGAGATTTCCCATTTTTTATACTTTCCTTGATCAACTTAATCAACAGTTGTTCAGCTGTTTAACAATCTCAACAGTTATCCAGGTGAAAATGGTTACTCAATGGCTTTGATTCAAGAGGATCTTTTATCATTTGCAGTTTGGACAATTCTTGCTTCTTTTATCGACAATTTGGATTGTTTCAGACTTGACTTTTCACTTTGAAAATTGAAATGTTTAATTATAATTGTAATCTGATTTTTTAAACATTTTTTTTAATCATGTTTCTTTGCTTTGGCGTAAGTCGGCAATATATCTTTGCAAATGGTTACAAGTTTTTTTAATGAATTTCATGAGTTGAATAGATTATATGAGAATCTTTTTTCGTCGGATGAAAGGCACTTTTTGTTTCCCACTAAATTGAGTTACGCCACAATTATACCTTTACACTGTTTATTATCACAATTATCATTTATTGTTATCATCAGTTTCACTCACTATTTGCACGCAGTTAATTTAGACTGACCTTCATCATCGCCATTGATCTGACCTCTAGAGCCATTGGTTGACCCGCCTATCACCTAATGGATGATGTTGCATTGCTGTTGCTAATGATGATGATGATGATGATGATGATGATGGTAATACCAGTAGCCGTGATATTTGTGAATTGATCATCACCATCATCTTTACCATCAGTTTGCGTGAAAACTGAATCAAATGTTATTGGATAAGAAAATTTTTCAGTTTTTCTTTTTTTTCTATTCCAAGTTCATTTTTTGGTCTCTTTTGTTTTCATTACAGATAATTGATGAGATGATGATGAAGATGAAAAAGAATAGGTTAAAAGTCAAGTTAATTACAATTGGATTGCAATTAATTGCTGTATTTCCTTGCCATCAACAACATCATCATTAATCTTGTAGACACATTTTTTACTGTTTGGCTTTTATTTTTACAAGTAACTCCAAGTTTACTGGTTATAAAACACATTTTACATTGTTACATGAATTGTCTTGTCTTTTACCGATCAATACTTTTAATTGTGACTTCAATCAATCAGTGTTAAAATGATTAAAGAAGGAATTAACTGATTGGAAATTTGAGAAATTGAAAAAATTTCATTTTCCTTGAACTGGTCAAACGACATTCAGGCTTTTCTGGAAACCAAAAATTTCTTCCAATTTACATTCAATATTCACTAAACAAGTGATCTTGAACGATATTGACTTTGAACTTCGACTTGAAATCGACTTGAAAAGTACAAATTTAAGATTCTGACATCGGTGACTCGAAAAAACCAGAAAATCGATCTTCAATTTCCTCAAAATTTTCTGGTTTTGATAGCAATCTTTAGTCTCAATAGCAACTCCTGACATTTGGGTTTCAATTATTTTTACATTGTATTTCAATTATTAAGATGTGATCTGATTGTGTTTGAAACATTAATTGTATGTTTAAAGACATTGACAATTTAATGGTGTTTAGTTAATTATAACCTTTTTGTGTCACTTTATCTGGTTTACTGGATTCAACCTTTTACTTGGATTCATTGTTGATTCTGGTTTTGTGTTTATTCATTAATATTTTTGTTACAATTTATTCAAGTTAATTGCTTCAGTAATGATTACAAATTGTTAAGTTGGTTATACTGATGGACGAGAAAAAAGTTAATTATGGCAACAACAACAGCTAAATACAAATGATTTGACGTTAATATACATTATCAACATGGGAGGTCAATTTTTATATTATTTATGTATAAAAATGCCCTTAAGGTCCTTAACACTCTTGGTGTCTTCTTAAGATGTTTCATTATGGCAAAGGTTGAATAAAAGATGATTATGATGATGATCATGTTGATCATAATCATCATCATTCTTGTCAAATTTGGAACCCTATTAATCCTTCAATTTGTGTCTTGAACCGATATTAATTTGATTTTTATGTATATTCAAGATTCACTCACAATTTCACTTTGGGTTCCTTTTGTATTCAATGATAACCTTTTTTTATTTTCTTACCTTTAAGGTAAATATCATTATCAAATTGGCAAACAGTTTAGTCCTAATCTTTACAATCAATAATCGTTAATGGTAAAGAGAATGAGGTTTTACAAAATTAAATTAAAATAATCATTTGCAATTCATATTTTGGGTAAACATTGTCTGTTCAACATTTAAAGTAACTCTAATATCATCAACCTGATTCACTCAATGTTTCAACCAAAGCCAAATTAATCTTTAATAACCTGGCAATTAGTTTAAGTTTAGTGGTTAGTTAAAGGTTAAATGAACGCAATAAGGTAATTGTACTAATTATATTGAAAACAATTATCTTGACCAAGTAAAAGCTGTGAGCTTTGTCGACTTTCATCCAGGATCTGGTTAATTTTGCATCTTTTACCAATCAAATTTTTCCCCATTCAATTTGATTCCAATTGTTTAATGGAGGGAAAATCAGAAAATGTATCTTCTTTAGATCGACTGAGAGTTGCTGTTTCAGGTCGACTGAGGTCGACGAGCCTCACAGGTTCATCAATCACACAAGATGAAAAATCATGTAACTTGAGTCAAAGAAATAAAATGAAAAGCATTTCAAACAATTCTGGTTTTGGGTTAAATCTCGAGATTGATTTGTGTAGAGACTACAAGACTTTCAGATTCATTTCGCGATTTTTGGTCCAAATCTGATCAACTGATCAAGTTCATAACATTTGGTAAATCGACAATTAAAGATAATTCAATCTTACTGTTTCTTGAAGATGTTTGGTTATGACCGTTTGAGAGTCGGTTGACTTTAATTTACATTTTATCTTTGTTATTATTTATTTTGTTCAATTTTTGCACCAATATTTGAATCTGATTACAGTGATTAGGGAATTAATGATTTTTATTGATTTTATATTAAATTTTGAGTCCATTTAATGGAATTATTGAGATTTTTTTTAAAAGAGGATTGTCAAGGTTAAAAGTCAATCAAAGATTAACATTGAACATTTGATTTTCCCTTGATTTTCATGTGTTTTTTTTTCAGTTAAACATCACTGGAACCTCAGTTGGATATCTTTGACTTGTTTCTCATCTTCAACCTCTTCTCATCATGATCATCCTGTATCACTTGAATATCTTTACATATGGATAAATTATACACTGACAGAATTAAAGTCGTGCCAAGTCAAAGGTGGCTGTTTAATCAAACCTCAATCTTTCAGCTCAACATGATACTCATCCATCTATCTAACAGATAGAGTAATGAACACAGAGAGACTCACCCATTACCATTATTATATTATTGTTATTATAATCATTCTCATTGCTATTCCCATTTTCATGATAAAAATACTACCAACAACAAAGCAACTTAACAATGAAACTCTTTTTTTTGCTTCATCTTCACATTTTTTCCTCTCAATCTCATCATTCTTTTAATCATTTCTTTTCATCTTTTTTTTACTACAACATTACTATTTGATTCATCACTTTATTGACCATGATTGAGTGCATCAATCCATTCAAATTTATTAATTATTGTTATTCCTCCAACAATCGATTGAAACAGATCATTGCTTCAACTTTATCAACAGTTATCAGGGAAACCCAAAAGTCTTTCTTGACTTCAAAATAGTAAAATTTGATACAATTTTTCCATTTTTTATAAAATGTTCAATATTTGCTCTTCAATTTGCACCTAATTTCATGAACATTGATTAACATTCAATGTAAGCTCATAGAGGGTGAACATGTTTGATCTGATTTGGTCTGCATTTGCATTTATTTATATCTTATTTTGATTTTGTTTATTATTCTTGTTGGGTTTTCATTAAAGATTGAATGTAAATGGATGTCGAATGATTGTGAATGGAAAGGTGGCAAAGGAACACCTTTTTTAATGGAAATGGCCTGAGGTAAGTCTAATAGAGTATAATGAGACTCTTTTCGCTTCTTTTTTCGCCATTTCTTCTGTTCTTTCAACTCTAATCTCGCTCATCTTGACGCTGATCGTGCTTGACAAGATTGGCCAGAAAAGAAACAAAAAAATCATAAATAAAGTGAAGATAAATGCTCTTCTTTTAACCTTTGCTTTTTCACCTTATCTTTTTTTCGCCATCTTTTTCCTTCTTCTCAGTGTCATTTTTAGCTTCTCTGTGGTTCCAGGTTTCGCTTAATTTTGTGCCGCAATTTGCTTCACTTGAACAAATCATAAATTCATCAAAATTAATGATCGTAAATGATGTTAAACGTTACTAATCTGGTAAAATGATAAACACCTAAAAAGAGATGTTGAACCAGAATCTATTTGTAATTGACTTTGGACATGAAAGCAAAGTGACTTTTTAATATTCAAAGAGTAACTCTTATCATCTGGTGATTCTGATTGTAAGCTGTTGCAGGAAACTTTACTCAGTCTTTTCATTCTTGTGTAAATTTATGCATCTCAAATCAGATCATTATTTTGCTAATTAAAATGAGGTAAAAGAAACGGTTTTCACTAGAATTAATTACACATTGATTATAGAATTGAACAAAAACTACAAAAGCATCATCCAAACCCTTAAAGGTAAATGAAAATTATCCAATTGCAATTAAACCCAATTCAAGTGGTTAAACAATTTTCAAATTAAATTTTTGACTGTAACCTTTTTAAAACATTAATCTCCTATTTGATTGACCCTTTTCTCGTTCAATACAATTTGAATTAATTGTTGCAACAATCAAAGTCTCCCATGAAAATGAAATGCTAGATTGATGTGAACCATCACACAATTTAAATTGTTTTATCACTTTACCTTTATATCATAAATTGCTTCATCTTTACAACTAATTAGCTTCAAACCTTGCGGCAATTTCAATTGAATATGTAAACTATTATTTCCATTTGAAATTAATCTAATTACATATAAAATATAAGATTGTTGCAGTTGTAAGAATGATTCCAATTAAATGAACAGTTTTCAAACAAAAATTGAAATGCGATTCGACTTTTTTTTTTAGGTTAACCATTTGGTTATAATTGTTTCAAATGGCTTTGATTATGGCTACAGTTTCGAGGGTATTTAAGTTAACTAAAACAATTGAATCGACATCAATATAAATCATCTGATAACACTCAAAGACATTGCCATTAGCCTTCTTTGGTTTCCTTTTTCATTGTTTATTGAACTTTTTTTTCTCAATCCATTTTGACACTTAAAAACAAGACAACTTAAATGTCAACTAATATTGTCTTTTAAATCAATCAATCGTAATTTGTTGTTTAATTTAATTGGTTGACGTTTTGTTTTTCACCAAATGCTTGGACTAAAGATTTAGATGGAGATTCCTGGTTCACAGTAAGTCTCATTGTATCTTGCTCATCATCTTATTACTGTTGTTGTTGACTCAATTTTACCCCAAAAAAAGGACCCAAATTATGTAACATCATATCCATTTATCTCTCAATTTATTACTTTTGACTCTTCTTCTTGTGTTTTCATTGTTTGTCCTGCATTTGATTGCTGTCTTTAAATCAAAAGCTTTTAACTTAATGAACCATCTAAAAAGCTTAACCAGTTAACAACAGTTAATAACAATGAGAGTAACAAATATTAACAACAATCAAGATGAGTTATTTTGGGTTTAGAGGATAATGAATTTTCATTTTCACCAGGTTAAAGATTCTGTTGATTCTGGGTAAAATGGATTGATCAAGATGATCCAGTCTGAGTTGGATTTAAGGTAATTTCAATTGGTTTCAACCTATTGAATTGTGTTTTGCTTGATGGCTAAGTAAACAAACCCTTAACCAGCATAGAAACCGTTGACCAGAGCAAATTGTTTCTCATTTTAGTTTCTGGTTTAACCCTGATTTTGGTTCAACAAGAATCATTATTCAATGATTGATCAAACTAGAAGAAGGTTGTTATTTTATATGATTGTGAACACAAGTATAAAATAAGGTAAAAAAAATGTTATCCAAAATGACCTGAGGAGAAAGGCGTAAATAAAATAAGTGAAAATCGATTAATGGTTAGCTTTTTTTTGCGTTCTTGTGAATAAATATAAAAAAATGGTTCCTTTTTCCTCTATTTTCAACATTTCAATTTCATTTGATTTCAGTTGTTTGTTCATCTTTCAATCAGTTTTAATAGTTTACTGGTCCAATGGATACAGCCTATTGAACATTAAAAATGATACAAAAAACTGGATTTAATGTTTTATCAAAAATCCCTTTTTCACAATGTTAATATTTAATATCATGTTTGTATTATTTATTTAATGACTGCTAAATAAATTGGACAATGAATATACAATTTTTATTGTCTCGTTCATTTCATTTGCAATTTAACATTACATTTATCGTGGAAACTGTCCGTTGTTTATTTCAATGTTTACCACTCAATTTAGCAATTTGCTTGGAGTTTAGATGGTCAGACATTTATGATCAACTCTGATCGTAATTTAATTTAATTCATTATTTGAAATGTTGATATTAAACTGGTAAAGTTGTTTGATGAAACCTTTGTGAAGCTATTGGCGCTATCTGGAAGGTAAAAAGTTAAACAGTCAGGGAAATAGATATAAATACAAAATGTAAGCAAAATAAAAAACAAATAATGGAAATAAAAGTAATGTCGATTGTTTATTAAAATTTCAACGATTATAGAAATATTTCGAGTTTATAAAAATTTTGCCTTTTCACCAGGTTAAAGATTCTGTTGATCGTTGTTCTGACGATCGCTGCATGATTGCTTCTTTTTCACAAAGAACCACGAATTTGCGAAACAAACCAATTGATTGGGCCAAATCTGTTTTTGCATAACTTTCCTTGTTATCTTTTTCTTCAGGTTGTAATGCGTCGTGAGCATCTATTTGGCTCAACAGTTGATCGATGGTTGGGACTGTGAATGGGTCGAATTTTTTTATGTTTGCAATGTCAACTGGAACACAAACTCGGTGGGTTTTAGGGTGAACGCAAAATGGAGCTTTCAGTAAATGGTTTATTCCTCGACTTACATTCACATCAAGTCGTGGGTAGCACAACTGAAGTTTTATTTCGTCAAGGAAATATCTTGCATGAGTTCTTGTATAATTTCTTTCTTTCACATGAAGTTCAACCGCTTTCTCCAAGCATTTCCAACGCTCTAAGCCAGTACGATGTGGTGTTTTCAAAACTTTGTTTCTTAAACTTGTTTTAAGTTCAGGATCTGTGCAAAGATCAACTATTTTTGAAGCACTTTCAACTGTATCGAAAATTTTTTGATCCTTTACCATGAAATCTTCAAATTCCTTCTCAATAATATCCAGAGCTCGTGTAATACTTGGATGAAGATTTTTGTTGGCAGGCAGAGTAACCCTTTTGCTCTTGAATTCCCCACCTTCAATGAGAGATAAGTAATCGACTATGGCTGATCTTGCTTCAGTGGTTAATCTTCTAGCTCGCTTGTCACAAATCCAACCATGAATACCTCGACGACCAGAATAAACCCAAAGAATATTTTTGAAACCAAAATCCTCGATTAGAGCAGCATTCAAAATCTTGGCAGCAATGACTATAAATCTCCAACAATTTTTGCAAATTTCTGGACCTTTACAACAAGTTCTTATGTCGTCATAATCGTCCATATCAATATCAAAAATCAATTCTCTTTCAAGTGGTATCAAAACATCCATAGTTTTCCGATTATCCCGAGGCTCTTTATTAAACACCGCACCAATATCAATTTTAACGGGAAGTTTGGACAGAAGGGCTTTGACCAGTTCAGTATCATCTGGGAAACTTTGATATCGCAAATAGATGTCTCCGGCCAAAGTGAAGGAAAGTTCACGTCTCTTGAAATAGGTCTCATCAGCTGTAAATGATAAAATACATTAGTAAACAGGTATCATTAGTTCATTACTAACATTTAACAAAATACTTACATTCGCTGTAACTTAACCACCTAACAAAGAGTTTACTTGGGAAAAGTATTTTGTAGTATAAAGGTAACATATCGAGCGCATCATTGCCCATTTTGAATTCGATTTTAAAACAGTAAATAATTAAGTAAACAGATCACAAAATGAAAATAAATTGATGATTAAATGCAGTGGTTGTTTCAATTGTTTACCGCCAAAAGCTATTGATGTAAGATCACATCACCATGGTGATTACTCAAATATTTCATATGTGCTACCATCTGGTGTGATTCTTCCGCTAAGGCGACATCTTGGGAGAGACATCTTGTTTAATTTTACAGACAACAAAGGTATAGAGTAAATTGATGTTGATGTTTTTTTCAAAATTATTTAAATTTAAAAGTGATTTATTAAATTAATGCGAGTTCGGGATATGAATTCCAACCGACCGTCTATTGGATCTTGGATTGGTAATCCAATACAAAATCCTAATTTACTTCAAGTACCATTACCTGGTCCAATACAAGCGCCAGTTCAAGCTCCATTGTCGGGTCAATTAACTGATCCTGGTTCCCATACGACCGTGCTTACTGGTCCTAATCGTAATCCTGGAGCTCTTCATATACAAACTATCCCAGCTAGATCATCAGGTCAGTCTCTGACAGTTACCCCAACTGATCTAAATGCTCCATTGAGACCCAACATTGAAATCATTCAAGAGCCAATAAAGACAACCTTAACAGTTCACACCGCACCAGCCCATGGACATCAAGTACATATTTCATCAACACCTCAACCCCATCATAATAGCTCTTCAATATCAGCTAATCCCCAATCGGTAGCTGTTGCCAGTGCTGTAGCCACAAGTATTGGAATTGGAGGTGCTGCATCTACTGCTGGTGTAAGTGGTGATGCTAGCAATAGGACAACCACTGTTTCCGCAACGAGCCACCAATCTCAACAACAGTTTCAAAGGTTAAAAGTAGAAGATGCTCTATCTTATTTGGATCAAGTTAAATTTAAATTCAATAACCAACCTCAAGTTTACAATGATTTTCTGGATATAATGAAAGAATTTAAATCACAAAGTATAGATACTCCTGGAGTTATTCAACGAGTATCTCATCTGTTTCAGGGTCACAACGAACTTATTGTCGGTTTCAACACTTTTCTACCACCTGGTTACAAAATTGAAATGCAGTCAAATGATCAAGTTAATGTCAGCATGCCATCCAGCACCAGCATCCTCATCATTCATAATTCAACTTCTAACTCAGTCACCACTAACCCTCAAATGTTGCATCTTCCCAGTTCTACACCCTCTCAAAATTCAGTCCAAGCTTCTCCACACCATCCTGGTGTTCATTTGACCACCACCAATAATTTACCTGGTCAAATGAATAAAACCATCTACTCTTCTCCATCCTCTTCAACAAACTATCAACACAATCCAAATATCTCTATTTCATCCAGATCTGTTTCGTCTGATTCTCATAATACAACTCTCTCTCACTCATCTGTGGCATCACAACTAACCAACGTTCCGGCTACTCCACCTATTGCTCCAAGTTCGCGAACAGTATCAATGCCAGTTAATGTACCACCATCTGCAAGTATAGTAGGGTCTATGGGAACTGGTCCTGGTCCAGGTATCTCAGGAAGTGGTGGTGGTGGTGGGGGTAATAACAATAGTTCTAATCTGAGTTCTTCGTGTGCCCCTGGCACAGGTGGAGATGCCAATTCTAGTAGTGCTCAACCTGTAGAGTTTAATCATGCTATAAATTACGTGAACAAGATAAAGAATCGTTTCCAGGGTCAACCAGAAGTTTACAAACAATTTTTGGAGATCTTACATGCCTATCAAAAAGAGCAAAAGTGTCTAAAAGAAGGAATCAAACCCGATTCGAAACCTCTCAATGAAAGTCAAGTTTATGCACAAGTTGCTAAACTTTTTCAAAATCAAGAAGATCTTCTTCAAGAGTTTGGCCAATTTTTACCTGATGCCAATGCTGCTGCTGTAAGCTCAAGTAACTCTGTTTTTCCTGGTGTCTCCCAAGGTGTTAGTTCTGGCTTGCATCATAACTCATCAGCTGGTTCTGCCATATCTACAGCCATCTCTGCAGCTCATCATGTTGACAATCTCGCTGCCGCTCACCGTGCAGCTACTAATGATCACGGTGCTATTGTGAAGAAACCTTTGGCTCGACCCGGTGGAACTGTTCTTGGATCCAATATCACTACATCTATGGGTATTCAAATAAGGAGACAGCAGGCGAGTGTACAATCTATGAATAAGCCCAAGATGACCTCCTTACGAGATGTCAGCTTAGCCGAAGCTGGAAAATATGGTAGCCTAAATGAATATGCATATTTTGATAAGGTCCGTAAAGCTCTGAGAAGTCAAGAAGTGTATGAAAACTTTTTACGTTGCTTGTTTCTCTATAATCATGAAATTGTATCTCGTAATGAGCTCGTTTTGTTGGTCACACCGTTTTTGGGCAAATTTCCTGAATTATTGAAATATTTCAAAGATTTTCTGGGCTACAAAGATGGTAATTCCAATGCAAACAGCTATTCCAACTTTTCTATGTCTTCTACAAATAACAATAATATGTTTATGGAAGGATTGTCGCAGCGAGTGGTTGGTATCAGAGAAAGAGATAGAGAAAGATTGAATCAAGAAGGGTCAGGTATGGAAATTGATTACGCTACCTGCAAAAGATATGGTGCATCATATCGAGCATTACCCAAAAACTATATTCAACCCGAGTGTTCTGGTAGAACACCATTGTGTAAAGAAGTTTTAAATGATACTTGGGTATCATTTCCCTCTTGGTCTGAAGATTCTACTTTTGTTACTTCTAAGAAAACTCAATATGAAGAATTTATTTATCGTTGTGAAGATGAACGTTTTGAGTTGGATGTTGTTATTGAAACTAATTTGTCGACGATCCGAGTATTGGAAGCTGTTCAAAAAAGGTTAAGTCGCATGACGCCTGATGAAAGAAATAAATTCAAGTTAGACGATTGTCTTGGTGGTACTTCGGCCATTATTCATCAACGTTCCATTCGAAGGATTTATGGAGATAAAGCTCCTGAAATTATTGAAGGACTGAAAAAGAACCCGAATATAGCTGTACCTCTCGTTTTGAGGCGATTAAAAAACAAAGAAGAAGAATGGAAAGAAGCTCAGAAACAATTTAACAAGATTTGGCGCGAGCAAAGTGAAAAATATTACCTAAAATCCCTGGATCATCAAGGTATTTCATTTAAGCAGAATGACATCAAATATTTGCGTTCCAAAAGTTTGTTAAACGAGATTGAGACTTTTTATGAGGAAAGGCATGAACAAAATGAGGAAAACATTGCTGCTGCTGGAGAAGGAACTGGCAATAACAATAATAATGGTCAGAATATTGCTTCTGGACCTCATATGACATTAACTTACAAAAACAAAGCCATGATCGAAGAAGCATGTAATCTAATTATCCACCACGTGAAAAGACAAACCTCCATTCACAAAGAAGATAAGCAAAAAATAAAGCAGCTATTGAAGCATTTTATACCTGATCTTTTTGCCACCCAAAGAGGAGATTTAAGTGATGATGAATTGGAAGACTTTGAGATGGACAAAAAGATTGACACTTTTAATGATAATCGACCCAATAAGGATAACACGAGTACCATTTGTATACCAGTTAATCTTCCCACTGTTAAAGATTGTAAAACTAAATGTGATGGAGATGTTACCATTGTTACCTCAGTGAATCCGTTGACTACCGAGAGTGGACAGTGTGTTAATGGTAATAACTCTAGTGGTGGTCAAGCTAAAAACGTAAATCCTATGTTGAATAACGATCCCGATGATAGTTATGCATTATTCTTTGTCAATAGCTATTGGTATCTATTTTTCCGACTTCATTTTATTTTATGCGATCGATTGGCTCAAATGCATGAAAGAGCCATGATTTTGATTGCAGAAGAAGAAAAAGAAAAAACTCTGAGAAAAGAATCAACTGCTGCAGCTCTCAGATTGAAACCTAAAAGTAAGTAATAATGTTGATAACAAATTCACAGCTCATCAACTCTTCAACTTCACGTTTTAGTCCTTTTACGCGGGAGAGAAACAAGTGAGGTTGAATGCTGCTGATGTGTTGCTTTTATTGTTGTTTGATTCTTTAATAATTCAGAAATGATAATATTTATCAGTTTTCCTCACAGATGATTACGAGGTAGAGGAGTATTTCCCTGCTCTCATTGATATGGTGAAACAAGTTTTGGATGGTAATTTGGATTTTAATCAATTCGAAGATCAACTAAGAGAAATGTTTGGAATTCATGCCTACATAGCTTTCACTTTAGATAAAGTTGTACAAAATATAGTTAGGCAGTTACAACATATTGTTGGTGATGAAGCATGTATTCAGTGTACCGAAATGTTCGTCGAAGAAAGCAAAAATGGTGCCACCGGTGGACCCTGTGCATCTCATCATTTACGTGCTAATGCAGAAGCATTGTATCAAAAGAAGGCTGAACAACTTGTTGGAGAAGAAAACTGTTACAAAATAATTATCTATAAAGGTGAAGGTAAAGTTACAATTGAGTTAATTGTAACAGATTCAGTTGAAAGCGAAGATGGTGAGGTTGAAAAATGGTCGGAATATGTTGAAAAATATGTTAAAGAAGTAGAAAATGAAATAAGCGATGAGCTTAAAGAAAGGTTATCCCGTAAACCTGTTTTTTTACCCCGAAATATCCGCATGTGGAGGTACAAGGCTAAAGAGAAAGAAGAAAGAGCTAATGAATTAAAAGGAGATTTGAACAGTGGTCTTCAAGTTGTCGATGATACTCAATGTAAATTTAATGTAAACTCATATAAAATGGTTTTTGTTGTACAAAGTGAAAGTTATCTGTGCAAAAGAAATGCATTAACGAAAGCTCGTAAGGTAAGCAAATCAACTTTTCTTGTCTAATAATAATTTCCATTCATTTAATTGCAAAATGTCTGATAACATTTACTTTTTTTCTTATATCTTTTTAGACACATAAAAAAGTTTCGAGAAGACTTCATGCCAAGTTTAATCAATTTCATCAAAATTGGGTTGAAAAAGAAGTCACCAATGAACAACGAGACGAATGTGAAGACTGGTTAATGGGCCATATCTATGATGATGAAGATGAAGATGTAATTATGAAAAGTGATGGAATCGAAGAGACTCCAGTCGAGGAAAGTCCGATTGAAAATAAAACAAAATTAGATAGTTTAGATTCATTAGCTACGGGTACAACAACAACATCAACTACATCTATATCAACAATAACTACTCCAACAGCAACTACAACGATTAAGCCAACTTCATCTTCTTTGGCCACTATTGTAACACCAATAGTAGTAGGAAGTACAGCAATAACAATTACGACAACAACTTTAACAACACCAGTAACAACATCAACAATATCAACGTTGCCACCTCCACCACCAACAACAACAACAACCACAACAGCAACATTAATAACGACTGTACCTCCACCGCCATCGATGCCACAAAAACCGGCCAATGAACCATTTAAGAGAAAAACTCGGCGCTTACTGTTCGATAATCCAAATAACAGACCTTACAGACCCTTTTGTAAATATTCAACTCAATGTAAATAGATAAGGATAACACGCAACATCCATATATACATGCACAGTAACATCTCTCACCTTCTTCTGAAATACAAATCAAAGCAACTTGATCTTTATTCAGAAGAAGATTTTTTGTCTTGAAAAATGAATCATTTTTGTTCAAAAACGGTTGATATTTATCCTCTCTTTATTGCTCGCGTTCATTTTGTCCACCTTCAATCCTCCTGAATCCCAACCCTTTATTGTATCCAGAGCTCTGTGTTTCTTCACAATTTTTTTCGTGTTTATTATTCCTCAAAAATTTGAAGAAACTCATCTAATTTATTAAAGTCAATTGCAAAATATATATAATTAAAATACATGTATCTCATCAATTTGATTATCAATTAATCACTCCCTTAACTACTGTAAACTATCAACAGTACAATCAAAATTTTAGCCATTTTTTTCTAATGAAATAACAATAGTAATATTAGAATGTAAAATTCGCTTTTTTTTGAACAAAATTTTTTTAAGTCAATGCCTGCAAGCTTGATTACAGTTGACAAGTGCGCTAAATTTATTTTGACAATAAACAATTTTCAAACATTTAGGAAATTCACTTACTGACAGAGTCCTTTCTTAAGTAAGTCCATTCTTTAATCGAGATGGTGACTTAATAAGTCCATAGTAAGAAATATTAACGATTAGCTTCAATTATTTTAAACAATGAACATGAAAACATCTTCAAAATTTTAAGTACGCTGAATCGATCTAGAAATGATCAACAGTCAACAACTAATAAAAGAAGCCAGTAATGAAAATTTCATTGAGATTTACTATTTACAAGATTGAGTATTATGGAATTCAAATGGAAAAGTTTATTGTGAAAATCACATAAAGTTAATTCGTTCATTCTTTAAATACAGATATTTAACCTGCAGATCTTAGGTAAAGTGGTCGTGGGCCAAACCTTATATGATGTACTGTAGCTAGTATCCTTTCCTGCTCATCACATCGCACTCCAAAATATTGTTTAATGTTGAACTTTCTGAAAATGAAGTCCGCTCCGTGACAAAAATATCTTCTCAATGGTAAGACCAGCGGCGTAACTTTTTCATTCAATTCATCGTTATTAACAATATCTTTTAGTCTTTTGAAGTAAGCTTCATTGTACTGGTGTTGACAGAAATCATAAGTGCAGACTCCTTCAGGAATACTGTCTTCAGCTACTAGCTTGAAATCCATCACAATACGTTTGTATTTTTCCCATTCAAATCTTAAACAAAATGTGAGACGAAAACATTCGCCATCACGAATGTGTGCTTCACTGATATCTCGCCTACCTTGGATCCTGGAGACGTCCGAATCAAGATTGTAAATGAGTAAATATAAAAAGCATTGATTAGTATGCATCTTATGACAGGTAATTTCAATTAATTACACAAATGTAACATTACCCTATCTGGTTGACACAGCAAAAACTATCGGGTAGTGTAGTAGGGTAAGGTCGCACCAGGCTAAGAGATTTTGTATATCTATTTGGCACTCCAGTTATTGATTCCAGCTATAAATGTATAACAAAATGAGTTATTGTCCAGAGACCAAATGATAGACTTTACTTACCTGATCAAATAATTGTTGGTATTTGTACTCATATCTTTTATCATTCCAATCAATGACTATGTCATGATATTCATCCAAATGCTTCACTTTGAAAGTAGCTGAATAAAATGAAAGGTAAAGTGTGAATTGTCTTAAATTCATCATTAAAATAAAACTTACTTTTATCAGAATTGTTTTCCTGTTCTGACATTTCAATAAATATTAGTATAAATATGGTTTTGTACTGAGCACCATGAAAAAGACGAAAGAAGAAAATGTCTTTAGCTCAAAGTAAACCTGACAATTATTGAAAAAACTTTTGGACTTGAAAAACTACCAGATTATTTGGCAAACAAGTGTCGACCTGAGCCAAAGCGCTCTTTTCAAACCAAACCGAAATATTCATTGCTGTAATTCATTGTTCCTCTTCTTCTGAAATACACATCAAAGCAACTTGATTTTTATTTAAAATAAAGATTTTTTTGTCTCGAAAAATGAATCATTTTCTGTTGAAAACGGTTTATCCTCTCTGTATTCTCGCGTTCATTTGTCCAGTCAATGCATGGAAGCTTGATCACAGTTAACAATTTTTTCAATTTTATTTTGACAATAAACATTGTGAATAATAAACTTAATGTATGGCACATGAATACTAACAATTTTCAAAGATAACAATCAAACTTTCATTTCGGGGTTCATTAAGAGCACATTTTTATCATTATTGGGCTCACTTTCCTTGATAATCTCAGCTGGAGGTTGACCCCAAAAAGGTTCACCTCTGTTGATTATTTTCACAGTTTGCTTCGAGTTTGATTTACGACAACGTCTTGTATCCTTGTATTTACAAAAATCTCGGCCAAATGCTTTTAGATAACCATAACCCTTTTCCCTGTTGAAAGTACCATCAGGCTTATAAGCATATTCAATACCATAACCATAGCCATAATAATTCCAAGGACCGGTACCATAAAGATGTTTTGGATCGTGTTCAGCCCGATGATCATACATTTTAACCCTCACAGGTCCCGAATTGACCACGGGAATATCAAGGATAACCATAAAGATGACAAATAACCAACAAATCAACTCCAAACTAGTCATTGTTATTCAATCCATGGATAAATTGGACACAAAATAAAAAGTGAAATGGTAAAAGTAGGAGAAATGACGAAAACAAATGAATCACAACACAAGTCAATATCCAAATCACTTGGATCACTTCAACTTAACCAACATTTTGATTCTCATAATTTGAACATATCAATACAAATCAATACTTAGCAGCATAACATATCATAACTGAAACCAGTTTGTACCTTTTTTACCTTCTGCAAACAGTCAACGGAAGTTTAACTTGTCATAATAAATTTTTTGGTGATTCTAATCAACTCGTACCTTTACGTTCTCCTCCCTTCTTTCCTTCGTCTTCTTCGTCTTCCTCCCTTCCCTCATGTATCTTTAACTGTATCTCAAGTAAACCGTCAATCATCGACAATCAAAACATGCAACTAACATAAATTACCATTTACATGTAATTACTAATACTGTTGAAGCATTTTTTACTCACCTCACAACCACTTTATTGTTCATTTTCAATACTGTTTTTTTATTACTTCATTCTTGCTCGATCCATTCATTTGAATAATTTTGATCCTAATTGCTTTTGATAGTTGGCCAAGCAGCAAGTGAAAAATAATAGTTTTAGGTTGACCAGCTAAACAAATGACAATTTCATTAATTTGATGGTTAAGGTTCTCGATTTTACAAAAAGATTTGCTTCTATTGTTTGGCTCATTTTCAATAATGGTTTAACCTTAACTTTATGAAACACTTTTTTTGTTCAACTTATTTGATCTTAGCAGATAATTGTGTTAACAATTCAAACAAAGAAAGGTGGTCTTAATTTCATTACAGTTTATTTGATTATATCGCCAAACAAATGGACACCGAGAGAAGTTTAATGTTGATTTGGGGTCGTTTGATAATAATAACTTTCAATTATTTACAATTTAATCTACGGATGAATGGTTAATCGAAACTTTAAATCTTTAAGTAAAATCGGCTAAATTTTAAGCCAGACTTAGTTCATTATTCAATCGAAATGGCGACTAGTTTAAAGTGACAAGAAATTCAACGAACGATTGAGTTTCAAAAAATTAAAAAAATGAACTCAAACCATGACCAAAATTTTTAAGATTTTACAAGGTTCGGTTAAAGAGGACGCTGAATCACTGATATCTTGCCTACCTTGGATCCTAGAGATGTCCAAATCAAGATTGTAAATAATATGATCACGAAGCAATTAGTTATTAATTGTAATAGTATGCATCTTATGACAATTTTTTCAATTGATTATGTAACATTGCCTTAACTGAACAACGGCTGAACAACAATTTTACCGTGCTGACTTTCAAGTTATAAAGTCTTGGAATCTTTTTAAGTTATTTGTCCATTTCTCAAAATGATTAAAACTCAAATGGACTGTTGACAAAAATGATAAGTGCAGGCTCCTTCAGACATGCTGTCTTCAGCTACTAGCCTGTAATTCATTAAAATACGGTTGTATTTATCCAATTCAAATCTTAACTAAATGTAATTAACTGAATGTTATTCACCATAATGAAATTCAAGGAGGAAAAGTTTATTGAGAAAATCACATTTAGTTCATTCGTTAATTCGTTGAATACAGATATTTAACCTCGAGTTCTTAGGTAAAGATAATCTTGGCATTCATCACCATTCTGTTCAATTTCTTCTCTTCGATACTCAACACAAATTAAATGAAAATATTGTTGAATACTGAATTCTCTGAAAATAGTATCAGCTTCCGAAAACAAATGTCTTTCCAGCAATGGCTGGACAAGCGGCGCAATTTTCGCATTCAATTCATCATTACTAACGAGATCTTTCAACCTTTTAAAGTGACTTTCAGTGCATTGATGTTGACAGAAATCTTGACTGCAGACTCCTTCAGTAACGTAACTTTCTCTTACTAGACCATAGTCCATACTTATACGTTTGGAAACGTAATGATAATAATAAGCACAATATTTGAGGTGAAAACGGTCACCATCACGGATATGCCTACGCATATTACAGAAGCGAGGTTCATTCGCAAAATTAGGTAACAAATCAGGAGTGTACCTATGAAAAAAAGATAAGAAACAATTAAAATATTACATCCTAAGCTAAAAGATTTAAAAAAGTGAAATGTAAGATTACGCTTTTCGGTTGATGCAGCCCAATGCCAAGAGACCGGGAAAGTTAACTTCGTCGGGTCTTGGTATATAAACACTACTTGTGTATCTACTTGGTACTCCAGTTATCGATTCCAACTATAAATGTACAGATAATGAGTTATTGTCCAAAGACCAAGTGAGTAACTATACTTACCTGTTCAAATATTTGTTGGAATTTGTCTACATATCTATCATCGTTCCAATCAATGACTATGTCATGATATTTATCTAAATGCTTCACTTTGAAAGTAACTGAGTGAAATGAAAGGTAAAGATTGAATTAGTTTGGAATCATACATAAAATGGAACTTACTTTAGTCAGAATTATTTTGAATTGCAGATAAAATCAACTTACTTTTATCCTGTTTTGCCATTTTAACAATTATAAATAGCAATATGTGTCTGAATTGGAAAATAGGAAATTAGTGAAGTTAAAACTAAAATACAAAAAGTTTTGAACAAATGTTGATGTTGAATACAACACTATTGGTCGAAAAAAGTTTTCACCTGAGTCAAAGCGCTCTTTTCAAACAAAGCATAAAACACTAAAATTGTAAATCTATTGTATTTGAGTTTATAAGTTATGTTGTCTGTTATTCAGTCAGTCAGATTGTTCATCCTTAATGGACTGGACGTTACGAGGTTAAAAAATTATCACAGTGATGATGCTTTTAAAAGTATAAAATGTCGACTCCGGTGTGAATAATTTTTGTGGAAATGTCATCTTTAAACTCTCAATTCTTGGAGTAGCTTTGGTATCAATTTTGGTTGAATTAGTAACTCAACATACTCAGAGCCGTCAGTTCCTGACTTACATCGAATCAATTTGTGATCAATAAATTCAACGAGTTGAGATCTCAAAGTTCCTTCTGAATTTACATAAAAAGCATCCACACAGTCAAGAAAGAGTTTGATTCATTGGCTTCTTCATCACTCTCGGTTTCAATCGATCTATAACATTATATGTTGAGTTATATTAGTCGAATTACATCTTTTAAATAACTTTGAGGCTAAATTTTACTATTTTTTCATTCTCTAAAACCCTGAAATGAAATTGGAAATGTAGTTTTTAAAAAAGGCAAAATCAGATTTTTAGGCCTTTGTCCATTTAAGACCATAACTCGATAATTTTTGATCGTAATTCGTTAGTTTCTACACAACGTATTCTTGAGAAGTGTACCTTCATTTTATCGGTTAAATGGTGCCTGTCAGTTTAGTCTAACTGTCGCTGTTCAATTTTGAAAAATTAGTCCAAAACATCTCTCTTCATACCTTATAAGACACTCATTATCCAAACTAACTGTAAAAATTTAAACAGGTTAGCATGCAATTGTATTGTATTGTTAGTGATGGGCGATATTCATTTTTTCCGATATCGATATAGAGATTTAGCGAAAATATCGATAATTATAGCCGAAAGTAAGAAGGCGAGAGTGAGCCGACGGTTACTTCTACAGCCGTTTGCTTCTCTTTCAAGTCCAAACTTTTTTGAATTTTTGTCAGTTTTACTCAAGATTTCGCTTCTCCACGTGTTCAGTGTTTCCTAGTTCAGACACAGATTGATAACGATACTTGTTAAAATGGCAGAACAGAATAACAATTCTAATAGAAGTAAGTTTCATTTTATTTATGGATTTAAAATAATCCTCTCTCTGTCTTTCATTTTATTTAGTTACTTTCAAAGTGAAGCATTTGGATGAATATCATGACATAGTCATTGATGTGAATGCTGACAGATATAAATACAAACACCAGCAACAGCCAATATTTGAACAGGTGAATAAAGTTCTACATTCCATCTTTGACTCATCGTAATAACTCATCATTATCTATACATTCATAGCTGGAATCAATAACTGGAGTACCAAGTAGATATACAACTGATGTTATTTTTCATAGAAACATTTACCCTTCCAACGCTCCTAATGCACTTTGGGTTCCGATGGCCTTTTACAACCAAATAGCGTAATACAACATTTCACTAATTGCTATCATTTATCATAATATCTAGATTAATTAACTGCTCTCAACTTTTTTTCTTAGATTCGTTCCTAATTCGGTTATGGGATACGGTGAAAATCAAGATATCTCCATGGTAAACCTTCGTGATGGTGAGCGCTTTCATATCCAATATTATGCTCATTATGACCACTTTATTTGTAAACGTATAAGTTTTCGGTATGTGCTAGTAGCAGAAAGAGATGTTCCTGAAGAAGGCTGCAATCGACATCTCTGTCAATATCAATGCACTGCTAGTTACTTTAAAAAGTTGAAAGATCTCGTTTGTAATGATGCATTGAATGAGAAAATTGACCAGCTTGTCTTACCATTACTTGACCACTATTTGCTTGAGGAAGAGGAGAAGATCTTCAGTGAGTTCAATATTAAACAATATTTATATCCAGCTTGTTTAGGTTATTTTGATTCACGACAGACTCGTTTTGCCCGCCGATTTCAAGTTTATCTAAGAACCCAAGGTTAAATATCTGTATTTAATGGATAAATGTAATTATATAATATAAATATAATTTTCCTCAGTAAACTTTTCTTGTTTCAAAGTGAATAAAAAGAATGAAATCTTGGCAATGTTTTGAAAATTTATTTGTTCCATGAGCTAAATCTCAATTTATAGGGATCTCACAAACATATGGATGATAAGTAAATTAAGTAAATTGTTTATTACATATTTTTGGAATCAGTTTAACAATTGTAAAATAAAGGTTATTATTTACACCATTTTAAATTTTTGTGAATTTAGTGATTAGGTAACTAATCGTTTGCATTTTCTGGTGGGTCGAAATCATCAATTTTAACATCTTGTTCTTCTGCCCATTGTGAAACATCATCGATAACCACTAAAGCGTCAGAAATCAGTTCTTCTTCGTTGATGTTGAACGGCAAAAACTTGATTAAACTATATTCATCGAGCTGATTGGAAAATAAATAAAAATCAATTAATCGTTTGATGAAAATTGGACCATAAATAATTTGAATCTAGACAATAAATTGAACATATCTAGAGTTTAACAAAAACAACAATTTTGGCCGTGCTGACTTTCAAGTTATAAAGTCTTGGAATATTTTTAAGTTATTTGTCCATTTCTCAAAATGATTAAAACTCAAATGGACTGTTGACAAAAATGATAAGTGCAGGCTCCTTCAGGAATGCTGTCTTCAGCTACTAGCTTGTAACTCATTAAAATACGGTTGTATTTATCCCATTCAAATTTTAACCAAAATGCAATTAACTGAATGTTATTCACCAGAATGAAATTCAAAGAGGAAAAGTTTATTGAGAAAATCACATTTAGTTCATTCGTTAATTCGTTGAATACAGATATTTAACCTCGAGTTCTTAGATAAAGATAATCTTGGCGTTCATCACCAGTCTCTTCATTTTCTTCTCATTGATACTCAACACAAATTAAATGAAAATATTGTTGAATACTGAATTCTCTGAAAATAGTATCCGCTTCCGAAAACAAATTTCTTTCCATTAATGACTGGACAAGCGGCGCAATTTTTGCATTCATTTCATAGTGCATACTTATACGTTTGGAAACTCTATGATCATAATAAACACAATATTTGAGTGAAAACGGTCACCATCATACCGGATAATTTACCTTTGGATATCACTGAAGCGAAAATCGCTGCAAAAATTTGGCAACAAATCAGGAATGTATCTATGAAAAAAAGATAAGAAGCAATATACATGTAGATGTACAGATGCTCAAAAATTCTTAAGCTAGCTTCAGATTAAGGCTTTTCTATTCATTAAACGAAAAATTCACAATTGTTAGTTATTATTGGTGGTATCAGATACATATATCGGATAGTATCTTTGTGTACATATAACCTCAACCGTTCAAAAGTTCTTTTGAAATCAAAGTTTGAATTTTTGTCAGTTTTACTTTGCGTGGAAGATAGTTTCAATTTTTTCTTATTAAGCAGTTAAGAGTCTTAACTTAAGACACAAATTGGCATTGACACTTGTTAAAATGAAAGGACTGAATATAAGTAAGTTTTATTTTATTAAAAGGGTGTTCAATGTGTCCAACTTCCAAACTGGAGGAGCTTAAGCTATGATAACAATGATCCCAATAACAAAAGTAAAGAGTGAAAGGCAAAATGTTGTCTTTTCTTGAGTTATCTTGCTTATAATGTTTTTGATTGTGATTATCATAATTTAAGCCACATCAGTTTGGAAGTAGTTACATTGAACATCCTTTATGAATTTAAGATTATTCACACTTTACCTTACATTTCATTCAGCTACTTTCAAAGTGAAGCATTTAGATGAATATCATGACATAGTCATTGATTGGAATGATAATAGATATGAATATAAATACCAACAATTATTTGAACAGGTAAGTTAAGTCTATTATTCAATATTGAAAAATAACTTATCATTTATACATTTATAGCTGGAATCAATAACTGGAGTACCAAATAGATATATACATGAGCTTGGCTTGGTAAGACCTTACCCTACTACACTACCCGGTATTGTTTGCTACGTCAACGAGGAAAGGTAATGTTACTGTTGCATAATTTTAATTATTTAGCATAAGATGCATACTTATTAATTTTTCTTTACATTATGTATTCAAAATCTTGATTTGAACATCTCCAGGATCCAAGGTATAGATATCCATGGAGCACGTATTCGCAATGGTGAATGTTTTCGTCTCAAATGCTGGTTAAAATTTGAATGGTTTAAATACAACCGTATTTTAATGAATTACAAACTAGTAGCTGAAGACAGCATTCCTGAAGGAGCTTGCACTTATGATTTCTGTCAACACCAGTTCAATGCAACTTACTTTAAAAGACTAAAAGATATTGTTAATAACGATGAATTGAATGCAAAAGTTTCGCAGCTGATCCGATCGTTGAGAAGAATTTCGTATGTAACGTCGGACAACATTTTCAGAAAGTTCAACATTCTACAATATATTTGTGTGCAGTGTGTTGTGTATGAAATGCTGTTTTATGATAGTATTGTCCCACGCCCACTTTACCTGAGGTGTGCAGGTTAAATATCTGTATTTATAATAATAAAAGCACGAATGAACTGGATGTACTTTTTTCCATCATGTCCATAATGTTGCCAAATGAAGGCACAATGAGAGAAATTGAATTACGATCGAAATAAAATAAGAATCACGTTCAAGTATTTACAATTTTTCATCCACCGATCCATGAATGATTAATCGAAACTTCAAATCTTAAGTCAGCTCGACTTACTTGTCAGTCTATTATTCAACCGAAATGGCTGCTAAATAAGTCCATCGTGCCAAAAAATTTCATAAGCAATTGAGCTTTAATAATTTTGAGCAATGGCAAAATAACTTGATAAGATTTCCAAGACTTCTGGTCTTAAAAGTCAGCACGGCGAAAAAATGTCCGGTTAAGGTAATGTTACATCATTCATCCGTGAATTAAATTGTAAATAATTGAAAGTTGTCGTATTATCAAACGACCCCAAATCAACATTAAACAACTCTCGGTGTTCATTCGTTTTTGCGATATAATTAAATAAACTGTAATGAAATTTAGATCACCTTTCTTTGTTTAAATTGTTAGCACAATTGTCTGTTAAGATCAATTAAGTTGAACAAAAAATCAAAAAAGCAATGAATTAATATAAATCCTAAGCTGCATGATTTGCTAGAGTGAAATGTGAGATTACGCTTTGAGGTTTTCGCAAAACCATGGAATGACATAAGAAAAGTTAACAGGTCTTGGGACAGAAAAAATAGTTATGTATCTACTTGGTATTCCAGTTATTGATTCCAGCTATAAATGTATTTCAAAATAAGTTACTGTCCAAAGGCCAAAAGATAGACTTAACTTACCTGTTCAAATAATTGTTGATATTTATATTCATGTCTATCATCATTCCAATCAATGACTATATCATGATATTCATCTAAATGCTTCACTTTGAAAGTAGCTAAATGAAATGACAGGTACTGACCTTCTACAAAAATTAACTTTACGATCATGAAGACTCAGAAAAGAACATTTTATTTCGATTTTAATACTTCCATTTTCATAAGAAAATATTGAAACTTTTGGGTTAACCTTCAGCTTTTACATCTTGTCATTAAAGATGACAGAATAAATGTTTAAAATTTTATTCAAATTATGATGAACTATTTATTAAAGGAGACAGAATGAAAACTTGCAGATTCATTATACAAATGAAAGAGAAAGAGTTTGCTAAGAAAAATTACATTAAGTCGATTCGTTGAATACAGATATTTAACCTCGGGTTCTTAGATAAAGATCTCGGTGTTGTTGGTCAATCCATAACGTTCTTGGCCTGCGCTGTTCGACACAATTTATCCTTAAATATTGTTTAATATTGAACTCACTGAAAATCTTGACCGCTTCTGAATACCTCTCACGTATTAATTGACGACGTTCATTCATTAATGGCTCGACAAGCTGAGTAATTTTCTCATTCAATTCATCATTACTAACGAGATCTTTCAACCTTTTAAAGTGACTTTCAGTGCATTGATGTTGACAGAAATCTTGACTGCAGGCTCCTTCAGTAACGTATCTTTCAGCTACTAAAAAATACCCCAAACTTATACGTTTGGAAACTCTATAAGCATACTCAGCATAATATTGGAGGTGATAACGCTCGCCATCACGAATTTTTCGCGGTCGGGTATCATCTTCCCGATAATCATCGCGTGAATAGTTGGGGAAATTCGGTAACAAATCAGGAGTGTACCTATGAAAAAAAGATAAGAAGCAATGAATTAATATAAATCCTGAGCTAAATGATTTAAAAAAGTGAAATGTAGGATTACGCTTTGTGGTTGAAGAAGCCAACTGAAAAGGTACGGGGCAAGTTAACTTCGTCGGGCCATGGTATATAAACACTACTTGTGTATCTAGTTGGTACTCCAGTTATCGACTCAAGCTATAAATGGATATACAATCAGTTACTGTTCAAAGGTTAATTGATAGACTTACCTGTTCAAATACTTGTTGGTACATGTTTGGATATCGACATCTATCCTTAGAACAATCAATGACTATGTCATGATATTCATTCAAATGCTTCACTTTGAAAGTAACTGAGTAAAATGACAGAGAAAGAGTGAATTATCTTAAATTCATCAATAAAACAAAACTTACTTTTATCAGAATTGTTATTATGTTGTGCCATCCCAACTAGTATCAATATGTGTCTAGGAACATGAAACAGTGAAAGGTTTGAACTGAAAGCAAAAGTGGAAGGGACGGAATTGAAAAGGTTTAGAAACAAGCAAAGAGCAATATTATTGGCCGAAAACAAGTTTCAAGACATGATGAACTTATTCTAGTCAGAATTATTTTGAATTGCAGATAAAATGAACTTACTTTTTAATTTTAATTTAACTTATTTAATTACAATTTTAACAGATATCAATATTAATATGTGTCTGAACTGGAAATAAGTGAAGTTAAAACTAAAATAATATAAAAAAGTTTTGAACAAAGGCTGATGGTTAATACAACACTATTGGTCTAAAAAAAGTTTTGACCTGAGCCAAAGCGCTCTTTTCAAACAGAGCATAAAACACTAAAATTGTAAATATTTGAGTCCATGAGTGATGAATGAATGAGCGCATTGCTTTTCGCAATTAGTAAGTATCTTTATTCACTTATAAGTAATTTAGAATGAATAATGTCAAATTTATATTTATTGAATTACAATAGTCAATTATGGTATAATGTATTTATATTGTTCATCCTTAATGGACTGGACGTTATGAGTTTAAAAAATTATCACAGTGATGATGCTTTTAAAAAATATAAAATGTCGACTCCGGTATAAATAATTTTTGTGGAAATGTCATCTTTAAACTCTCAACTCTTGGAGTAGCTTTGGTATCAATTTTGGTTGAATTAGTAACTCAACATACTCAGAGCCGTCAGTTCCTGACTTACATCTAATCAACTTGTGATCAATAAATTCAACGAGTTGAGATCTCAAAGTTCCTTCTGAATTTACATAAAAAGCATCCATACAGTCAAGGTAGAGTTTATTGAATGAGTAGCCTTCGAATCCTTTTTTCCCAGAGTTATCCAACTTGTCTCCTTCATCAGCTTCTTCATCACTCTCGGTTTCAGTATCTTCATTTTTACCTTTAATGGCTCGTTTAGAAGATTTGCTTAATTCACCGTTGCTCAATTGTGTTGAATAGTAATTTAAAATTAGTAGGAAAATTTTTCGAGAATTATCAGGTAAATTGTCGTATACATTTGAAACCGCCATAATAGTAGCAGCAGCAGATCGATGTTTACTGGAACCAGATGTTCTACTGGTACTTAATTGAGCAAAGCTTTTTTCGATGTTATAATCTTGAAATGTTGGACAGTTCAGCCAAACCAAATTTAGTGTAACAGTTTCAGAGCAAGTAAACAGCAATGGTGAGTTTAAATGGTCCACAGAAGTTAAGAGATGAATTTGGGAGGATCTATTCAAAATTTTGTTCACCAATGGTTTAATCTTATTGTGCTTGATACATAGGCGGTCAAATGAATGAATAACCAGGAAAATGGGTTCCTTTAATTTGTCAATCTTTTTCATGATCACATCTTCGTCCATTTTATCACAGTTTAAGGCTTCTCGGAAGGCAGAGAGTATTTTGCGTGGATTAACATCCTCTTTATATCCATAAAAAACAATGACAATATTTTGATTTAAATAACTCGTAATAAATTCATCAATTATGCCCCGTTTCGATCCAACACCATACAGAATCACGTTGTAATTGTTAATTAACAGGGCATGAATTTTTGGACACAAATTTTCTTTGTACAAGTTCAGGAGTTGAAGTTTTTCTTTAACATGATTTTCATATTTGTTTTTGCAACCATCAGACTCATCAGGGTCAAAGTCAGGTAAGGTGTCTTCATATTTACTTGGTTTAGTTGAGTTGGCCAGAAAATAGTTAGCAGCAGTTGATTCATCTCCTCCTTTAAATGCCATAGTCACAAATTTAAAAACAATTTAAACTCAACAATAAAACTAAAATGTTTACAAAACCTCGATAAACTGCGCTCAAATTTTCAAGCTAAAAATCCTCAAAAGTCAAGCAAAAGAGCCTCTTTGAAAGGGGAGCTCATTGAGACTCTGCAGCACCATCTATCGATGAAATACATCTTACATTTTCTTGTTTTGATGAATGGATCTAGCAATCTTTTTCAACAACATTGTGCATGCAAATTTGTTTACTTTGCAAATTGAATCCAGGAACCAATTTTCTTGAATATTAGATAAAATTTCCCAGGAATACCAAATTAGTATTTATCAGCTTAATCGGAAGTATTGTTCAATCACCAATGGAAACATCATTCAAAGGTTTGGCAGACGATTTAAACAATATACCATTAGCTGATGAAGATGCTCCAGATGAAGAGGAAAGTGATGATGAAGGTGCATCTAGACTTGATTTGAACCATAGTTTAACTCAGGATCCAAGCTTCGATTCATTAGGCTCTAATGATCAACAAACTGATATTAATTGTAAGTATTTACGTATATTTTTACTATCATTCAAAAATTTTAAAAATACTATAGATACCCTTAAGATTTTTATTATCAATTGTATCTATCTATTTGTTGTAGTTTATAATCCTTTCTTTTCTAATTTTAATTTTCAGCCTTTGATCCAGAAATGAATAAGGAAGAGATCGAGGAAAGAGAAAGATTAATTCAGCAAGTATTGGAGCTACAAAACACTTTAGATGGTAAATAATTTGATTTAAAATTTGTTGTTTTCAAATGTATTCCGGTGTTTCAAGATTTTCTATCACATTATTTTTTTTCGTTTCTGTTTTTATTAGATCTATCATTGCGAGTCGATGGTGTAAAAGAGGAAAATCTGAAATTAAAATCTGAGAATCAAGTTCTTAGTCAATACATAGAGGACTTAATGTCTGCATCAACTGTTTTTCAATCGACATCACCAAACGTTTCCAAGAAAAGGGGGAAATTATAAATATATTGTTCGTGCTGTTATGTAATGAAATGGTTTAACAATTATTCAGTGTGAAATCAAGAATTATTTTCACTCTAGAGAAGGACTGCAATTATATAATTTAAATGCCAACCAGATTAAGAATAATTACTTTCGATGAGCTACCTAATTGGATGAAAGACAATGATCTAGTTATCACTGGCTATCGTGCACCAACACCATCTTTCTGGATCTGTGCTAAAACATTATTTTCTCTGCACAACGAAACATTGTCTATATGGAGTCACCTGTTGGCTTCGATTTATTTTTTCTCTCTTTATGCTTCAGATTTAAAATATCGCCATTGTCGTACTCTGGTGAATGATGATCTCTTTCTCAAACTGTATTATTTAACAGCCACAATTGCCTTCATATGTAGCGCTATTTATCACCTGTTTTGCTGTTACTCTCATTATGTTCGTGACATTCTCGTGAAGTAAGTAGACATCTTTCTGAATGGAAATAAGATAAATCCTCTTGCACATTTTCCACTTAGGGTTGATTACATTGGAATAACGATTTTTATCACTGGTTCTTTTATGACCTGGCTCTATTATGCTTTTCACGGAGAAACATCTCAAAACTGTGTTTATCTTTATGCTATCTGTTTTGGTGGCTTATTGGTTGGGATTTTGACTCAGCTTGATCATTTCAACGCAAGAGAAAGTCGTGGTCATAGAGCAGGTTTGTAATGTCAATACTCTATCCTTACTGCAGTTTATTAATTAAGATTCTTAATCAATTGTTTTAGGTATTTATGTTATCTTTGGGCTTTCATTAACAATTCCAGCCATTTTGTTGTTTCAAAAATCTTGTAAATCACGGCAAACAACTAAAATAATCAGTAGCGTGATCTACACTACTATCATCTATATGACTGGAGGATTCATCTATACAACTCGACTTACCGAACGATTATGGCCCGGAAAAGTTGACATAATTGGCCATAGTCATCAAATATTTCATGTTATTGTGGTTATTGCATCTATTGTCCATGAAAAGATGATTGTCTTTATCGCTACTACAAACGAGGAAATGGTTGATACTAAAAAATGGCTGTTATGAAGTTATTTTTAGAAATATCTTATCATTGAAACATACTCATTGCATTAAAAGATGTTGATTAACAAGCTTGAACTACTATTCAATCTAATCAATATTTTCAATAATGAAAACATATTCAAATTACAGCTTACAAATTGATCAATTAAAAGTGTGAAAAACAAAACAATGAAATAAATTTTAACTAACCCTTTCAAATAAAGATATTTTTATAAAATAGTGTCATTAATTTTTGAATGCATGATATAAGAATAAATCAATTTCTAAAGCTATCACTAATAATTCATGATGTAAATGCCGCCAAAGATACAAAAATGGATTGATTCTTGGTTGCTGATGGAAACGAAAGCCTTCCGGTTGTCATAGTTTATAAAAGGTTAGTATCGATTTATGATTTTTAAAATTATAAATATTACAATCTATTGGTTGATCTAGGTTAACTTATAATTATTACCCAAAAGATTATCTTGTTGTATATTATTGCAGAAATTAAGCTTTATCTATTATTGCTTTTTGACAGTTCAACCATTTGTTTACCACTCCCAGCATTTCGTGATTTTTCAACAAAACAAAAGGTTGACATAATTGCTTCCAGTTTTTAATTTATTGTGATCAATACACAACAATGGAAACATCATTCAAAGGTTTGGCAGACGATTTAAACAATATACCATTAGCTGATGAAGATGCTCCAGATGAAGAGGAAAGTGATGATGAAGGTACATCTAGACTTGATTTGAACCATAGTTTCACCCAGGATCCAAGTTTCGATTCATTAGGCTCTAATGATCAGCAAACTGATATTAACTGTAAGTTTATGCAATTATTATTTCATTTATTCTCTTAATTCATTGTTACATTTTGTGCTATGATTTAAAAATTACAAATATACTATAGATACCCTTAAGATTTTACCATAAATCGACTCAATTTGTTGCTTATAATCCTTTTCTTTCTTGACTTTAATTTTCAGCCTTTGATCCAGAAATGAATAAGGAAGAGATCGAGGAAAGAGAAAGATTAATTCAGCAAGTATTGGAGCTACAAAACACTTTAGATGGTAAATAATTTGATTTAAAATTTGATTTTCTATATTCTGTGCTCAAATTTATGTTCAAAGATGTTGAATCTCGTTATTATAACATTATTTTCTGCTTCTTCTAGATCTATCATTGCGAGTTGATAGTGTTAAAGAGGAAAATCTTAAATTAAAATCTGAGAATCAAGTTCTCAGTCAATATATAGAAAATTTAATGTCTGCATCGAGTGTTTTCCAATCGACCTCACCAAAAGTTTCCAAGAAAAAAGGAAAAAGATAAATGGACAAGTTACCGCAATCGCAATGGGTATAAGCGTCTTATATGTAAATTATTGTATGCCGCAGCTAATATGCAAGATTCAGAGATATGCCGTACAGCAAATGCTGGCCAGTCATTAATTATGTTCGTGTTTGTCCGAAATTTTTATTCAAATGTGTATCTTTTCTTTGATTTATTCACACTGGCAACTTTGTTTTTTCAATTGTTGTACTTTAAATTGTTTTGGATTTCATTTAACCTCCTCAACCATGTCATTTTGAAACCTAAATGATCTCAATTAAACTTTAATCTACTGTATTACACATTGAATACGCAAACAGTTAGACTTTGAAGTAAAAATCATGCCAAACGAACATTGAATAATTCAATTTTTTCGAGAGATTAATTTTATTAATTAACTAATGCAAATTTTAGATGAAACAGTAACTTTTAACTAGAATATCTTCCTATTATAAAACAGCATTTAAATTTGGTTTTGCTTGGGCTTTAACTTTAAATTAAAAGACTTTAGATTCCAAATGATGACCAGAAATTAGATAAATGAATTTTTTTGTACAGTCAGGTAGTCAAATTCAGGAATAAGATGATCAAATTGAAGCACCATACAGTTGGATAATCAAAATTGAATAAGACAATCCCAATTCGGAATGAAATTATAGCTGAAGTGTTGTCTTCGTGTTCAATCTTCATTTTCCAAGTCTTCAGAAATAAATCATTGTCGGCATCATAGAATCAACTTTTTGTACAGGAATTCGGTGAAAATCGGTAACATGAAATCGAATATCAGAAAATACTTGATCACATAGACGACATTTTCCTGATCCAGTAACGTTGATGGTTCCCGTGGAAGTTTGGTTAAGGTTATTAGATTGGAATGTGTTAATACCATTAAATAACTCTTGATTAGGTAGCGATGAAAGCGGCAAAACTTGGAATTGAATTTCTGGTTGAACAAAGTGCTCTAGAGGAGAAAGATTCTGCTGTGACGGAGGAGAGAAAGATAAAAAAAGATTAGATGATGTACCGAAAGATATTTACCAGATGAATAATAGAAAATATTGATTTAGCAAATCAGAACTGACTTGTTGTTGGATAAAAGACAAAGATATGAGATAATACAAATTGAATTATCTATACCGATAAGTATCTAAATCACTTGAATATAACTCACGAGAGTGAACAGTGTTTCCAAGAGTCAATTATCAAATTGAATGCAATTTTCTATTTAAGTACCATATTTTACAAAATCTAGATTGAATTTAATTATACTACTTTCCCTGACAGTTGATAAAAGTCAAGATGTGTAAAAGGGTTGAAGACCTAGTTCACAGCCATAGTAAGAAACTAGTTTTGGCAATAAAAATAAAGATTCAATACCATATTTTGTTGTTGCTGCTCAAGAACATCCAGATGAGAATGTGGAGTGACATTTATAGTAACTTCTTTGGTGAAATAAGAGTGATCCGAAGCTTGCACTGTTTTGATAGGTCGAATAAAACGACGAGATGGAGCATTGACGGTAATAGCAACAGCGGTTGAATTTGAAGACACATTAGTTGCGGGATGATGAACATTTTCACCAGAATCACTGGTCATTGATAGATTAACATTGGCTCCATTATCTAAATTACCAGCATTAGGTACATTATCATTATTATTATCATTAGAGGCAAAGTCAACATTAATCAAGCCATTACTTGTATCTCCTTCTCCAGTGGCTTCGCCCGATTTGTCTCCATTCGGATGTCTTCGTCGAATATGTTTTATCATATTACCTTGGAATAAAAATTTTCTTCCACAATATTTGCAAGTGTGACGCATAACTCCTAAATGCGTATCTTTATGAGCTCTAAAAGCAGAGCAGCTTTTAAATTGTTTGGAACACTGTTGACATTTGTAAAATTTCTCATCCGAGTGTACTCGTAAATGGCATTTCAACCTATTGGACATGGTAAAAGCTTTACCACAATGTTCACACACATAAGGCTTGTCTCCAGTGTGCTCTTTACGTCTATGACTGACCAGACTAGATATGGAAACATAACGATGACCACAAATATCACATTGAAACGGTTTTTCGTGATCAGTTCCATGAAATGAAACAAGATGACGGATTAAACTATGCTTAGACATCAGGATTTTACCGCACTGGTCACATTGAAAGGTATGATTATACATCTTGGGTGGAATGCTGCTACTGGTGGATCCATCGTTATCGTCCAATTTTTCATTATGTTTGACAACCTTGTGGTGATTCAAGCTACTTTCATAAAGAAACCTTTTACCACAAGTTGAACAGCAATAAGGTCGCTTTGGATTCAATACTTTCCAATCTTTACCTCTTACATAGTGATAATCTTTTGGCTTCTTTTTCCGATTCACTTCACCCTTTTAAATGAAATAAAAAAAATAAAATATTGGTTAATAGGCTTATTTTATGAAAATTTTAACTATTTTTGAAAATATGAGCAATAAGAATAAACTCAATTTAGAAAATTTTACAAATAAGTTTGTTGATAACAATGGACGTACCTCTTTTTTGTCTTTCTTACCAACAACATGGACATCTCTAATATGATAACCAAGTGCTTTATCAGAGTTGAATTTTTCTCCACAAAGTTTACAGTCACAAGGTAAAAAATTAACAGAGGTCACTTTTCGGCCACGAGTTTCGGAATCATGTTTAGTTTCCACAGAGTCTTCTTTCTCTTTATTGGAAAGATCAGTTTCGCCGGCAACCGTATCAATATCACTTAAAGCTGGATTGTCAGCACCTTTAATTGCATCAGAATCATTTTGAATCGTTTCCTCCTCCTCGTCTTCATCTCCTTCATTGGTAACTACATTTTGACTAGTTACTTGTCTGGATCGAGATTCTTTGTCGTCAATGACTTCTGCAAATGTCATCATCTTGGCTGTTTAAAGCTAATGATAAATTATCTCGACTCAGCTCAAGCTTTATTGTATATATGGACTAATTTAAAGTGTTCTGTCCAAAAAACATTGACCAAGGTAATCAATTAGCAACAATGGTGCAAATGTACCTTTTAAACTAATCGAAAGATGAATTTTTCTTCAAGGGGCAGACTTGATATACATTATATCAAACAGGGATAAATATCACAGTTGACCAGTCTTGGTTTTAAGATTTAAATTTATGACGGAAAGTGTTTACTAATGATATTTGATAGGCTTGATACGCCTCCAAATCACTTTGGTCGACTTCAATATGTACATAGTTTTTAAGGCAATTGATGAGTGACAATTAGTTAAAGTTAACAATGCAATAGTTAACAAATCAATTTTTTCTTGTCCAGTTGAACATGATTTTTTAAAGATGATTGTTCATGAAAAAAATAGAGATACAGAAATCACAGGGAGAAAGCAGAAGACACTCACATTGAAAAAGCAGTTTTTTTGCACAAATGGTTGACCTGTAATGGTGAATTATTGAGATGAGATCATAATAGATATGTTATTAATAAGAGATATTAACCTTCTATAATAATCATAAACTGTTAAAATATGAACAATTAACATGAGGTTAAGAGAAATGAGAATAGGAAATAATAATTAACAAAGTGATTTGGATTGTTCTCACTTTCTCCTTCGCTCTCGCAGTGTAAGACGAAAGAGACTATAAGACACACATTATCCAAACTAACTGTAAAATGTAAACAGGTTAGTATAAAAATAGCCTCGAGATTTATTGTATTTTTCAACATGTTTGCATAATGTAAATTGTATTTATTATTGATCAAGATCATGATCTAAGCTCAGTTTTAAGCAATATTTAAATTATACTAATGTAAAAGAATAACGGCTCATAAATTAATGCTGTTTAAAAGAATGCTGTCTTCCTTTTTCTTTAGCCATGAGATACTGATTACCGGACAAATTTTTACCATTTAAAATTTAATGAATGTTTTCTTCTGTTGAAATAGTCACATTTAAATAAAATACATTCAAGTTTCCAGTATAATCAAGGTGTCTATCTTGATTTATCTTACAAACATATGGATGATAAGTAAATTAGATAAATTGTTTATTCCATATTTTTTCGGAAATTTTTCGGCAAAATTGGAAACAGTTTCACAATAGAAAAATAAAGGTTATTATTTACACCATTTTAAACGTTTGTGAATTCATTGATATGGTTACTAATCGTTTGCATTTTCTGGTGGGTCGAAATCATTAATTTTAACATCTTGTTCTTCAGCCCATTGTAAAACATCATCGATAACCACTAAAGCGTCAGAAATCAGTTCTTCTTCGTTGATGTTGAACGGCAAAAACTTGACCAAACTATATTCATCGAGCTGATTGGAAAATAAAATAAAAATCCATTAATTGTTTGATGAAAATTGGACCATAAATAGTCTGAATCTAGACAATAAATTACAATTATCTAGAGTTCAACAAAAACAAGTTTACTTACTACTGATGCGATAGCCATGGTTAACTGGCGATATTTTGCTGCCCATTCACTATTTAAAAAGTCATCACCTTGTAAAAGCTCAGGTCCCAGGTCAAAAAAATTATCAAGATCATTTCTTTGAGCTTCACTGAGCAAATCAGTTTTTGATAATAGACTAACAAAGGAAACTTCTAAGTTGATCATAGTCGCTAGAGATGCAAACGATCCAGAGAAAAATTTGCCCAAATCAGTGACAAACTGGGCATCTAGAAGGAATACTCCACACAAGCGAAAGTCTAGATTCTCCTTGAGAAATCTCACCAAACGAGCAATTATATCAAAATGAGTGAACAACTCAATCTGACCAGGAATGTCAAATAAAATGTATTCCTCATCTCCTTCTTCTAATCTTTCCTGCAGCCAGTCAAGATTATTCATAAACTCTTCCATACAGTATATCAAGGCACCATTAGGTCCAAGGTGTAAATCTTCATCCTCCATCGGGTCAGCAGCTTGAATTATCTCTCGTATATCAATGATCGGCTCGTATTCAAAGTGTTCAGCAGCAGGATCAAGATTAATAACATGAGCTTTTCGACGAAGGGCTTCACAGTGTTTCACAACAGCTGAACAATAAGTTGATTTACCACTACCAGCAGGTCCCAAAACTAATTGTCCAAACCTCATCTTGAACAGAAAAAAAACTGCCTAAATAATCAAGTATAAAATTAAAAAAGCTAACCAATAAATCCAAACATTAAAAATAAACATGTGAGAATGTTTATATTTTGCTTTGCTTTGCTTTTGTTTAGGTGTTCATAGATGGAGACGCAATTGATTTTAGTCAAAAGTGGTTTGAAGTAAGGCGACACCTTAAAGTTGCTTTACTCGAGCAAGAATGAATGAATGAATGAGCCAGATTCACCTTACACTGCTAATTAATCTGATTAAGCTTAGGCAAAGTAAATTGAAGTATACTTTATTAACAAGACATTTAAGAAATCGATTAAGTTCATTGAATGAATTTAAAATTGTAAAAAATTAAAAATAACCAAGTTTCCAAGAGATTTACCATCTTATTATATGAATTTGTAATATTGTGTACATTGATTATCAACGAAGGAATGATTTGAGAGTTTTAACTAATGGTGAAATAGGAAACTTAAATGAGCAATCATGTATCGTGTGATTGGATTAGTTGATGAGTCTAATTGATTTGATCCGTTTTCCTTCAAAAATGGTTTACATGATGGACCCTTGAAGTTAAATTCACTTGCTGGACAAATCATATCAGGTAATTTACCAAAAGTTTTGTCAATGAAATCAACCATAGATTTTTTGCCATCTTCCTGACAATGAGTTGTTATTTTTCTGTTGGATAGATAAAGGTTGATTGTGTTAAAATCCGAATAATAAAACTTAATATGAGCTTAATACTTACGCATAGAGACAGTCGTGCCAGCGATTATAGGAACAGCAAGCTGATTGTAATCGATCATCCATTGTTTCTATCTGATTAGTTCCGTCTACCGAAGCTAAGAATGGATTGTTACAAGACTCTTTATATTCCTTGGTTGACAAAACCTTTTCCACAATGCAAGGTGAATGTTTGAGGAAATCTTTGGAAGGAATAGCAATAAAGAAAATTAAATTTTATGGATTAATGAATATCTTTGACTGACATAGAGATAAACCTATTTTCAATCAACAATTATAAGAGCAATTGCCAATAGGCTGTCTATTATCTCTAAACTAGTTTACAAATTGTTCATAATTTTATTGTTTGGAAGAAATGCTGATGAAGCTCAGACGATTCATCAGCTTCTTTGCCTGAGAACTCATAAACTCTGTCTTCGTCTTTATTTAATAGTAATAAATAATGGACCAACTTACCTTCTCGCATCTGTCCTGGTTTGCAGAATCTATCAATTGAATGAGTAAACTCGTCTACGATATAATCAGCAAGTTCCCTCTGTAATGGTGTACCACATTTTTGGACATGATCCCTTAAACATCTCATGACATCTTTTGAATTGCTGCACAAAAGATTGACCAGAATGTTTTACTGTTCATTTAAACAGAATTACTTGATTAAATTGAAAGTACTTACATGCAAACATCATCCAATCCTCTTGAAGTACTGAGTAAATCCGATGAAGACACTGATCCATTTGAATATTTATCAAATACACCGAAACAATCCTCAATCCGTTTGAGATGACAGTTCATCTTCAATTTTTTAGCCTTCAAGGAATCATCACACAGTGAAAATCCGAATATAAAAATTGTAATTAAACAAAATCTAATCATGATTAACATGGACAGAAAATAGAACAAGAATATTTTAAAGACAAAAGGCAAACAAAGAAACGGTTACAGCAAGATGGTTGACAAATGATTCAGCGAGCAACTGTTGTAAGAAATACACTCAGCTTAAGATTTAAACTCGGAGTAACTTTATATCCAAAAGCTTCAATGTTGCAAATTATTAATTGTAACAGAGAAGTTACTTTGACTGAGTAAATTATTGAACTGATTTGAAACAATTTGAAACACTGCTAGTTATAAATGAAGCTTATTTTATGAGACCTCAGGTCTAATTTGGAGATGGTTTTGTCTTTAAATCAAAGTGCACAAGTTGATAGAATGAGTAAGAAAGTTATAATGAAATGATTTGAGATGCAAATTTATTTCAATAAATCGACCTTTATTGAGCTTGTTAATTAATTGTCATTAGATTCGGTTGAGTAAGAAATTCCAATCAATTCTGTTTGGATAAAGATGTTGCATTAAATCAAAACAATATGATTTGAGAGGTGATTTTCCCTTTACTTTCAAGTGATTTCATTTTCACTTGTTTATTTGTTCTTCTAGAAGGTTCAAGTTTCTTTATTGCCAGCATTTATGGAAATCCTGAAGGTTGAATTATTAATATTAATCATCGTTCAAAATGTTTATCACACCGTTTTCATATAATCAAATATTGGTTGAGGTAAAAATTCATTGTACTTTTGAGACTGAGAAATCTTGAACCTTCAATTTTAAATAATAGAAACATTGATAATGATAGGGTTACTTTCTTTCGTTTCTACTCGGGTTGAAATCTGAATTAATCAGACTAATTGAATCACATTTCAGCCAATTTATCCTCATTTAAAACAATAACATGTAAAATTGGTCCATATTTGCAAATGAAAAATATAATCATTTTGAAATGAAAACCTATCATTGTTGCATCCAGTCTCTCCATTCAGCCAAATCAGGTTAGCCATACAATAAAACTCAGTAATACATTTTAATTAAAAGTTAATTACTTAGTCATTCTGTTGTTTGGATCAAAATTTTTTGATGAAATTTAATCTACACTTTAAAATCAACCTTAAAAGTTATTTATAATAAAAAAGAGATTAAAATAGATTGTAGTAATAATATATATCACAATGAGATGTTTTTGCTCCTTCGCTATGGATTGGATGGAATGAGAGATATATTAAAAAAAGAGAAATCAATTTGATTATAATTAAAAATGCAAAAAAAAACAATGACTGACTGAGCATTTTGTTTGTGGTCATTAGAAAAATGAAGATGGCTGAGACTTCTGTGAAGGCACCAATGAAGTCAATATATACATTGAAGCAGCCGAGAACAGAGCCGTTAGTGGAACTGTTAAAATCCAAGCCATTGCTATGTTACCAAAAAGCTTCCAGTCAACCGACTTTTTAGGTTCTCGATAACCAAGAGCACGAGCTCGAAAGGCACCTACACAGATTACTGATCCAACTTTACAATGAGTCGTGCTTATGGGTATACCAGCTTTGGAGGCTAAAAGGACGGTCGCTGCTGAACCAATTTCAATGCTGAATCCAGTTGATGGTGTGATTGTGGTTAAATCAGAGCCAATGGTTTTAATTACTTTACTGCCCCAGACAATAAGGCCAACAGAAATACCAATTCCACCATAAATCATTAAATAATAAGGTGATTGACCTGTTTGGAAGACGTTTCCTTCTTGATGAATCAAGACAACAGCAATTAATGGTCCTATGGCATTGCTACATGGTGAGAGAGAGAACAAAAGAAAATTATTTTCATTGCAAGTAAAAATCAATAAAAAGCTGGATAAGATTAAGACAAAAACAATTTCCAGTGAAATAATGATCATTTCATTTTTAACCCCAGACATTCTGCCAATTACATGGTATTAAGCTCTTTATGGCAGTCTTGATCAAAATGAGTGCTACTTTTTTCATTAAGATAGTAAATAACCATTACAACATTGATTTTTTTATCTTTAGGTCTGTATTTCAAGATTGATTATTGTGATGCATTATTACCTAACGTCGTTAGCTCCATGTGCAAATGAACCAAAACAAGCTGTCAATATTTGTAAATATTTGAACAAAGTTGCTATTTCAGGTTTTTCAGAGTTAAAAGCATCTCCACCAGAATGATTCATTTTCTCATTTGCAGTGCAATTTTCAGCCTGGAAAGAAAAGTATGAAAATGTGAAAATTACATTCTGTATAAATTAAAATTTGACTCAATGCTGAAAATTACTTCTATTTTAGCCGACTCCACATCGTGAGTTGATTTAAGTGTCATTGATTCCATAGCTATCACAGCTCCATTAGTTTTTTCTTCAGCGATATTATCGATTGGTTGCTTTTCTTGGCACACATCTGCAAAGTGTATCAAGAGATGAAATTGATTAGTGTTTAAAACTTCGTAAATGGAAGAAGAAAAGATGAAACATCAACTTGACGAGTAATTATTCAAGCTATTCAAAATGGCATCAATGTTGACGCACCCTTTGCCATATTATCTAAAACCCCTCTGGGGTAGATCAGAGATCTAACATGCTAGTTGAGAGGTAAAGAAATGGAAAGTTTGTTTTTTTTCTTGCTTATAAGGGTAATAACCTTTTTGCATGAAATCAGCAGAATCATGGATTCTTTTCCTCTGCATTGGAACCACAACAAACCAGACAACCAAACCAACTGAGATGGCAAAGAAAGAGGCAATCAAAAGAGCAGCCCACCAGGTAAGCTGGTCCAGATAGAGGAAAGATGGACCGTCGTGTAAAATGGTAAACAAGTTGACTAAAATTGTGGCACCGTAAAAGAAGGGTAAAGATAATAAACCAGATTCCAATGGTTCAGGCTAAGATTAGAAAAATTGAAAATGAAAATCGAATAGAAAAAAAAATAAGTTCAAAGGTTTTCATATTTGCTTACCTTCTCAGTGATGAATTTTATGATGAAAAATGTGATAATGATTGAGATTATTCCTGATAAAAAGGGTGAGATAACCCATGATGAAGTAACCCAAAGTAAATTATTCCATTTCATTCCTGAGAAACCCTTGGGCACTAAGGTGAATCCCAGGACAGCCCCAATGATGCTGTGTGTTCCAGAGATTGGAAGACCAAGAAACGTTGCCGCCAAATTCCATATTGCACCGCCTGTAAAAAGATGTGAAAAATCAAATGATAAATGAACAAGGAAGAGTGAGAAGAGGCAATTTCATCGTGAATATCTCTTTTTATGGAAATCTCTTCCACTTCATTTTCTGGTTTGACAGAGTAAGAGTGTCATTGGTATTATTGGGTTGCTTACCAATCAATGCAGACAGATAACCCAACATAAGAGTTTGCTCTTCATCTTTGTACAGTTCAATGTCAAAAACCCCAAGCCTCACTGTTTCAGAAACTTTATAACCTAAATTAAACAAAAAGAGAGACAAGATTAGAAACAAGTGAAAGTTGCAAACCACAAGCACATATGAAATGTGAGATGATAATGATAATGGCAACATAGCGTTGTTAAAGTTGAGTTAAATTGTTAATGGCAAGCAATCATTAATAGATAATTGATTCCATTTAACTTCTCGTATTACCTAGCAAAGCAGCACCGGATATTTCAAAAATGGTTGCCAAAAAGCATGCTTGTCTAATAGTTAATACACCAGATCCAACTGAGGTACCAAAACTGTTAGCCACATCGTTAGCACCAACACCAAAGGCTAAGAAGAAGGCAATGATGTAAGAAGCAACCACAATGGCAATAACGGTTGATGAGTCTACATCCAACATGTTTCAAAATAGAGGTGAAGATGATTTTCCTGGTTGTTACAATGAAGAGTGTTTAAGACTTTAGTGTACAGGCTGTAAAAGTATTTAAATTATGACAATGGAAACTGTAAACAAAAAATGAAAAGGCATTAAAGAAATGATTAGTTACAATTACAATTAGTTGAACAATTACAAAGTGTCAACATTATGGGAGATCATAGCAAGTGGTGTTGGTGAAAGCAGTGGAGAGACTAAGAAGCAACTGTGAAAAAGCACACTGAAGGCAATTTTTTATTTAAAAGATGACACTTTTTGCCTCTTTTAGAGGGAATCAAGATTTAAATTGATTTTGATGTTGATTTTGTTGTTGTTGATTGTTGATGGACCTTAATTACACACTCAACATAGATCAATTAAGAGGAAAACCTTTGACATTCTCGGTTAAATACAACAATTGAAAAAAATACTTGACAAAAATAAAGCAGATGACTTTTGATTGGTGACGGTTGAGATTGAGGTTGTTCTTGTTATTTCTTTTAAAATCACAAGATTAATAACTAGTCATTAATTGAACACAATTAATGATTTTGGATAATGGGTTAACAAGTTGATTAAATGATAGATGTTTAACCAATAGAGAGGGAAAAATAACTGTATCACTGTTAAACTGGGTGACAAGGTAACTAGAGTAAGCAATTGATTACAAACCTCTTAGTAAGTTTAAAACCATATCAATCTATATATTTTGTCACTGTTATCAATTTTACTATCCTTCTATGATTCAGTTTACTCATTGAATAATTGTAAACATTGATTTTCCTCTCATGTTTATATCGACTTATCGATCAAATTCATTTCCCGCTTTTTTACTCTTCTCATGACAATTCAATGAATAGTATTCAAAGTGGAAATCGTCAGTTCTGGTTACGCCTTGTGTTTGTATAACTAGACTGTAACCCTAGTAAGACCTGTTTTCCCTAAAAGAGTGTTATCTCAATTTTGAAAACTTTCCTTCTGGCAATCATCTGTTGTTTTTTCACAAGGAAATCAAGAATCAAGGATTTCTCGATAACGCAAAATTGTACCTTTACACAAGGAAACCTTAAATTGCGTTATCTTGCGTTATCTTCACCATCCGAAACTCATGCTTCAATTTGTTTACTATTGCCTGTTTATTGAGGTAATAAGCTCATTTCCAGGATTCCTTATTTATATCACAGCTAAATCTGAATTATCAAGATAAATTGTTTAAATAATTCATTTAGACAATATTTACCTGAATCTATTACTGGAGCAAGTGTCAATAAGTTACCCTGGATCAAATTAACCACCAAAGGTAAAATAAAACAATAAAATTGAGCAAAGCCCTGGAATATTGACTTTGCCAGTTGAAATTGTCATTTCTATTTTCATTCTGAGCTCATCTTGAGCTTTAAAAGTTTCTTAATCATTTCCATCTTAAAAGCTCATTCATTGCCAAGTGTTCTAGTTTATTTCAAGTAAATTAAAGGCAAAAAAAAGTCTAAGGTTGACTAGTTAATTGTAATTTTCTTACAATGGTTAGGTGAAGGAGAGAGCGAAAAGTTATTCTATTACAATTTAATTTATTCTCAACCATTAAACCATATCAAATATCGGAATAAAAATGGTTGATAATGGCAAATCAAAATTCGTATGTGAAATAATTACAGTTGAAATGAGAAAATTGATTGAAAATATTATGAGATGACGATCAAGACAATGTTAACCAGAATCAGAAGAGAAACTCAAGGTTAATCATGAAAGAGGTTCACAATCGAGTTGACAATCAGTACCTAATATGATAAATCAAGTCCTAAGGCAGCTTTTTCCTCATCTTGATTAGTCCTTTAGGTTGTTTCAATGTTGTATGATGTAACTTGGGCTTTGCCCGATTTACTAAATTGTATAACTTCTTATCGAAATTAGTTGAATAATATTTATCAATAATATTATAATTGTATTGATTTTGTTTGATTTGTTTCTGCTCTTCAATTTGCTCACTTTAAATCACAAAATTGGTGGTTAAGTGACGCAAGACTATTGCACTAAAAGATGGAAACAGAAACAAATTTTGTTCAATAAGTGAGGCAAAGATGAAGATGAGGATGAAGAAACCTGGAGAGACAGAGAGATGAATAGTAGCATGTTTTCTGGGTCACCTTGACTCCAAAGATCATGACTCCATGCTGGTTAGGATTATTTTTATTCTAACTGTACATTTTGTTTCTCTATCAGTTGAAAGCTATTCTTGTGACTGTACGATATTCATGGGTAAAAGTGAAATACAATCAATGAAAAGGAGAAACAAAACTCAATGCCGGATTGGAGTCTCAACATGGCAATACTTATGGGCATGATTTTGGCGGTTTCACTGTTTCTCCTTGCTGTCTGCATGCATTATCAAATGATATTGAGCTTTGGATTTTGATATTGGAATAATGTTGAATTCAGGCGAAAAGACAACTAAATGAAATATGGATCAATTATAGAATGTATTTTGAACTCACTTTGTTAAAGATTGTTGTGGTTGAAAGAGGTTATTAATTTGGATCATTGTAACTACTTTAAATTGAAGAAGCGTCACTTTTTCACTTGATCAACAAACACAGTTAACCAACACAATCAGCTAGTCAACAAGGACTAATTGAAGAGAATCCTGACAATAATCTGACATCAAATTGTCTCAATGATAAAAGCAAAAGACTAAAGATTCAAAGGTTTAGGGAAAGGTCAGAGTATCTTTGATTAAATGATACTTACCACAAGTGGTTACAATTAAAATGGATTGAATTTGTAAACATGAGATACATTTTCAACAAATGTTGAGAGTAAAATGCAAAACTGGACACATAATGTAAATATGGACAAGTAATGTTGAATAGTGTGGTGAAATAGGGTTACTTTCAATGAATTCAAGAGGATATTGAATGTAAAGATGGTAACGAAAGTAGTGTTGGTGATGGCGAAGAAATGTTTTTTTAACTAAACAGAATTAAATGAGCAAAAATGAAAATAAAGTGGGCAAAATAAGAGAAAAGATGAGATTAGAAGATGGTTGTAACTCAAATTATGTGTGGATCACGCTCTTTCAAACCAATCGTATTTTCTCACTTACTTACTCACTTATCATCCACCGCATCATTATCATGATCATCATTTTCCAGTGAACCCAAACTCAAAAAATACTATAAGATTCAATTGCTTCAGAGTCTGAGCAGAAAAAAAAGTTGAGAATGAAGAAAATGAATTGAGTGAGCGAATTGATGATGATGATGAGACTCAGGTTTTGCCGGTTCAGACCAGCCATTAAGATGATCCAGAGAATCTATTAATTGCAAAAATAAATTGCATTGGGTCCATTATTTAGCTGAGTTTATATTTTTATCGTCAAAGGTTTGCTGAATTGTCCTTGAAAAAATTCCTTCATATTTTTGACTTGTCGAACCATTGAACTTTACATTATTGAATAATTGTTTCTTTTTCAGTCAAATCGTCAAGAAAAAAATTGAAATCAAAGCATTTGATAAATTGTCATCTTTATCTTAGAGTTGTCAGCATCTTTGGTGAATCCAGAAATACATTTTTACTCATTATTTGTTCATTGGTTTCAATTGTTCTTCAAAAAACTCCTTGATGGTGACAATTAACAAAAGATCCATTTCAAGTTCCATTGTTGTCCGTGTAAATTGCATTTTTTGATTGCGATCAATCATGAAACATGTTGTCTTGTGTTAAACTTAAGGTCTTCCGGTTTCCAAACGTTGTAATCCAAGGATATCCTCAATGAAGATATAAACAGCAATCACAAGTACAATAACGATGATGTAAACATTTCGAGGGTTTTTTCGATAGTTCCATAATATGATCAAATGATAACATTTTCATTATTGGAAAAATGAAAGAATTAGATTTTCTCAAATGCGGAATAAGAGATAGGAAAAACAAGTTGATGAGTAATATCTTTTTTCACGTTAGATATTGTATTACAAGAAATTACATCATTGTCGGAACGATGAATGAAAGAAAGATATTAATAGGCAAGTAATCTGTTGAAATTTATCAAATGTAAAAACATATGAAAACTACATCAACAATTTTAAATTTGAAACTTTTAACAATACTCTAAACTATATGTTATGTTTAAAAAAGGCACAAACAGTGGTGAAATTAATGATGGAATATAATGATCAAGATGAGAAAATCTGGGAAACGCCAGCGGTTAGATTTTCTGGTTTTCCATTTGCATTTATGATGTAATTGTCTTCGACTCTCAATCCAATTCCTTCAAACTCTTCTTTAATTCTTGAATCGCCTTTTCTAAAGTAAAGACCAGGTTCGATTGTGAAGCACATTCCTGGCTCCAAGTTTATATCGCGATTGACTGTGGGTGTATCGTGAACATCTAATCCAAGATAATGAGAAACATGGTGAGGACAGAAATGATCAGCTAGTAGGGCTGCTTGATCACCACTTGGGCAAAGATTAAATTCACTTAAAACTGACCCTAGAAGATGGCACATTAAGTGATAGAGATCATTCAATGAAGTTTCTAGCGCCCGGTTCTCCAAATAAACTACTATCTGTTGATGAACTTCACAAAGAGCTTCGTATAATGCTTGACTGATTCGATTCTTTGAATTTGATTCCGATGCTAAAATTGGCCAGCATCTTGTGATGTCACTGATGTAACCTTCTATGTCCTCACATCCAGCATCCATAAGAATCCATTCATTTGGATAAACAAGTTTATCATTGGCGCCATAATGAATAATTGTTGTCCTCGGTCCACCAGCAACAACAGGAGGATAAGATGGCTTAACAGCACCAGCAGAACGAGCTGCAAATTCAAATTCCGCAGCAATTTGATTTTCACTAACCCCTTGGATTCCATAATTTTTTTTATTTGATTCTAATTGAGTTTGTGACCATATTCTTGTTGCATTTACAGCTTCAGCTCCAATGGTACATGTCCGTCGCATAGCATTCACTTCATTTGGAGATTTGAATAAGCGAAGTCTATCAATGAATGGAGATAAATCAAAAGTTTTATAACCATCAAGAGGTTTAATTGGTGTATCTTGATCCATGCCGGCTTTGTGGCCACTTATAGTAGGTGGAATCAATTCAAGACCAGCTCGACACATAAAAATTGGTCTATCTGAGTGGCTTTTTAAAAATTGCGGCAACTTGGAGATGTCTTCCACAACATGTGAAATTTGAGATAGATGAGACTGATAATGACCATCTTTGAGTCCTTCGCCTTCCCAAATTAACTGCAATTGACTAGAAAAAGGAACAAACAAAAATGACTGAAATAACTTTGATTTTGCATCAGGACCAAGAATAATCAAAACAGTATGAGCAGCTTCCTTAGTATTCAACCCGGTTAAGTAGAGGAAATCTGAATTTTGCTTGAAATGGATGGTGGGAATTCTGGTATCTGCTGTGTACATCCTTTTAGCACCACTAACAACGATCAAGGAGCCGACATTAGAGTACGAAAAGTTATTTTTCTTGACATGATTAACAATCAAATTGACAAGTTTTGCTTGTCGCTCACAATATTCATCAACAGGAATCAGCCGCTTGAAAAACTGGCTCTCACAAACTTTAACTGAGGATGAAATTCCTCTGAAAAATAATCTAGATAACAGCATGTTAAATAGCCAATCAAATATTTAATAATTTAAATAAAACAAATTTCCAATTCATTTTTCAATATGGTAACCATGTTATGGTTTACCCAAACACTTGAGTTACTCGGTATCGATAATAATATCGATAATTATCGATTACTCAGCTCAACCAGGCTATCGATCATTTTTGAGCTGATTTAGAACCACAATTTCGGAGTTCAGAGAGTGAATTTACATGTAATTGTGTAGATGAAAGTTTTCATCAGAAACTCATTAGATCAAAGAAACGTAAAATTCCATCTGACATGAATTGTTTAGACGCATAAAACTGAACATGTGAATCTATTGATGTCTTCAGTTAAAAGTTTTCAGCTCATTTCTCTAATGTTTTTCGATAAACGTTAGTAAATTTTCGGTATTTTTAATTTGTATTTTCGATAATATTTTGCTATTAATATTTTTTCTGAGGTTGGTTATTATTCGGTTGATAGTTTACAATACCGAACAACTCTATCGATGAATCCTAGTTCAGTTGAAATAACCTGAGATGCTGTCTCCATCTATTATAACAATTTTCAATGAACTATTCATTTTTAGTGATAACATCGATTTGTAACTTATTGGTGTCTAATCAACATCTTAAATATTTTAGTCTAATTAGCAACGATGCGCTGTTAGTTTAGCAGTAAAGCCGGGAATATGACTCTAATGAGTAAGAAAGTGTGGAGTATGCGACTCATGTCTATGGCTAAGAAAATATAAGGGTTTGAAGTATATTTTACGGTTTGCTAGGAAAGATAGAATTGATTTGACCTTTTTTGTTTTAACATTATTTAGCATTAAATATTAATGAAAAAATCAAATTCGGGCTAATATCAACAAAATAATTGCCTTTTTACACCTCGGAAAGATGTAGAAAAGTGGCAAAACTTTTTTCAACTAGTTTTTTGTTAAATTTTCTTAACAGTTTTACATAAAATCTTAACCTCGGGTTCTGAATGTTAACGAATCTACTTTGAGTCCGTAATCTCATCTCTGAGGACTCTCATACACTTTAAAACGACTTTTAAAGCAAAGGAAAATTGTGATCACTTTTCAAAAAGTGTTGCTACCGATAACAACAACTTTCTACAAAATTTCAACGCAATTTCAAATTGTTTATTTCAACAAAATATCAAACAGATATGTCTCGTAAAGAAAAAGTAAGTCATTTTTATCCACTTATTTTTCAAGACATTAACATTGTTACACTGTACAGCAGCACCTTACCGTCCTTTATGGACAAGGGTCTTATTATTTGTTCTCACGATCAACTTTAAAGCACAAAAGTCCATGATAATAGTAAACAAAATTTTTCCATCTTACATTCACTCAACTACGATAAACGAATGACCCTAATCTTTTAATGAACAAATGACCATCTAAAAACACAAACTTGACATCAATTTTGTCACAATATTTTCAATATCCAACGAGTACATTACTCTTCATTACCAATATCTTCAATATTATATTACTTAATTGTTTCATTTCTCCCTTACTATATACTTAACAATCCTTCTTACAGATTGTGTCGAGCCAATGGCGCAAACTTTCAAATCAGGATTAACCGAATAGAAGTCCAAGAACAAAACCCAGTAGTCCAGGCATTAAATCCGCGTGTAGTCTTGGCAGGACTACCGAGTCCACCCGTTCCTTCGTCAGCATCTTAGGGAGTCTTCCTCTTCTTCTTCTTCCTCATCATCCGCGTCTTCTGAAAATGAAGAATCAGTTGGGCCAATCTCCGCTCTTAAGGCACGAGTCCTATCTCGAATGAATGGTCGGGAAGTTACCCCCTCAGTGATAGGTTGGAGCCGATCCCATTGCCCGGTCCTTCTCCAGTTCATCATGAAATTCAGCTTGCGTCGCGTATCCCTTTGATGATTTAAGCACCTTCTGGACTACCAAAGAGAAATCCAGAAAAAGCTCTATCATTGAATGTGTTTCAAATGGACTAGTGGCTGGGACTTACGGGACTGCTGTGAAGTCTAGTAGTCCCAAAAGCAAAAATAAATAAAAGCATACTTAACCTCTCATCTCAGTTCAAAAACCAGTAGTCCAATGATTTTAAACAAAGTTAACCCTACGTAACCGTTTGCTTGGGTTAGTCCTTTCTAGTAGTCCACTAGAAACTCAACTTGTCCAACCACTATTGGAATCAGAGTTGTATATGGAAGCGTCCGAGATTTTCATGGAGTTCAATGTTGAACAATATTTTTATTCACCTTGTGTTTGGAGGATACGGATGCTTGCAGAGATTGGTTATAATACATACCAAGTTGATCGTTATCTAAGAACTCGAGGTTAAACTCGCATGCCCCTTGGTAAATGAGCCTTGTTTCAATTTCACTCAATGAGCTGAGTTGAGAGTTAAAATTTGACAACTACTGATAGACATTCATTAAAGTTGGACAAATCAGGACATTCACTCGGATTCGCTACCTAGTATTTACTTGTTTAGGAATCGACTAATACTTGGCTGGATTCGGTTCCTTTTATTATTTCAACAAAATAGAAAAAAAGACAAAATAATCAAAAAATGAACATAAGTTTAGATCTTTTCTCTGTAAAATTAGGTTATAAAAGTAATGTTTGCAACTCGCTTAACAATTGTGAATGAAATTACAGCATCTTTGAGATCATCATGTTCACGAAGAAAAGACAATATTTTGATAATTTCGGTTTCATAAATAAAGATAGTTTGTCATTCTGAAACACCATCGCAATAGATAACAATACGCTCGGGTAAACGGTCATTTTAAAACAATGAATTGAGAAAACGGTAAATAAACATTAATAATGATAAAACTCACCTTCAAAAAGTTTGTAAAATTCGAAAAAATTCATCCGAATGTTGAGAAACTTGAGAAAACCATGAATTTGATTTTGCGTTTGTGCTACAAACAAAAGCTTCAATAGTACCATCTCTTCTAGATGTGTCTTAATAAGTATTAAAACCGAACAACATATGAGCCTGTTACAAATGAAGCACATTAAACTGACCAATAAACCCTTAATAACTATGTTTCAACTAGATTTTCAATATTTTTCTCCATTCCTTCAGAAGATGTAATAATTAATATTAATAGTTGAGTTGAACAACAAAACTTCTTAGATGCATACAAGATGTTAAAGTAACAAAGTACCAAAAGCTTTGGCCTCAATTAAACAGATTGGCCCGAAAAGAAACACTTTTTTCAAATGCAAAAAACAAACAAAATAATGCTGATGCAAATATTTATGCAAAAATAATATAAAATTTGCTGTTTTCCAACAAATAGACAAATATACATATTCTTATGAGTTGATTTAATAGTTAAACTGTCGCATCTGACAATGAGAGAGGTAAATTGAACACATCAACTAAGGTTATTTAAACTAAAGAGTTAGTCTGAGCTTGTTTCTTTCCTTACTATTATATAACGTGAATATGCATCTCTCGATTTATTTCAATTAATTAATTTATTAATTTATTTATTTAATAGTAAATTTTTTCCAAGGTGAATACCTTGTGAACCTAATGAACATAATGCAATTGTTTATTAAAAATGATCAACAATTGAGTGTCAAGAAAAATTGACATCAATCGAAAGCTTGAATTTTAATTTATCACTGAAAAAATCTGCAAAAGGGGAAAAAGCCGATCGAAGTTACAACCTTTGTTCAACTCTTGTGATTACAGAATGTTGAATTGATATTTTGTCGATATTGATTTCCAACGTTGGTCTATGTAGACACCTTGAAATGCTAAGGTTAAGGATTGCTCTTTGTTCAAAGTTATGCCGAATCATCCAAGTGAATCAAAATCACCTTTTAATGGTAAAGAAGTGAAAGCTAAATTGATTAAAGTCTGTGCGAAAACGTATTTACTTTTAATTTTCCTGGGAAATACCATTAACTTCTCATCAGATTAATCATAAATGGATACTTTTATCAGAGATTGAGATAATTTTTAGGCTCAGTAAGTTCGGACAATGGGATCACTTTATTTAAACGGCAAACTAGTTGAAAAGTCACTATTGTTGGCTTTAAGGGTTAATATCTTGAAATATGAAGCTCATGGATTTGAAATGGGATAATAGTTTTAAATGTTTCATCAATTGACAGTCAATTGGTAGGACTTTTAAGGTTATTAAAGGTTATGACTTGATGCCATCAAAATTGCTTGAAGTTTCACAATGAGATAAACTCTTTATATTGAAGTGAATAAGGTTAAATTGCTTTTAAATAGTAAATGGCAATCAATAACTCTTGTTGTTGTTGGTTAGTGTTTCCGTTTAGTGTTGATGTTAACCATTTCTGGTTGTTTAATCAATTCATTTCAATGATCACAGTGCAATATTTGAAACACTAATTGATAGTATAGTTTATCAAAATGATTTTTGATTAAATTATAAAATGATCTGCACTCCTTATTGGGTCAATAGTTGCTCTTTAACTAATGCAAATGGATTTGATTTTTCAAAATGAGATCCTTTTCAACTGTAAAAAAAGAAAGAGATGGAAAGGAGAAATGAAAAGTTCATTTTAGGTAAAGATGTGAGAGAAATGATAATGAAGGTGAAAAATATCATTTTTTGTTTATCATTTCGAATATAAATATATTCTGTTTACTTCGCACTGAATAAATGAATGAATAATATCATTTCCTGCTCCTTCATCATCCTGATTAAACTATTGAAATTGATAGAGAGAGAGAAGATTAATTTACAGAGAGAAAGAGAAGGCAAAAAGAATGGGGAAAATGAGTTGAAAAACAAAGCACTTTTGGTTCACAGGGAGATGGAAAAAAGCTGAGCTTCAATGAAGACGATATTAAATCAGAATACAGGGTAAAGAAAGAAGGAGAGGAAGTTTAAGAAGACAGAAGATTCAGTCAAAATTAAAGGTACAATAAAACAGAACATGATGAATTTGAAAGAGATGAATGGTGAAAAGGAAAGTGTTGTTGAAGCAGATTGGGTTAACAGAAGAGATTGTTGTGGTTTTTGTCCTGTTCAATTGTTCTCATCCAGAATCATTGTAACGTTACCTGTCAATATTGCCTTTCTATTAACATGATTGTTGATGAAAGGAAGAAAGTGTTGATGATGAACAAGAGAAAAAAAAGAAAGTAAAAATGATGATCAAAAAGTTATTATCATTTTACAAGGTAAAAGGTAAAAAAAATAATGTTTATTGAATGCTATTATTATGATGTTTAATGAAGCCTGCAGATGGCGTAAGATTTAAAATTAATGTGAGTGAGAGAGGGAGAGGGAGAGAGAAATATAATGTTTGATAATTTCTCAAGTTTTTTGTTATTTCATTTTATTCTCTGGATAAAATATAATTCTGTGTTTTTTTTTCATTCACACAGGTACTGATGACTTCAGTAACTTTACGAGGATTATTTGATTGCTTCATCATTTGGTAATAAACATTCAGTGTTTTATCAGTGTTACTTTTCCAGATGATAACTTAACTGTCTCAAGATGTCATACCATCGATTGTAAGCTTTCCCACCCTTAACTCTCTCTACCATATTTTTTTCCCTCTCCGGTTTTCCAAATCTGTGTATCTTTACCTTGTTAATTATCCTTTTTTCCTTCACCTTATTTGGTTTCTCTATTCCTCATATCATAAACATCCACAACGGCTAAATTAGTGATCATCACAATCAAAAGTTTACCTTGATTTAGCCTCACATTAAACTGTGACCTGTTGTTTCCTTCACCAGTTTTTATCATCTTTGCAACACTTTTCACCGTCTTTCAACCACCTTTCTGATCATCACACATACAATCAAACACTATGGCTCAAACTGTCGAAGATTTAGTTTTGTTACAAGAAATTAGCTACCCAGCTATTCTTGATAACTTTAAAGCAAGGTAAGCTTTTTACATTGTTTTTAACCATTAAACTCGCCCTCTTTTATCAAACACCTTTTTTCATTGTTAAAAGTGTTAGTTAACTTGAGTCAACATCCCTTAGTTGTTGTATTTTCAGTTTATCAACAAGGTTTGGTCACTTTATGCATCTCTTTTTTGTTCTTTATTCATAATCACTTTGTTTATAAGTCCCATTTAGCTCTCTTTTTTCATTCTCATAATTAGCATTAGACTCATTATTTTACTTGATTCACTAGAAGACTAAAATTAGCAATAGTTTAGAAATACGTTAATAAAATGTGAGTAATTATATGAGTAATCCTTTTCATTTGATAGTCTATTTTTTCAATATCAAAAGTAGTCGATATAAAAAGGTAATCAAAACATCAATCTTTTGATATCAAGGTGCTGGAAGCTCTCAACTACAAGATAAATATGTTGTTGTTTATACGTAATGACTGAATTTTTTTCTTTCTCTTTCCTTTTCTCTTTCTTTCTCTCTGAATGATGACAACCAAAATAGCAACAATTTCTTTATTTCAAAACTTTGCTATAATTTTTCACTTCTTGTGTTCTTTCATGCATATCCCACAGAAAACTTTCTATGCCAAGCAAATGTCAAAAAGTGAAGTCTGCCGTGTTTGGGTGAAAGTTAACTAAAATAACGGGTTGGTTACGCTTGCGTTATTTTCTTGATAATTTTAGCTAATGTTTTGTGTCCTTATGTAAACTTTCCCTTACTGTTAAGGTAGGAAGAAACAGTCTTCCTTATTTTTATGATTTATGTATTGGGTTAGTTCATCATCAGTAGTTTCTCACTTTTTTATAGCTTTATGAACTCACAAAATTGACTAAACTAAATTATCTATTAGTTGACCGGACAATCTCGAGCAATCGTCAATTTTATGTAAAAAGTAATAAAAAAATTAGATCAATCGAAGTACTTAAGATGATTTTTAAGGCAAAATAATTCTCTTCTTGGTCACAATCGACTGTTAAACACTTTCACCTGATTTCCTTTATTATTCTTGATTCACTTTTGTTTGGCCACAATTTAATTTTCACAAAAAATCAACAACTGCTGAGTTTAAGAAAATACAATCAAAACAATTTTATTAACCATCTCCATGAATTGACTCTTTATTGTTGCTTCCTTAATTCACTTGAGAAGTAGCTAACAACTCAATTAACTTTACTTTTAACCTATTTTTAAATGAATAAATGTAGTTTAAAGTAAAAGATGAAATACTGACAATAAAACTGACCAATATTCAAAACATTTTCCCTTATCCTTTCTCGTCTTCAGGTTCAACAGTGGTCAGATATATACCTACATTGGCGAAGTCTGTGTCTCTATGAACCCTTATCGAACTGTAAATATATATGGACCAGGAGTGGTAAATGACTATAAAGGACGTGAAATATTCGAGCGTCCGCCACATCTATTTGCAATTGCTGATGCTGCCTACAAAACAATGAAACAAAAAATCAAGGATACCTGTATAGTTATTTCCGGGGAAAGTGGTGCCGGTAAAACGGAAGCCTCAAAGATTATAATGAACTATATAGCAGCCATTACCCGTAACCAGGGTGAAGTTCAACGAGTCAAGAATGTAATACTCAACTCAAATTGTATTCTTGAAGCTTTTGGTAATGCCAAGACTAATCGTAATGACAATTCAAGTAGATTTGGTAAATACATGGAAATTGTATTTGACTTTAAAGGTGATCCCGTTGGTGGTCATATAAACAAGTATTTGCTCGAGAAATCGCGCGTTATCGCTCAACATGAAGGAGAACGAAATTTTCACAGTTTTTACCAATTAATCTCTGGCTCCAATGATCAAGCATTAACTCGATTGGGTTTGAAAAAAGATCCCCTTTCTTATCGTTATCTAAGTCAAGGTAAAACACCAAGGGTTGTTAATATTGATGATCGAATGGATTTCCGTAAAGTAACATCTGCTGCAAGTATTCTTGGTTTCAATGAAGAAGAATCGGAAATGATTTGGAAAATATTGGCCTCCATTTTACACCTTGGTAATGTTGAATTCAGTTGGCACGAGGAGAAGGAAGTTTCATACATTCAGGATAAAAGTAAGCGTCACATTGAGCACATGTGTCGTCTACTGTCTATAAATGAAAAAGATTTAACCGATAGTTTGTGTCAACGGGTTATCGCTGCTGGTGGAGATGTAATGTCTAAAAAGCACAACGTTTCCGAGGCCATTTATGGTCAAGATGCCTTTGCTAAGGCTATTTATGAAAGGCTCTTTTCTTGGATTACGGATAAAATTAATGAAGCCATTCGGGTCGATGAACTATCTCGTGATCAACTTTCATATTGTGGTAAACGAACAGTCATTGGTGTATTGGACATCTATGGTTTTGAAATATTTGACAACAATTCTTTTGAGCAATTGTGCATCAATTATTGTAATGAAAAACTTCAACAATTATTTATTGAATTGGTTTTAAAACAAGAGCAAGAGGAATACCAAAGAGAGGGAATCGAATGGAAACACATCGACTATTTCAATAATCAAATCATTTGTGATCTTATTGAAGAGCCTCATAAAGGAATAATATCAATATTAGATGAAGCCTGTCTAAATGTTGGTAAAGTAACAGATGAAATTTTATTGGAAAACATGGATAAAAAATTATCAAATCATGCCCATTATGTTAGTCGGCGTCTTCGTCCAACTGACAAAACTTTGGAACACCATCGAGATTTCAGGATTAAACATTATGCCGGTGATGTGACGTACAGCATAAAGGGTTTTCTAGACAAAAATAAGGATCCATTATTTCAAGACTTTAAGCGCTTGTGTTATAATTCAACACACCCGTTGATTCAATCAATGTGGCCTGATGGAGCTCAGCATGTTATGAAAGTAAACAAGCGTCCCTTCACTGCTGGTACTTTATTTAAAGGTTCAATGATCGCTCTAGTGAATACACTCATGTCAAAAGAGCCCTTCTATGTTCGCTGTATTAAACCCAATGACAACAAATCTCCAGTTATTTTTGATGAAGTACGAGTACAACATCAAGTAGAATATTTGGGTTTACTAGAAAATATTCGTGTACGTCGAGCTGGATTTGCTTCTCGAATGACTTATGATCGATTCCTTCGCCGGTACAAAATGGTTTCATCCATAACCTGGCCAAATTATCCACCATCTTTAGGCTCTGATCGTAATGCTGTTGAACATTTAATGGCAGACTTTCCAGAACTGCAAAATGATGTTAGATATGGTAAAACTAAAATTTTCATCCGATCGCCTCAAACATTGAACTTCCTTGAAAATGAAAGAAGTCGCCTAATTCCTAGGATCGTCATCTTATTGCAAAAGGTGAGCCATCAAGTTCCTAATAAATTTGCTTTTCATCTACTATTAATAATATTCAAAACTGTTAGCCAACCCTATGTAAACTAATCAAAGGTTCATTAATGTTTTGCATTTTATTGAGATAAGCTTAAATGTGAGATCATAATCAAAGGAAATTAAATTAAGCTTGACTAATCATAATTTTTATTCAACGTTTACATTATAATCATTTAATTCAATATGATTTCATTATCTTTTACTCATTGTTTAGATGGTGAGAGGAACTCTGGTTCGCCTTCGGTATCGCCGTATGAAGGCCGCATTAGTCATTATTCGTTTCTATCAAAGATGTAGAATACGAAATTATTTACTCGAGCTTCTTCAACTCTACAGTGGAGCTAAAAATTTACCCGATTTTGGTAAATCAATAACTTGGCCAACTCCCCCATCGACACTCAAATCTAATCGTGGCATTGGTATTCTTAAACCCATCTACGTTAAATGGAGAGCTTACATGATACTGAGACAAATCCCACGAGAAGAATGGTCTCAGATGCATTTGAAAGTAATCGCTGTGGATGTGCTGAGAGGACGTAAAATAGATTGGGGTCATGATAAGCGTTGGGAAGGAAATTATTTAGCCATGAAAAGTGAAAATGAAACTTATGATATCTTTCAAACTGTCTCCCGTAATTTAGGGAAAGATGCTTTTGAAACGATCCTTTTCTCTAGTTTCATCAAGAAGGTTAATCGTTTTAATAAGACTGCAGACCGTGCCTTTGTTGTTACCAATCAAAGCATCTACAAATTAGATGTTAAATCATTCAAACCCTTGAAAGGAGCCATTCCTTTATCAGAGATAACAAGACTCAGTGTATCACCAGGACGAGATCACCTGATAATAATTCACATGAAAAATGGAAATGATTTTGTGTTTACATTGATTGATAGTGGCAATGGGAATCACAATAGAATCGGTGAATTAGTTGCTATTTTATTGCGTCAATATTTCACGTAAGTATTTCCTCGACTTTTCAAATCAAATCAACTGTACGATAAGAAACATTTCAAGCAACCTGTTGTGCTATAGTAACACTTTCTTAGCTATGAATTGGTTGTCACTGAAATACTTTTAGCTTTCAATGCTTGCCATTGAAGACAATCTTTTGTCAAGTTCAAAGGATTTCTTTATCAACTATGTAATTGAACGTAACCTTGCATGATAGATTTTTTTGTCTAGTAGACTTTCAGGATGATTATTAAGTGTGTAAAATTCAAGAAACTGGATTTATAATAACATGTCATATCATGTAACACCACCAACGCCTTGTGCTAATATTTTTATTCCTATGTTTTCATCTCGTCTTTTGAAGTTTAATTTCACCTTAAATCCAATCCTACTTGATATTTTTGTTTTTTTTGCAACATTCTTTCAAAGAATTGATGAGAAAGTTCCGTTTCAAGGATAATTAATCAATACATTAATCATTGATTTCATTTCCTTTTCCATTGTTTCAATTAGTAATAAATTTGGTTTTTCTCTTCACAGATTGTATCGACGAAACCTGAGCGTTTCAGTAGCAGCCACAATAAATTGTCAGCTTGGAAGTAAACCTAAATATATTACAATCGACTCCAATTGTACCCAGTCAACACCAGTTTTCAAGAAAATCGCGAAAGATAAAATCTCATTTTCATGGCCTGCTCATCTCACAAATGTCTGAGAAAAAAGAAAAAAATTCATCTTTTTGTAATTTTAATGCAAATTTTAATTTTTTAACCACTTGGACGATTATATCCGCCTTTTTCATCTCCACCCACATTATTATCATTATTATCAACATCATTTTCATTATCCTCATCCATGCAAACACCAAGATATCATCATTGACAACCATTGGCAAAGTTGCTCTTCTATCAAGTCTTGAATACGTTGGTTAACAACATTTTCCCACTGATTTACCTTCTTTGCCTTGGAAAACTTGACAATCGAATGAGAAGAAATGATTGAAAAATCTTTGTAACTAGCAAATTTTACACCTTGTGATACCTGAATGATACGTGAAATAATAGTCAGATAACTTTATATTTATAGAGGCAAACAAAGTAACAAAACTCAACAAAAAATTTAGTTTTACAAACTCTGATAGTTGACTAATGTATTAATGACGAATCAAATCACTGCTTAAATCAAAAGCAATGTTGCTGACCTTTTAATAGTCTACAAACTATTATGGCTGAAACAAACAAAAACTATCATTTGATAATCTATAACTGTAAACTATTAATATAATCAAATAGCAATATTTTATATTGAATATGATAGTCATTTAGTGAAAAGCTGAAACTTGTCTACTTTTATTACTTTAATAATATTTTGCCCTTTTCAATGCAATACACAATCAGCAATAATTTTGATTATTGCTAGTGTGCTTATCTAAAAATTGTAATAATTTAAACCCTTAACTTAATAACAAATATAAAGCTGTCTGCTTGAAAGTCCTTTTATATCATATATATTAAAAAATAATAAACAGTCCCATTCGATTATTCAACAATTGGTCATTTTATTCAATGCATTATTGCTCTTTATTCAAACTTAGTTATCATTATCTTGATTATGTGGGAAATTAAAATCTAATTAATCAGCTTGATTTAGATAAGATAATCACTAATTTCCAATTTCATCAATTATACCAAATAAAGGGATTGAGATTTCAATTTAACATAAAATAAATTAATGAATATCAATGAATTAACCTAAAAGTGATTTGATTTATCAAACTTTTTCAGGTTTTATTAATGAATGCTGATTTCAAGTGGTTTATAGTTTAAATGAAAGTTAATAGATGTCACTACCTTCTCACCAAATTGAAAATGTTTGATGGTTGGCAATTTAATTGAATAATTTTCAAATTACATCAAATAACTATGTTTAATAACTACTGTCTAATGATATTATACGATGGTATTTATTTGTATCATCTGCTATTTATAATTTGGTTGAATCCAAAAATTAAGGTAAAGATTGAACAGTCAAATAGTCAGTCCAGGTTCATTCATTAGCTGAAAATAGGCTCATTCAAGATAATCCCAGCAATCATGTTATTAAATAGATGGATTTAGTTTCATCAAACTGTGATTTGTACTGTTAATTTTAACAAACTGGCCAAGCGTAAATATCAAGATAAAAAAGTAACAGAAAAGGCAATAAATACAAGGTGTTTCATGGAGGTTCCCGTAATTTTCATGTGATCAACTTTGCCTCTGATATCAAACTTGTACATTTTGAAGCGCAAATTCATTTGTCTTATACAAATTTCCTAAATATTTGAGTATTAATCTTGGCTGATCATTTGCAGCTTCAATGTTAATCAAAATAAGATCAACATTAAAATTTTGAATATTAAATTCAATATCAAATTTCATTTCAATATCAATCTGGAAACTTCGTTAAATGGTTGTAACTTATGGAGGAAAAAGCAACTAGCAAAAAAGTCCGAGTTAATCAAAAGCTGATTTAACTGGTTATGCTGCTGCAAATGATTATGATGATGATTGATCAATTGAATTGATGAAGGAAGGGAAAAATGAAAAGGTTGTTGTCACATAATAGTTTAAAGCAAATGATGATGAATCAGAGTGAATCCAAATCAAATTGATTATAATGTAATAAGTATATTGCTGTTTATAGCAAACTTGTCCTCAACCAAAAGTCTAATTTGTAGCTGTCTTTGTCATGTGATACCAAGATGAACCTGAAAAAAGGTTTCCCTGGTTTTTTTGGGTTGATTGTTTCTCCCTTTATAAAGGACCTAAATGTACAATAAAACACTGATAGTTTGGACCAAAAAGTCCAAAATGAGTCGAAGCAGAAGAGAAAGACTTAGTAGACAGAGAGGGAAGAAAGAGTGAATGAGAAGAAAGAGGAAGATCGAGTGAGAAAAGATGAGAAGAGAGAGAGAGAGAGAGAGAGAGTTGGGTTGAAGAGCGTGATTCTTTAAATTCACTCTGACCGTTCTTCTGACAGTTGCTTCTTCCTTTTTATTTTTCATTCTGTTTCATTTTCCTTTTACTTTATTTAATTTCATTGTTTAATTATTTTTATTTTAACCTTAATTATTATCTTAAAGTTTGTCTTTCAACTCTCAAATATCTGGTAATTCTGTCACCATGTTTCAAAACAACTGACAACCCAATTCTGGTCAACAGTCTTCTGTGCATCTCTTCATTTTTTTCAAATATCATTTCGATAAGCAAATCATGTTGCTTACAACCAAAAGATGATCATCTTGTTTTTCATATTAATTTACTCTGCTACACATTTTAACGGTAAGTAATTATTTGTTAATTGTTATCATCTATAACTCATTTGCAACCCTTAACCTTTAAGCCATGCCAGTCTCTCGATCTAAAGTAACCCATGACTGTTATCATTGGTTATTTGCCTTTGATTTACTCTCACATGTTTTGCGTTTTTATTTTTGGTCTTGACCATCTTAATTACTTCAAGATGTGTTCAATCAATAATCATTATGTGATCATTGCAATTAATTTAGGTTGATTAAGATAATAGCTATTTGGTATCAGCATTTTTCAGTCATGTCTATTTGTTTAAATCGTGTTGATGTACCCAAAATATCTCAAATGCTCACTTCGAACCAGAAAATGGTTGCTTTGCTACTGAACCGGCTTCTTGGCTAATTTCATTTTTTTGCATTTCTTAATTTAATTTCATGATTTAATTGCGTGTTTAATGAATTTTTACGTTAATTTTGACTATTTTCATGCTTTTCAGCTAGATATAATAAGATTGACCAAGATTGATTTTAACAATTCAATTCAATATTTGTTAAGTTTTTGTTTGATTTTCACCTCAATCCTTCAATTTTAATTTCATTTCTTCCGCACATGATAAGCTTACAAGCTCATCAATCAAATTGATGTTCCATGTTAGGTTAATCATAACCATTTCATGACAATCATATCAACACCTAACAAAAAATACTTAAAAAATTGTGGAGAAAATTTATTCTCTTTTCAAATCTAATAGTTGATTGTTTTTCAAAACACTTTTATTAAGACACAAGCAATTCCAAAAATTATTCAGGCTAAAAACTATTTACCATTAAGCTCTTATCAAATTAAGGGTTAATTACTCCTAATTCCTGAAACTTCCAAGGATCTAGCAATTATAAAATGATTTAACCATCGATTCACCTCAAAAACCCATAAACATAACCTTGTACAAGCAGTTAACCAGAATGAACCAGGATTGACAGTTTCAAATTTTTTGATTATTTTGTTTCTTTAAATATTTATCCTTTAGTTGCCAATATAAATTAAACTGTAGACCCATTGAACAGCTAATCAATTTAAATTATATCAATTTCAAGGAAACAGTCAAAATTCAAAAGATGAATACATTTCCAGTGAAAAAAGCCATGTTATATTGACAGCCCAATATTGAAGTAAACCCATTTTAACACAAAAAGGTTTCTCTGAAAAGTAACCATCATTATCAAACTATTTTAATTGACAGTCTTTTTAGACTTATACTTTTTTCAAATGATTATTACACTTGTCAAATCAAATCAAATCATTAATGTTCAATTCTTTTCATCAACAGTAATTAATGGATTGGTGGTAACAGAAATTTCTTTCCTTTCATCAAATGGTAGAAATGATTACGTTCTCACCGGTGAAGGATTCACTATTACATGCTCTTACCTGTTGGGGAAAGAAAATGAAATACTAAAGTCAATTGAAATCTTGCAGAATGGACTTCAGGTAAGATTGATATTCTTACAAAAGACTAACCTGATCACCACCAATATTTAACCTGCAAAAGTACAGATTGCAACAGATTTCCGAACAATTAATGAGTTTCTCCAATGATTTCCACAGAGTTCAAGAATATCCAAATTTCCTCGAAAAAGGGCCATTCAGAGTTCGATTAGAAACCTCACATTTTGCAGATTCGCAAAAGGCTGTCCAAAAGTCTCATTGCTCTAACATGAAGTTGACAAGATAACGCTTCTAACAAAGCACTGATTCAAATCTTAATAATAATCATTCCAGTTGTAATTCTTGTTCTTATTCATTGAATAGTCTTGAAAGATCGTAAAGTGTTATCTTTTGGGAATCCTTTACATTGAAAGTAAAAATTCTTAAATATAAAGATTTTTGTACAAGCTCTGTAACTGGATTCGCTGAATTTGGGTTGAACAAAAATCTAAAGGTTACCAGAAATTTCAATTTTTCTCCTGGTTTTCAATTTGCTCTCTGAATGGCAAACTTTCAAGATATCTGTTGAAGGTTAAGGAAATTTGGGTGTCAATCCTTCAATGAACTCACAACTGATCAAACGTGTATCAGGGCTGATCAGCTGAACAATGAAAGTTCATCATTCCAAATCTAAAAAAAAGTATTTCATGCCCCTTTATCAACGTCATTTGTGGTTCTTGATATTCCTCATCAAACAACAGTTAACTTATAAAAAAACTTATAAACCCACTTATTCTGGTTCTTAATCCTATTCAGCTTAAATCAACCATTACAAAGATTTTTGATTAGTTGAAGTTGAAGATGGGTTGAAAAAAATGTTTAAATTATTATCGACCAGATTGTTTCCATTCAATTTTACAATTGAATACTGTATTTAATGGTTTACTATGATTAACTTGACGATTTGATAACCATGCAAGAGTTATATATTTAGGACAATTTATTTATAAGTTGATGTTAACATAAAATCCATTTGAAATCAAACTGAACAATTAAAAATGTTAAATCGCAATAACCATTAGTTAACATCTTACAATTACTATCAAGATTGTGTTATTTTAATTGCCAATGTTTAGACAGATTTCAATGCTGTTAACTTGATTCAACAATTTATGTTATTAATGTTAATTTGCTTTTGTTTGCTTTTTAGTCAACAGCAATCAAAAAATGAATGACAGCCAATGTCAAGAGCCTTTGACCTTATTAACATGTTAGTAACAATTAGTAATATCATTGATAAGTTTTAATAACATAATTGCTAACAATTAACATTGGTTTGTTTTTAAAACACAAATTTTTGAATCAATTGTCAGTCTCATATTTTGCTTTCACAAATTTTACTCCAATTTTAAGGATAATTTTTGTTTAAATATGTTGATCAACTCATCATAACAATGAAGTTAACCAAATCAAGAATAATCAACTTTACTATTAGAATACTTTTTCTGTATTTATAATAACACTTGTTATTCCAATTGATTCCAATAATAATCATGAAACTCTACAAAATTGAGATTAATAAGGTTAACTTTAACATTATTCATTGTATTTTTATTGTAACCTTTCCAGTCTCATACATAATTTAATCTTAAATTGTGTTTGAGGTTTACAACTCTAATCATATTGTAGTGTTTAACCCTTGAGGTGATGAGAAGCTGAAACAAATTAACTTTAGCTAATGTAATCCAAGATTTACCTGACAACTCCTGAACTCTCACCAGAATTATTTACGTTAAAATATTTCATTATTATCTTCAACCTGAATAAGGATAAAAAGGTAATAGCTTTGATGATGATAATCTTAACACGAGCCGGTTCATTAATGATAAATGAAACAGATAATTTACATGCAAATTGAATTTTATTGAATTACAAAGTGACCAGAACAAGTGAATATACAGAAAAAAGTGAAATACAAAAAAACATTGTAACAATGAAAATGTAACGATAAATAGAAGACTATTTTGGGTTCCTATTTTTGGTTAAATTTCCAGCATTTTGTTATTGTTTGTGTTGATGTTAACTCACAATAGTTGATATTGTAATTATTATTATCATTGGAATACAGAATTACTTTAATATTATTTACATTCAGATAAAAGGGCCAAATAAAGAGGTTCATGATGGAGGCCAAAGGAAAGGCCAACATTTGAAAGAGTAAACCTTTAAAGTCAAAATGGTTTTTATCTTTATCATTTCACGAATTCATGATGATCGTCAATCAGTTGATGTTGATCTTCATGATTTTCATCTTCTCATCTATTCTCCTCTTTTCGGTGACCCTTTAAAGGGCAAAATTTAAAGATGAAAAGTTGTATTCCATCATTGATTGAAATCAATGAAGAAAATGAATCAACAATTGCCTGTAAATTGCACTGCCAATAATGGTTCAATGTAAATGCCCACATTTTTTGGTTACTTTCTGGTTGCAAACATATTCCTGTTGATCAAAAAAGGTAGACAATTTACCTCTCTTTAATCATGATCGGTCAGTTTTTATTGCCGATTATCATTCACAATTTGATTTGATCTATTTTGTATCATTTCAATGGTAAACACGATTTTTGTTTGATCAACTTGACTATTTTACGAAATCTTGTTTTTAAAACCAATCTAATGTTATAAACAACACAAGTTCAATACATTAGCAGCAATTAATATCATTTAATGTGATTTTAAATAGCTATCAACAATTTAAAGTAAAATCAATTTGATTTAAATGGAGCTAAAGATGGCCTTAAATGTCTATTGATTTGTTGATTATGCTTGCATTATGCCAGTCACTTTTGCTTTTGTCAACCAAATTAGATACATTTGTTGATCAATTTTTCTGCCTTTCTTCATTTTTCATCATTCATTGCCACTGTTAATGACCTTTCTATGACCCATTACCTTAGCCTCTCCCCTGTGGTTTGACCTCTCATTAGAGTCAACATCAATTTTAATCAATCATTTGACTGTGAAAAAAGGATCACACAACAGTGTTTCATTTTTGTGCCAATTTTTAGGTTCCATTGATTGATCTCTTTATCTATTCATATTGGTCACCTTCTCAACAGGATATTTCCCATTGGTATTGAACTGATTAGCTTAAAGACGATGAAGATAATGATGAAAATGATGAAGATGATGTTGATAATCACTTAACTGTTACTTCAAGCTTAATCACTGACAATGTAAATTTGGTTTCCATTATGCTTATTATGCACCAAACCATTATCTCCATCATAATTATTCAATTACATTTCATGATTTCGTTGTTAATATTTTTTGCTTTACTCTTGTCTTGATACGGATAACAGGAAATCCTATCAAGCAAAGCCATAAACACGCAAAAAGCAGCACATGATGTTTACAAACTGAACCAATCATAATCATTGAGATGGTGAAAGTTTATCCCAAATCAGTGTTCACCAAACTAAATACTTGAGACAATCAAAAATCGGTTTACAATGAGAAACCAGAAAATTGAAAATAATGTTTCTAATGGATGCAATCTGTATAGCTCATATTTCCCTTTCCTGTTCCCCTCCTTTTCCGTCATTACTTCTCATCTCTTTTTTCAGTATCCTTTCATTATCATCCCTACTCATCATGTTTTACTTTCTCTTTTTCATGCCCAGGTTTACGAGTTTAACTTTGAAACCAATGAAACCCGAATCGATGGTTTACTTAAAGGTGCTGTTGATTTAACCAAATCTTCATCCAGTCACATTTATGTTAAAAATGCAACCATTGCTATGCATGGTAATTATACCTGTAAAGTTAAAAGTCAAATTTCCTGTCGCTCCCAATCCTCCAATTTGATCGTGATTAATGGTAAGTTTTTGATTGCCCAGTTAATCAAAAGATAATTTTACTCATTTTCCAATCTTCCTTTTCCCTGTCTGGTTTACTCATTACAAATTATGTTGTTTAATGATTAAACAATGACCATTACAATTGATGTTTCCATTGTATTTTGATTTTAATTTTTTTTCTACTTTTTTCATTTTCCTCTCTAGATGCCTGTAAAGATAGTGATTGGTCTTTTCGCACTAACATGATTCATTGCCTTGAAATAATTGAGCTTGAGTGTTCCGGAATGTTTCCAAAGCCTTCACCCTCTTGTGGTGTTTATGAGCAAACCACAGGTAATTCAAGAGCTTGCCGGCAAACCGATAAAGATGGACAAAAGTCAACAATGTTTTAATATTCATTCATTGATATTCACAAGATTGACATAATGTTTGCTGGTGAACTTGAAGGACATCAGTTCAATCTTTTTTTCCTCTCTCCTTACCTTGCATCAATGATTCTCGTTTCAAGTCTCACAGTTGATGATGTTGATGATAGGCACTTGTCATTGGCACAAGACTTTATTATCTTCATCGGGTAGACAGAAATAGCTAAAGACAAAAACAAAACCTAAAAGAGATGAAAAGAAGATCTTCTCTCTTCGCATCACTTATCACCTTTGAAGATGAGCTTGTTCAACATGCTAACTTTCATTTTGTCGATTCTACATTTCTCTTCCTTATCATCTTCATCTGATTGTTGTCAATTTACCTTTAGATTTTACTTTCAAATGATTTCCATCTTGAGAAATAACTCAATTTGTTCTCGTGTGACATTTTGTCAACCTTGTAATTTAGCAAAGATGCAAATGGAAAAATAATTTTCAAAGTTTCACATTTTATCTTTTTCTTGCCATTCTCATCATCTTCATCCACTGAATCAATTTTCATTGCATTTTCTTAATATTTTTTAACTCTTCTCTTTTTATCCTCATAGGTCAACTCATCACTGCTGAACCATTTACCAAAATAAAACTCCAACCTGATGGTACTTATGACCTTTCAATGTCCCATCGATACATTGCCGAAGATTATCGTGATAGAAAGGGTTCATTCCTGTTTCGCTGTATCCTGTCCGTTATTGGAACAAGTTGGACTCGAGTGATTAACAGTAAACTATTCAGTCGTCGTGATTGCCCCGAACCATCCACAATTGCCAATGGTTTTTATACAGTTAGCCAAAGAAAGTCCTGTTGGGATACTCCAACTGAAGGATCAATTGCCACTTATTCATGTTCATCTAATTACACTTTATCTGGTGATGGGATTTTAGTTTGTGTCGATGGAACCTGGAGACAGGTTTATGGACATCATCAGAATCTTTCTGAAAATGATATTAATCTAACTAAATTACAATTTTTACCTGTTTCAGACACACAATTACCAACCTGTAGTAAGTTGATATCAACCTTTAAACAATGTTATTTTGCTTGGTATTTTTTTCACTACTTTTGACATTTCCAACAACTCTATCCAAATCATCACTATCAGTGTTTGTGTGTGAATGTGTTTCCATCTAATCATTATCATTAGTACCATTAGATCAACGCACGTATTGCTGCTATTATTAACTCAAGTCACGAAGGTTAAGAGTAATAATCATCAAAATGAAGATGAAACTTTCCTATTGATGACAATGTTAGCCATTTCAATTCAATTTAAAACAAAAGTGAAAAGATTTACCTTTTGAGAGGTGTTTTCAGGCCATTTTATAATCACATTTAATCACGTTCTTGATGTGATTCTTTGACAATTTAGAGGTTCCCTCCTCACCAACTAGGCGCCCTCTCATCATTTTCATAATCTTCATCATTCTTGCACAAATTAACTTAACTGAAAAACTGTGTTCATGTCAACTTGTTGACAAATGATTAAATTTATGAACTCAAATTAACCATAGACGTACCCGTCAATTAACATGTTCAATTTAAATGACCTTTCAGTGTTGAAAGATGCATTAACGTGTAATTAAATCTTTGTTAATTAACCCAAATAACATAGCTAATTGCCTATCATCCACAATTTAAATTCATGGTTGGCCAATTTCAAAATTAATGTTTTTCCTTGAATTACATTTTCAGCTCAATTGATCTTTGATTTACCATTACTCAGGAAACTATTAAACCCAATTCAATACAAACAGCAATTCTTTAAACCTTTTCAAATTATGTTTACCTAATCAATTGGCCAGCCAATCTTCACAGATTTGAAAAAGTTATTTACCTTTTCATCAACAATTTAAGGTCATTTCCTAAACGATGAAAACCTTTCCAATGTTATTTTACTGTTTATTTTAACCAAATTTTGCTACAAAATTTGACAGCTTTACCTTTGAAACTCAACTTGACCAGGTTATTTATATAAAGGGCTCATTAAAAAAGGCTCACAATTATGAAGCCAAAACAATCGTCACTGAATCCCGATAAGATTATTATACCCAAAATAAAGCTGATAATGGTGAAAATGGTATTAACTTGATAGTGATGATTGGTGATGGTAAATGTAAAGGTTTTGTCAAATGAAATCAATCATCTTTTATCCTCTAACCTTATACTTTAATATCTAATTCAATCTTTTTTCATTTCTCTTTCACTTTACAGATATATCATCAATATCTTCACTGGCCGTCAGCTTAATCATTTTAGTCACCATAATTCATCTTAATCATCTATTATAACCTTACGTAGACCTTAATCATATTGGAAAATATATACAACTTAATTTTAACCCAAAAACGTTTTTTAATGTTGATCCATAATGCCTAATTATTGTTTATTGTAAATAATAATATGGACTCGATTGAATCCATGGATCAGCCGGATCGTGCAATTATCTTCATCCTGATCATCCCAATCAAATTGGCATCTTGAGTTGCCTCGTTGGAATCCTATTTATTTTCTGGTACCAAAATGTTGACCAAGTTCACATCAAAGATATCATCCAAACCAGAATTTTCATCTTCATTCTGTCCTCAACTAAATTTGATTTATAAGTATCAAAATTATAGACAAATTATTTAAATCTCAAAAATACAGATAAACGCCAATTCAACAGGTTTGTTACTCGAATAGCTCAAGAAATGTTTCAGCCAGCATTGATTCCTATTATCAATTGTTTTGTCCAACATTTTTCATGTCCTTTTTTCATAAATACCAGAAAATCTTTGGTTATTTTTGAGCTTTCATTGTAAACTGTTTTCCTCGGTTGAAACATTTATGCTCCAAGAAGATCATTCAAGCCAGAATCAATGTTCAAGATGAAACAGTTCTGTAACTATTCGAGAAACAATTCAGTTAAATTTACGATTAACTCTGTATATCTATATCATAAGGTAACAAATAATATATTAATTACATGCTAACAATTTTAAATTATCAATTCTAGAGCTACTATAAAATATCGTATTTGACTCACCAGATGAAGCAAAGAGTAACAATCTAATCAATGATTTGGTTAATTTACTGAATTCAATTTTTAATATGATAGACAATTTATTTTTCATGCTTAATCTTAAATCTTATCCAATTGTTTTCAACTAAATTGTGATTCTTAAACTGCCCTTAAACTCAAATTGATTATCTTATGTCATGTTTTTTTCTCGTTATTAATGTATTTGGCCAACAGCTGCTGATCCATTTTAAATCTAGATATTTTAATAATTTTTAATATTTAACCGATTCTAATTTCAACCATTGATTTAGTTATCACTGACTTGAATATTGAAATGATTTGTCATGATTTTGTTGAAAATGTTCAATTTTAACATGGATACAGCTGATTAGCTTTGGATTTAATTTGTTTATAATTGACTATTTGCTTCTTCAAACTTGTGCTTTGACTTTAACAATTAATGAATAAAATCAATGAAAATTTTAATCTAAATTACTTTTTTGTCTTTTCTTGATGGTTCCATGATTAAGATTGTATCTTTGAACAATCTCTTCCTCATTGCATGGAAAGTTAAATATTCATTATTCATTTATTAATGAATGAATTGAATTTCATTTTTTTGCTCAATTCTTTTCATATTTTAAGTTTTTGTTTTTCAGTTATTATGATCAAGACTATTTTAAGGCTTTAACCATCTAATCTTTTGATTGTCAATTGATTTTATTAATAGATTTCACTATTATTAGCATTTCCAGCAAATTATCGCGTTACCATTTTCGTGGTTAGGTTCATTTTCAATTTCACTTTCACCCAGTTTGGATTAAATTTTTGCTCATTTAGTCTTAATTGACTTTGTGTCCATCACAGTGTCCATTTCAATTGTGATCAGTGGCAAAGTTTAAAAATGATTTTCAGTTCAATTCTCATCTTTTTGGTCGCTTTGATTCCAACCGTGTTTAACCCATCGGATGCGAAGGAATCTAAAGAGGATGAAAAGGAAGGCAAAGGTAGCAATAAACCAATGATCATCATGTTAGGTAAGTCAATTGTAATTATTTAGATTTTGGTTAGATAATTGTGATTCTTCATCTCTAGGTAATCAAGGATCTTCCAACAATGGTGGTATGAATGGAGGAGGGTGGGGAAATGGAGGTAATAATATGGGTTGGGGTGGAGGTGGTGGTGGTGGGCCTAATGGCATGATGTGGGGTGGCAATGGAGGTGGAAACTGTAACGGAGGTAAGATGAGAATAAGATTAATGTAATTATTGATTAACTATTGTGATATGAAATTTAACAGGCTGTAACAATATGATGATGTCCAATAAAATGTCTCAAGATCCATCTATGCAAACTAAATTTGTTCCTGTTCCAATACCTTACATGGTTCCAAAAAAGTCATCCAAAAATGGTGATGGCGATGATTATGATGATGATGATTATAGTGATGAGGGCGATATGATGATGGATTTGATGAACAAAATGAATGGTATAAATAGTATGAACGGTATGAATGGTTTCAATGGGATGATGCCTGGTATGAATGGTATGGATATGATGAAAAAAATGAAAGATATGCAAATGATGAAAATGATGAAGAAAATGATGAAAAAACAGAAAGATAATAGAAACAGAAGAGGTGGAGGAGGAAAGTGTTGTCCAGTTATGAGGGTAATCACCAACAAAGCACCAATGAAGCAACAAACACAACCCAAACCTCCAGCGACTCAATTAATGATCCTTCCGTAAGTAGTTCATAAACAGAACACAAAACTGAAAGAAATGCACAAAATTTTAATTTTTCATTTTTTCTCCTTTATTTTTACATTCTATTTCTTTCATTTCAAGAGTTCCAAGGTAAATATAAAATTATTATTCAACTCTAATCATGTCTTTGATTTTGATAGTCTTTTAGTGATAAATATTATCTTTAATCTTTTCAGTCCGATGCCGGTTCCAATGCATATGCAAGGACATAAATCAATGCCTATTCCGATGCCAGTTCCTTATCCTCTTCCAGTCCCGGCTCCATCATCAGCTCGGCCTCCTGTATCAATGACTATGCCAGTAAACATGGCAATGTCTATGCCAATGTCCATGCCCATGATGATGCCCATGGCGAATCAGCCAATACCAAAGAATGATCATCACCACCACCATCATCATCATCATACATCGAATGGATGGGAATCTGCAAAATCGAAAAGTTGTCCGTCCACTGGATGGTCACAAGTTCCAACCTCAAATTCAATGGCAACTGGATGGTCAACACCTTCATCAGGTTGGTCATCATCCCCTTACCCATCACAACCGCCTCCTCCTCCTCCTCCCTCTTCTTCATCATCTCCTCCTAACACTGGTTGGACAAATTCACCAAATGGTCCATCAGCAAATCCTGGAATGACAATTACCTTAAAATTACCATCCTCAAAATCAACAGGGTGGACATCACCATCTTCCTCTTCACCAATATCATCTCAGAACTGGGGACCTTCTTTACCGGCAACAGTCAATATGGTTGACTCTTGGGATACACCGAAACCAACTGCAGCCTTAGCTTACAAGGCTGCAAGTGTGATCCAACCCATTGCTGTTACTGACTGGATTTGATAACTTGAAAAGCTCATGAACATATTATAAATCAAGGATACGGGTATTCTAGGATCTCTACACAATTTACCTGCAGTTTATGTTAACATTAAATCATTAAACATCCACGAAACTTGAGTTATGGCCAATTTGAGTATCTTTTAGCACTTTCAAATGATCAAACACAGAGACTGCCAGAAGTACCCTGTGAAAGGTCTATTCATCTATTGGTGACCAACCACAATTTCAATTGTTATTGAATCTACAAAAGATGAAATTACTAAAGTGACGGAGAAACAATTACATTCAGTAGGTTTACTTCATTTTCGTGTATATTTGATTAGCATGATTATTACAATACCAAGTGCCATTGAGAGGGACTTTTTTGAACCTCTAAACACACAGTTATATTCAATCATTTAATTTTGATCAACTGATCGTTTTAATTTTTTGTTTTCCTTTGATCAACAGTCAACTGTATAAAATCACTTCTCATGTTGAACAATCAGTTGTTTAAAATTTTACATTTCTGTGTTGAGGTGATGATTGAAAGTATAACCTCATTGAGAAAACATTGAACAACAATTTTATCATTTCTTGTTTTGTTCCTTCAAATCAATGTAATCTCTTAATCATTTGTAAATGCTATCAAATTACGTCTGAATTGTTACAAAAAAAATATCAACCAATTACCCGTTTTTCAATATCTTTGTAAATCTTGCACCTTTTCAATTTAATAAAATTAAGTCAAGGGAAGAACCATTTGAATTAGCAAAAGCGTTTTAATCAATAGTTTCCGTTTTACCCTAAATTCATGAGACCAAATTTACAGGATCCAACCCAGGATAGATTGTCATCAATTGAATAAAGTTAATCATCAGATTAGGACGGAAGTCCATTATGAAAGGATTGACATGAAAATGGAAACAAAAATTTATCCCAAATGTTTATCTCTAATGTAAAGAGAAACACTTGGAAAGTTCACCCAAAAATAATAAATGCATCAACTTGAAGTAACAACAAGCAACATGACCTGAATCTGCCTGTTAATCAGCCATCAACATGTTTCCATTGATTAAAGTGAAATGGCTTTATTCAATTTAATCAACAAATCAACGTGACACAGAAATATAAACAAACAAAATCCTCCCAAAAAAAGGTCCAAACATTTCCGTCAAATTAGCTGGTCTATTAAATGCTGGTCAAGCTTACAAATGGCAAGAGGATTAACCGTTTTTTTCACACACATTGGTACCTTTACCCTCTGGGTTTGAAACTGTTTTCATTACCAACAATATGATTCATACTAAATATGAATCATGACACTCTTGATTGGAGGAGGAACCACAAAAATTAATATCCACATTGCTTTTGAAGACATTTAACCATCTTATGTTTATTGGTAACAATAAGGAAACATGCTTGACTCTCCAAGGCAACCGAGTTGGAGGTTTAATTAAAGTATATTAAATCTGCCATAATCATCATCATTGACAACAATAGAGTCACCAGCCAACCGGTAAGCCTAAGCTATTGATTCTGGTTTTATTCTGGTTTCATTCTGGTATTTTACAAAAAATATTATTTTCGTATAAAATCAATTTACTAATCAATGGCACGGACTGTGGATTAGCAAATAATTTTCATTTTAATTATTGAAGAGTAAATGGCTTTAGCTTTACTTCAACTGTACCTGTTGACTGGTTCATTGGACTGAATCAATAAATGAATTGAAGGTAATAAAGTCAATGTCAGGTACAAATAAAAACGTCTTTGTTTGGTTTTACTTTTTTTGCTGCTTCCATTGGCAAACATTTCCCCGGAGGAAGAAAGGTAAAATTGAAAAACTGAATCAGCTAATAATCATTTGTTGTATTCATCAAATTGCTTGGTTTCCCTTGGTTTCACAATTGATTTTTACAGCTGTTTAACTTTTTTTAAGGCTTGAATCAAATTTTTGGCTAGATTTGCCTGAGTTTTGCCGTTGAAAAAAGAAACGAGAAAATATCTCAATTGTAAACTTGTAAATCTTATTGCCTTCAAAGGCTCATGCTTTTAACCAATATTTCATGATTACATTATAAATGGTTGAAAACTCATTTGCTGAAAGGGAAAGATGATCAAGATACAAACGGAATATGAATTGTATCAAAATAAATATTTATCATTTGATGAATGAGAAAAGTGGGCAACAATTTCAAGTATAAGACTCTATTGGTTGTAGGTTGCATGATAATTCAACTATAATACACAAACTAGTGATATAATTAGATACAAAGGTTTGGGTAGAATGGGTTTGGTTCAAAATGATATTTTTTATAAGTTGTTTGTTTAACACATTTTCAGGTCTTTTGTAGATGTAACTGACAGGGAAGAGTGTATTTAATTTTGTTGATCCATCAAGTTAACTTTTCTTTAATCGAATGGCATTTTCAATAATTTCAACTGGAAAACTCTAAATAGAGCATCTTCTTTAAACATTCAGTGATACTGGAATAAACTCTGGTTTTTATCTATGAAAAAGTCACCTACATCTTCATTGCCATCATCAACTTTACCCAAACAGAGAAGAGGAAAAGCTATGCAAATAATCATCAACTTGATCTTGGAGTGAGAAGATATTTTTAAACTTGGTCATTTCATCTTTAATGGTCTTCCATGACTATAACAACATTCCAGTGATCCTTTCTTTACACCGTTAAATGTATTCCAATTTTTGGGATCATTTATTGCAATCAAATGTTCAAGTTAATGTCAAAAATCGTAAAAACAAATTGACTGGAAATGGTAAACAAGCGCATCCATAAATCTTGATTAGTCGTAAGGTGACGTCTCAAATGTGTCATTATATTTCTGATAGTAATTTAGATGATAATAACTATAAGGTATGTACAATTAGTGTTAGTTTTGATTCTTGTCTGCACAATTTGCTTGTAAATTCTGGTGATTAATTGTCTTCTTTTTCTGGTTTCTCCACGTTTCTCAATGTTTTCACCAGTCTTACCTCGCATTGTCTTTATCATAATAACGCACAGTTTATTATTCAACTGTGAGACTGAAACAGTTAGTGACTTGTTTGCCTCTCCTGATCCACCGTCAATCATTTATTTGGAAACAAATTCAAGTGTAACAAAATATATTGACTATCGGTCTAATTGTGCACGCCAATGGGTCTTAAAACGTGAAGGCTACAATTATAATGGAAGTAATCTTGAGGTTGTTAAGGAGGCGATCCTAATTTTAAGCCATCTTGATTTGGATTCATCAGCTGGTGATTATCTTCTTGTATCCAGTGGCATACCAGATGAAACATACAAGCCCAAAATTTTGGTCATTACATCAAAGATAAACGATGAAAGTAAAACGATTGCCATTTCTTCGCCAATCACTTGGATTGGTTTGGTTAATAATGCTGCATATAAACCAGCAATAACCCTAACATTCACCTGGGTTGCTCCTGAATTGAAAATAAAAGAGGAAATATTTCCAACAGAATTACGATCAGCATCAGTCGATCTTTGCTTTGAGGAAATTGATTGTCCAATTGTGTCGGAAAACCAGCAATTTATCAAATCTGGACTGACTGAAATGGTTAATCAATTCATTTACGATGAAAATAGTACCAATATTCAACCGATTGACGAGCAGCAAATCAAAATTATCCGTAATGAGTCGAGAATCAATGATGAGCAAGTTTCTGTTAATAAATATTGCAGGGTTCAACTTGCTGTTACTAGTGAAGTTGATATCAATTGGGCTCATCCAGAGTTGACAAAGGAAATTTTGACCACCATTTGGTTATCAACTAATACATCTGCTCAAATCATCTCAATTCCTGGTGATCGTTTAAGTTTTAAGACTTGTCAAGATGAATCATTTGATCCCTTTATTACGCTACAATCAGCTGGTATCTTTATAGCTGGTCTAGGAGCTTCCATTGGTTTATGGAGATGGCATCATTCACATGTTTTGTCAGCAAAGAAAGCAATTAAACCTAAAGTTGATTCAGTTTTAGCCTCGACAGAAACAAAACATAATCCAATCTATGAGAGTGACGGAGAAAACGACGAAGATTATGTTCTTGGTGAACGAGGTTATCACTAGAATGTTTGATGGATAATTTTCCAAATATAAAAAATTGAAAATGAAATACAAAATTAAACGCAAGTGAATTACAATCAATACTTTTTAATACCAAATCTAGCCTGCCAATTGGTAGGATGAGAAGCAAATGTATATTCATACTCTCTTAACCGCTTTAAATAAACAAAAGTCTCTGGTTTTGGAATTTTAGGCTTCAGATCAAGTTGTTTCCCATATAAATGAACCCCATCCATGAGTGCTAACGCATAACCAACCGAAACTTGATGTTCAAATTCAATGAAAGCAAAGTCTGGTTTCAAGACAACATTTTTAACAGGTCCACATTGAATAAACAATTCAAACAGCAGCTCTTTGGTCACTTTTGGATCAATATTACTCACTTTGAGAGTACGCTCTTGTATGTCATTAGAAACGGGTAGTCGATTGCCAATGGTCGGTTGACTCATTCTTCTCGATTAAAAAAGCTAAAGTAAAAAAAATCACAAGAAAATAGTAAAAAATGTAAACATTAAAAAAGGTAAATGTTTTGACACATGAATTTGGATAGGGAATAGAAAGGCTGCTAAGGCGACAAAACGGATTTTAACGGAAAGTATCGACATCTGTTGACTTGTAAAGAAACGAATATTATTAACGATTTGCTATGCGCATGTTAGCGTTGCTTTGTTTTGTTGATGTTAATGTTTAATCTGCGCGAGGCAGGGCGAATTGTACATCAAATAAAGGGACCGGAATCAAAATTTATCTGTTTACTTTTCTCGTTTTTCTTAATTTTACTCTAATTTAACTACTACTGACATTGATTTTTGGTGTTACAGACTTACTTCTCAATGATAGCGGAATCCTCTTCGTCCAACCAAGCCTCTACTGAGGCTCAACAAATGCTTGACACTTTTTGGCAGAGAGTGACAGAAGACATTAAAAACTTGAACAATACCGATTTCAAGAACCAAGAATTACCCTTGGCTCGGATAAAGAAAATTATGAAATTGGATGATGATGTAAAAGTTATGGTAAAGTATAATGAAACAATTTTCCATTTTATTCATTTAGTTTTCTGGTGAGATCCTAGTTTTGGTCATGGACCATTCATTATTAATCTGTGTACATTTTTTTGTTCTTTTTTTCCCTCAATTTTTATCCGATTTGTGCTTCGATCGGTACCAGAGATTTATCTTATCCATCACGGGAATTTGAACAAAATGCAACCTGACTTATCTTATTTAAAAGCAATTGCATTTAAATGAATGTTGGTCTCTTCCATTGACCCAAACTAGGATTCAATCCAGCTTTTCTTTCCTTTCTTTCTCTTTTTACCTTGTGGCATACATTCTCCCGGTTAAGATGCTTTTTTGTGCGATCAAATATGTTACACTTTTATGCATCAACCACCCTTGTGGCTACATTTATTTTCCAAAACACATTTAACTCATGTTCATATTTTTTTCATTTATTTTTCAGATGATATCTGCTGAAGCTCCTGTCCTTTTTGCCAAAGCAGCGGAAATTTTTATTACTGAACTTTCTCTTCGTGCCTGGATTCATACAGAAGAAAATAAAAGAAGAACCTTACAACGAAATGACATTGCCATGGCCATAACTAAATATGATCAATTTGATTTTTTGATCGACATTGTACCTAGAGAAGAATTAAAGCCAAATACAAAGAGACAGCCAACTGCTGCCGTTGCCACAGGTCCTACAAGTCTTACAAATCTAACAAACCCTCTTACAGGAGTCGCTGTAAATACTGATGGAACTACCGCTGTAAATCCTGAACAAGTATGCTCATATTTCAACTCTAGTGTGATTGTGTAATCTAACTTGACAATAATGTTGAAAGAAATCAGTGTTGCTTTACATTGCTTTCTGCAAGGATAAATTTGTCAATGTTGAATATTCAAGCGCCAATTTTTTACTTATGAAAATTTGTCATCCAACTAATATTTCTTTTCTTTTATCGTTCTTTTTTTTCTTAGGTACAATATTATTTTCAACTCGCACAACAACAAGCTGCGTTACAACAAACCGCTCTGCAACAATCCGCTTTACAACAAACCGCGCTACAACAAACAGCATTGCATCAAACCGCTTTACAACAAACTGCTTTACAGCAAACCACAGCTACAAATCCTACAGGTCAACCAATAATAGTACAAGGAGCAGGTCAAGCTGCTGGACAAGCATTCGCCATTAACGCGCCTCAACTTGTGCAGCTACAATTACCTGCTTACATGCTATTTAATAATCAATAGTTTTAATTTAATTCAGCACAAAACAATCACAGAAAAACAATAAGTGTCAACCATTCCTCACTTTTTTTCAGTTGCCAGCTTGCTATTTGTAATAATTTCTATTGTTAACTTATTTCTTTTGCTTGATTGTGTCCAGTATCATCTGAACAATTTAGTTAGTAAAAAAATGAAATGTTTAGTATATAATAGAAAAATCAAATATTTATTTAACTGTGTTATATCCATTCAGTTTGATCTATTTTTAAACTCTATTGACCGAAAGAAGCTAAATGATATTTTTTGGTTTGAAAAAAACTTATTACATAAAAAAAAGCTTATTTCAACTCAAACGAAATCAAGTAAAGAAGTAGGCCAAAGGATTTGAATCGATAACCTTTGAATGTAAATTCAATTTAATTTAAATAATTCTCAATTTTCATCACAAACAAAGCAAACTAACATTCATCAAAAAATGCTAAGCACTCTGATCATCATCTAAATTAACTTTTTCCTCATCAATCTAAATTCAAATTGAATTTACATATTTAAAATAATGTCTATATTAGTAACAACAATTAAAAATTAAACTAAAATCTCTGGAATTTAGTCAATCCACAAAATTATTACCATTAATGTTTACTTGTCTATTGAATGATGAGTCTAACGTGAAATTAGAATCAATATTTTGATTAAGTGATAAAAATGAACAATATGGTGACCCGTTTAATATGAATCAATCACAAAGGCATCATCATTAAAGGGTTAATGTAAGTTAATGAACCGTAAGAATGAAAAGAATAGAAAACTAATTACAATTTGTATTATTAACATATTCATAGCTTTCTCAAAGTTGACAATCAACGGATTGAGAGGCCAATGATTAGGATAAAAGTAGCGTGCAGACATGAAAACCAATGAAAGTGACTCTTATTATCATGTTGATTTCATCTCAATTGTTAACAATTTCAATTTTCTTCACATTTCTCTATTCAATAATCTCATTTATATTTCATCGTTCAGAACAACCATCATCATGTTAATAATGTAGGTAGCAAAGACCTTAAGCACGGCATTCAATCTCGGTAAATTTTTATGAATAGATGACTACATTGGCAGATATTTATAGTCATATTGACATGAAATGGACACAAAATTCAAACCATTGAAGATTTGAGGCCAACAGGTTCGGAATATTTTGAAAAATAATGAGAGAATTGAACAGATAATTGATCAACGTCCATCCAATTAACCCTAAACTATAACCTAAATCAATTATCTTTATTCAATGTGTTAAGATTTTATTAATACAACCTTAATCCATCTTAATAGTCAGTAGCTTTTTCGGCTTAACCAACATCTCCTTAATCAGGAAAATTGACTAAATATGGTCACAATTGAAACTACTTAAACTGTTTTTGGGAAAACAACACTTTCACGTTATTTCCTCTTCGATGATCATGTTGCTGTCAACCTAATCTTAACCTTTAGTTGATTAATTTTTTTCCCGGTTAACTGTTTGATCAGCCTCCATATGATTTAAGAATGTACAAAATTAATGATGATAATGAAAACAAACTAAAAATCAATTTGAAAGGTAAAATTAGGTGTAGCTGTAATTAGGTGATGTGTAAAGACTTGGAGTTGAAGGGAATATCAATCAATGAATATCCAGCAGTGAGTATCAACCAAAATGATGTTTGGATCCATTATTACGCCAAATATATTTTACAATCTTGAATATGCATTTAAATGGATAAATTACCATTAAAGTTAAAATCTAATTGTAATACTATTAGCTGTTTACTTTGTACTTTTAGTAAGATGTTTAGTAAGGCTTCACGGCTATCCTTTCAGGTGTAATGTCTATCAGTCTTGTTGGTTTCATTCATCTAAATGGCATTAGTCAGGTTTCACCAACGGAATCAAGGATCAACAGGCTTGATCCATCAAATGTTGATCAAGACAATGATTCTGTGTCTTTCATTTTTTGCCCTTCTCTTGGTTTTGTCTCTCTATCCTCTTCATCCTTATCATCAGCAGTCTTTCTTGTTGCCCATCAAGGTTTACAAATCAGTCAAGAGTTGAAAAAAGTATAGAGAAAAAAATGTTGACTGAAAAAAAAGAGGAAAACAGATTCATGACTTTGCATAAGAATTAATATTGATGATTATGATGATGATGAAGTTAACAGGAATTGATGTCCATGCAAGTGTTTCATTGACTTGATTAGTAGACACTCCTAATGGTTAATAACTTTGATTGACGATTCCAAAACAGTCTTTGGTTCACGATTAAACTGGAAACGGCGATAATAATGAATGATGAATTATGCCTAAAATCTGATGAGTTGAGTAAATGAAAAATAATGATTAAATAAGGATTGATAGGATTAAAGGAAATATAAACGGTAAAATAATAAATATCCATTGAAAAAGGATTGATATATCGATAACAAATTGAATAAGATTTGGTGTAAAATGGTGATTACCAATTGAAAGGTGAAGATTAATTTGTCTGTCATAATTGATGATTGAAAAACTGAGAGTTTTTTGTTAAGTTGTTTCAAATAAAATTGATTAACTTTAATGTTAATAGCAATAATTACTATAATAATTATAATAATAATAATAAATAGTTTGGCTGAAATATCAAGATCAAAATTGTCATTGATGGTAAAATGGTGAATTTTGGTGAGAAAAAAATGGTTTTTGTTTCCTTTTACAGATTTTGGAATGAATTTTTTTCTTGCTTTTTGGAAGAAGGATGGAAGTTTTTGCTTGATTGTTGATGTGTGTGGCATGGATATGAAAAGTGAGATAAAATTGATGATTGATTGGTTAAAAAGACGTGTTTTCTTTTTTGCATGGAATGTTTTTTTTCTGAATTTACTTGCTTTGTATCGATGGTTTGCTAGAATAATAATGAAAGGCTCAATACTAAAGGCACTAAAATTTTTTCTTCCCGTGATTGTTACATGTAAAATAAACTTGTAAAAAAAGAGGGAAAGAGAGGGAAAAACAAGTCAAGTCCTTAAAAAGCAAGTTTTTGGTTTCTCTTTTTGCATCCTCATCTTGTCTTGCTTTTTCTTTGCTCACTTTACATTCCCTTTATCCCCTGCTTTCAAGTCATGCTTTTTTACTTTCTATTAGGTAACCCAAAAAGTTTTTAGCCTTTGGACAATTTTTCATGAAATTTTATTCAGGATTTCTATTGGAATCTTCTCTATGAAAATCCATGTAAATAGCGTTTTGATTGTCGTCTAGATTGTCGTGAAATTGTGATTAGAAACTTCAGTTTCATCAGTTTATTACACGGATTTTAAGCTTTCATTTTATGTCAATTTTTTTCTTTATGTTTGATTGTTTGTAATAAAAAATGATGACTTAACTATGAAAAATTTAAGTGTACTAATCAATAGTTTAATTGTGAAAATAGATTCAAATTAAAGCGAAGATATTGATTAGTTAGGAATGTGAAAATGGAGACAATTAAAATGATTTTTACTAAATTGATCATTTGAAATAAAATTGCTTCAAAGGCTAAAAACTTCCGAGTTACCTAAAGGTTTCTTCCCTCATTTTCTGGTTTGTTAAGGGTTAAAATTGATGATTTGCTGTTAATTTTTCCTTTGATTTTCCTTAGTCATTCTTTGCTCTACCATACTGACCAACCGGTCTGAATATTGTTGCAACAAGTTCATCGTTTGAATCATACTTTCCGGTGGAAGACTACTTGTTGGCTCTAATGGATTTGCCATGACCGGAGTATCACCATTAATTGGTGGAGGTGGCACAACAGTAGAAAGGTTTACATAAGCTTTGGAAATACCATCAACCAGAAGGTTACAGAGGGCAATGTTACCGGCAGCTGAACATCGATGGTAAATTTTTTTCGCATAGGTTGCAATGTGATTCAGCTCATCGACAACATTGTGAACCAATTCATTAGTTAGTGGTATAGAAGCGGGATTGCTTGAAGAAAGGTCAAATTGTCGATCATTTAAAAGGTTAATGTTGTTGTTGTTGTTGTTGTTGACACTGCTAGCTGATTGGTTAGGCCATAGTCCATTTTCCGATGCACCAGTCATGGGTGATGTTATGATTGATCCAGTGCGACTACGAGGAAGTGTTTCTCGATGATCAATCATGTTTAAATTGTATTCGCTTTTTGATGAACGAAGCTCAAAGTTGCCCCAAAGTTTCCGTGATTTTGGTGATGTAAGGTCAGATTGTTTGGTATTTGGCACCGCTTGGCTTGTTGATGAACGGCGAATCTGGCGAAGTATATTAGGCTTTGGTGGTGTTCCAGGGCGAAGTGCACGAGGAACCGCTTCAGATTCAGAGGATGAATCTTCGTCATCTGAACTATCATGACCACCACCACCATTAAGATAATCCTTGGACTTTTTACGAGACTGAGGTGGAGGCGCACTCATTCGACCTGAGCTAAACTTATTGGAAGAAGGCAAATGAGAGACGGACGGAGAGCTCCAAAGGCCTTGAGATTTAGATGCACCTGAAGAGCGAAGGTACGATGATTCACTCCTGTTTAAGCTCATCGAGCTCGTACTTCGTTTCATCATTGTGTAACCATGACTAGAATTAAGATCGGATACTTGTCTCTCCCAAAGGGGCGCAGTTGAAGTTTTAGACCCTAATAAAGGAAAAAAGAGGGAAAAGGTGAAAAAAGTTAAATACATCAAAATAATTAATTAACAAAAAAGCGTAATGCAAGTATAAATTATATTAAAGATACAATTTAGGTTGTCAGCTGCTAAGTTTGAAAATAAAGTAGTGATGATCTAATAAATCTTACCATCGAATAGATTAGCAGGAGAGGTTGGTAATAACTTTCTTTGAGGATTCAGTGAAATATCGCTTAAGGATATTGAACGGCGAATGGAATCTGAAAATAAAATGTAAACAGGTTAGATCAATAATCTGACAAGATTTTATTTTCTATTGAGGTGTAAAACAAACAAATGATGAATATGTGAGATGATGATTAAATTAAAATGAGAGAGATTGATGCAAATGAAAAATTCTTACTATTCTTGGGTAAAGGTAAGGTTTGAGTATCTCCAATATCTCGAAGATTGGCCACACTTTTACTTGAATTGAGGCCAGATCCTCTCCAACCAAGCTACAGAATAAAATGAAACAGATAAGTTTTGATAAAATTAATCACTCAATAGATTTGCATCAACTTTATCATATGGTGCAAGATTAAATCAAATAATATAATAGATATTTTTTTTGTATAGATGTAGAGCATATTAATGAAAATAACAAGAAAAACAAGTTATGCTTTAGCATGGGCGCGGTACCCGAAATTGGGGTAACTCTTTTCTTCATCTTTGCTCCAGAGAAGAAGATGAAAAAGCAAGAAAAGTCTGAATTATTAAGTAGCCTGAAAATTTTTTGTTTTACAATTAGAAAGGTCTGTTTTGAAGGTTAATTGCAGATTATGCGTAAAGTAATGGTGATATTATTAATAATGTTGTGATGAAAAAAGGAGCGAAAAAGTTGCTAACATTTGTTGAAAAGATGAAAAATGATGGAAAATGAAATTAGATCAAAAAGATTGGTCAAAAAAGTTGGACTCCGTGAACTCAAACTTGAATGAAATATTAACAAAAATTATAGCTATCAACATTTAATTATTATGAACGAATGTACATTTTATTATGATTTTTATGAGAATAGAGTTTCTCTCAATTCAAAACAAAGGGATCAGGAATTCATATTCAAGATGAGAAAAGATCTCAATTTCAATAAATGTAATCGGATAATAGGTCTTTATCATTCTCATTGAAATATAAATGCATGATAGTGATAGGTAACAATTGGAAATAAATGAACAAGTGAAAAAAAGGAAGGAAGACAGATAATGAAGGAAGGAAAGAATTGGAATGAGAAAGATGAAAATGCAAGAAGACAAAACAAAAAAAAGCTGACACAAAAGCTGTTTACCTGTTGTAGCTTGTATTGGTAATTATATAATCAAGAGATGGCCAAATAAAACATTTGGTGAGCCCAAATGACTTGACAAAATTTGGCCTTTTTACCTTTCCTATCAATATTGTTCTTAAATGTTGAGTTCAATTTTTGGTTGAATTAACATAAGTTTTACCAATTTTAAATTTTTACTCTCAACTATTTTGGAGGATGATTTTGAAGTTGAGGTTTTAAGTAGCATCGATATTTTATCATTATGATTATTATCAACAATCAATGTCTACTCAATGCCATTGTTTTGTTTTGTTGAAAATTGTGAGGTTTGTGAATGTGGTAAGATTCAGGGAAAGGCAAGTAAATAGCAAATTGCATGTGAAAGGGTTTCACAAGTAATCAAGTTTCAGTTGAATCTAATAGCTTGACCAGCCAGTCCATACAACAATAACAATAACAAGTTGGGCAACAACACTATTTGATGGTTAAACATAAGTTACTTGGTTAAACCTACAATTCCCTAGGTTGATTTGATAGGTGAGGGACAGGAGAAGAGGGAAAAAATTAGTAAGCGAAACACAAGAAGGATAGACAAGAATTTACAGATTGGGCTAAATTATTTAGGGTAAATGCTCTGTGTCAGGACAATTAGATTTGAGCAACAACACGAATTTTTTAACATATTCAGGTAAAAATTAAAGGTCATTCTGTGAGAGCATGAAGTTATTTTAAATTACAAAGCTAAATTGATCATGTAAAAGACTTTCTTGTGTGTGTGTGAGAGAGAGAATGATAAAGTTAGATTTATAATAAATGGTGATGAGAGAAGACCCCATTAAACCATGATGATGAGGCAAACTGTTTACGAGAAACATTTTTCTTCCGGCCTGTCATAATGTTATAAGTCATCATTAAGCTTGAAAATTATTAACTGATCAACCATTATTTTATTGTTAGTCTAAATAGTTCATAGGTTTCAAAGGTTTATCATAAACATCTCAATAGAGGGAAGAGAAAGAAAGAGAAGATAAATATCATGTAATAACAAAGAGAAGGTAGGAAGGGAAAGAAGTTATGAGGAACCAGAAAAAGTGAGGGAGGATGAAAAGTGGAAAGATGATAGAGAAAGAGAAATGAAGTAGAATATTGGACGCTGAATGAAGATAAAAAATTCATCTAATAAGCTGGTATGAAACTATCAAATTATTACTAATAGAAGGGAAAGGAAATTGAACATTGGTGATGGAAAATTATCGCAACATCATGGCAGTTCAAGATGCTGACAAGTATTCATACTATTTTGATTGAAGGCAGATTTGACAGAAAAAGATATTTCATTTTGTCTGTAAGCATTCACTTTGTGATACTTTAGTTATTTTTCAACTTTCAGTCTTAATAAATTATTTCAAGTTCAGGATATTAATGGGAAAAATTTGATAAAAAAAGATGTAACTTACTGTTTCCAATTTTTTTCTTGCCTCACTGATGGCTTTAGTTAACTCTTCCCGTCTCTTGGAAAGCGGAGGTTTCAGGGTTGACGAAGATCGTACGGGGGTTCGGAAAGATGATGATGATGATGAGGATGGTGATAATGCTGTTGAAAGTTGAGGTTGATGATGTTGATTTTGATGTAATGGTTGTTGTTGAATCGTAGGTTGAGATGATTGAGATAAATATCTTGCTGAAATACTGGATCGACTTTCAAGGTCCATGTTGTTTGTTGAATGGTCATCTTCAACTGAAACATTGTTTACATCTTTGCTTAATGTTTCAAAGTTGCTTTTCATGAATCTTTCACGTTGATCAAGTCGATCTAGGTTCTCAGTGCTAATGTAAAGAGGATTTCTGGTTACAGTTGGACCACTGCGATCACTTTCACCACCAGCAGTACCCGAATCTTCATCATCACTATGTAATTCATTGAAATTAGGCACACTCACTGAAGGCACCAAACCTCCACCACTGTATCGAGTAAGATTACTTTTACTTCGACGAAATCTTCTCAATTTATCTTTAAATTCATCTTCATTTGTTTCACGAATCTCAAAAGTAGATGCACGAATAGATTCACTTTGTGGATAATAGACTAAATCACTACTATCCGTGGTAGTCACTTCTTCCTCTTCATCACGTTGCCAACTTCCACTGGCTGATGAAGAATCGGTTAAATGTCGAGATCGACCGTAAATACCATCCTTAACCGATGCATCGTTCTCATCGTGTGCGGGAGATTCTGGTTTAGAATTATTTAGATTGGGATAAGGAATGATTGTATCATTAGTAAGATAAGATTTGACGACTAGATTAGGCGTATTTTCCATCCTCTGAGCCCATCTGCCTTTGGGTTGTAAATGAGGTGGAAGTGCATTTGCTGTAACACCATTATTTCCTGGTGAAGATGAAGGCGAATCATCTTGCTTTCCATTTTTATCGTTCATTTGTTTTTTAGCCCAAGAAGGCAATGATTTAATGTTGAACCGATAAGGCGAGGATACTGAACCATTTCCAGATCCATTTGTGACCACTTTTTCACTTTCAAGGGGTAAACTTTTATTTATTATATTGGCTGGTTTTTCGGGCGGAACAGGAGGAAGGCCTAGTTTAGAGGCAATTGCATTTGCCATCTCGAGGGGTAGTTTCCATACAAAGATGCAGCTGTCACCGGAAACAGAAATAAGGTAACGACCATTGAAGGTAAACTTAAGGCCAGTAATAAGCTCTGAGTGACCATTAGAAGTTGCTAAACAATCTCCAGAAGTCATATCATGAATATAAAGGCTTTTATCAGTACAACTGGCTGCCACAAAAATACAAGCGGGATCTAAGGCAACTTTAATTAAGGTACCATCGTTACCAAGAGAACCATCAATAACATGAACATTTTTACCGGTTTCGGCGTTGTATACACGAACAGCTCTATCTTGACATGCAGTGACCACTGAAAATCTTCCTCGGTCAACATCCATATCATAGAGAGTACTTTTACCAACCACATGATGTTCACGTTGAAAGTTGACTTGATCACAGTTTAAACTATATTTACGAAAAATAATTGATTTATCAGCACCACAGCTAACCATCTTTAAATTTCGCTTTTCAGAGTCAGGAATAAATTTCACTGATGTAATCGAAGATGAATGGTCACCCAAAGTTTGTATAGGTGAATAGTTGTTTTCAACATCGAAAACATGGATTAAACGATCACGAGATGCTGAAGCTAAAAGATGGCGTCCGTTTGGTAATTCGTCTGAATATTCAACAGCTAAAACTTCAGCATTATGAGCTTCAATGGAACACAACTCTTGTTGGTTGGCAAAATCAAAAACCTTGATATTTCCTGAACGGTGGCCGGAAGCAAGATGACGACCGTCAGGTGAAACTTTGATACATCGAACGCCATTTTTACTATCAAAAATATTTTCATTCTTTTCAGAGTTGGCATCTCCACTGATTTCTGGGTTGATATCAGGGTCACATATGTATGTTAACTTTGGGTCCATATAAAGAATCTTTAATAAATCTTGACTGAAAATATTCTTCTTGTAAACATATGAGTCCAAAGAAACAGCATTGGAATTGATAGAGTCTAAATTCCAAACTCTAACCGTATCATCACTAGAGCAGGTTAGAAATGTTCCTGGTGGAAGAAGCTGTTTGGCACTAACCTTCAAATTTGGATAAGTCTAAAAGTAAAGTTATCAAGGTAAATGGAAAGAAAAAAGAAAATAAAAAGAAATTGGTAAAATAAATAAATAACTAAAAAATAAAACAGTAAAAAATGCAACTTTTTTTCTGGCTGATTAATCAATCATTAGAGCAATAGACCGGACAACTTACTCAAAATTTTTGAGTAGACATGATTTTTTAAGGTGTTAAAAAATAAGAGAAAGTTGTCAAATGTATGTGTCTTAATGGTTTGAAAGTTTAGATTAAAAGTTGACTAATTGAATGACGTAAGAGACAATGCATACCTCAACGCCCCAGATACAGGCACTATGATACAAGAAGGATCGAGATTTGCCGACACGCTTGAGATCTCGGATATCCCAGATATACATACTGTGATCAGTGTAAACACAGGTAACCTTCTTGTTGATCTCATCAAGACTGATGGCAATGGTTGATGGGAACTTAGGATTTGAGCCAAAGGGTGTATTTGCACCGTTTGCTCCCACTTCACTTCGGTTTAAACCTTTGGCGATGTCTATACCAAGTGTATGAGGTCTTGGAAGCGTACAGATAAACTGAAGGTTGATTGGATTGAAACATCGAATGATACCGTCTGCACAGCCAACACAAATAATATTATGTCCAGTGCTAAGACAATTGGCACTTGTAGTCTGTAGGGAAAAGTGTTAAATAGGGAGGAAAAATAAGAGAAAGTAAAGAGAAAAGTTAGAAAAAAGTGTTTCTTTTAGTGGTTACAGAAAAAAGAGGAAAAAAAGAGATCATCTTCACATCAATCGAGAAGGGAAACTTTTGAAAGGCTTACAGCTAAAGTTACTAATAAAACTGATTATGAATAAGGGAGGAGTAGGTGTTAAGTACGTGAATGTCACAAATCAATGTTATTGAAAATACGGTGAAAAAAGAGAGAAAAAAGTTGTCGTAAAGATGAAAGTTAGTTAGTCACATTTCGTTGCTTTCAAAACATGAAAGTATCGTTTTCAACCTTTTCCCTTCTTTCACTCGTTTTTTTGCTAATCTGAACTAATAAAACCATGATTATTAGCCTTGAATCTGAAAATACAAATATGAGTACTTTTTGATATTTAGTAGGCATTAAGATTACGATAAGATTAAGAGTAAATGTTTACGTTACCCTTAATTCAACCCATTTGTCAAGAAGACGTCGATTATTGAATTCACAAAGAAGCCCGGATCGGGCAATGGCAAAAGTACTTTCGGAAGCCTCACCAAGGCCACATGCAACATCACAAAAATAATTATTCCTTTGGTCACCCAATATTGCAGACCTGCCCATTAAAGGAGCTGTGTCCATTTTATTTCTGGGTGATTTTGAATACTGAAGATACCAAAACTTAACATGTCTATTACCAACAGTGACAAAATATTCTCCATTCTCACTGAAAGATATTGCTTTAACTTTACATGATACAGTGTTGGAAGCTATTTTAATATCATTTTGCCAGTCCCAAACATTGACCATTTTATCACGGTGAGATCCAATAGAGACAACATATTTCATGTTGGGAGAAAAGGCCTTAAAAAGAAATACATAAAAAAGAGATAATCAGTAATCAAGTATTAACCTTGAGATTAAAATGAAACTGACCGTTAAAGAGGTCAGTATAAGGGAATTTTAAGGGAAACGAAGAATAATTAAAGAAGAAAACATGAAAGAGTTTAGTGATATTCATTTTAAAGACAAGAGAGTGAACCAAAAAGGTAAAGAAAGAGGGTTGAAAGAAAGAAAAAATGAAGGTAGAAATGTAAAAATGAAAGAAAAGTCTAGTACATGGCAGCTCAATAAGATGTCAAAAAAGTTGAGATTTAACACTGGCAAATATAAATCTCTCCACCATTTGTTAAAATAAGTAAACTTACAACACAATTAATTCCATATTTGTGACCAGAAGATGAGGCAACTTGCTGGCCACTAGACAAGTCCCATACACGGACACAAGGATCATTACCACATTCACCGGTGGCTAGGTATTTACCATCAGAAGAAAAGGAAAGAGATGTAATACTTTTAAGGGTATTATTGATAATATGATATTGCTTGTTCCTTTTGATATTATAAACAACTGCCACAGATCCAGCCGGATAAGCGACATTACCGGTCACTGAATTACAGTCAAGAGCACAATTATTGCATACAGTTAGTCCAAGTACTTGTTCCAATTTCATCTTGGACAGTGATGATGATTGGTAAAGAGTGTAACGTTGTTTTACAAAAACCAAGCATCAAAATAGAAGAGGTAAAAAGAGGTAGCGATCAAATTTTGTATAATTTCAAATATTGGTTAAAAAAAGGTAAAAATAAAAGATGTTCTTATTGGTGATGATGGTGGTATTGATAATAATGATAGTGGTAATGAAGAAGGAGAAATAAAGATGGTGATGATGAATATATAAAAAAACTGAAACCTCTTCACGTAAAAAAACTAAGCAACTTTAGAGTTTTTTTCAAACCATCCAACTTTACCTGAAATAAATCTTTTGCATAACAAAAAACCTTGATTATTTGAATTACCTGAGAAACTCCAACTGCCATCTATATGTTTACATTCAAAGTACAGAAACCACAGTTTTTTGCTGTTATCGCCATCTATCGTTTCTAATAAGAAGTAAAGAATTACATTAAATAATGTAATGTACGGCCTTAACGAAGATTGAATTAGACTTAAACTTTCAGTTAAAACCAGACGCTTCTTCGAGTGTTCCGTTTTTCTTGGTTGAGACACATATTGATATCGATACTTGTTTAAATGGCAGAACATAATAACGATTCTGATAAAAGTAAGTCCCATTTAGTTATGATTTCAAGATAATTCACTCTTTACCTGTCATTTTTTATTCAGTTACTTTCAAAGTAAAGCATTTGGATCAATATCATGACATAGTCATTGATTTGAATGATGACAGAAATGAATACAAACATCAACAATTATTTGAACAGGTAAGTCAAGTTTGCTATTTAATCTTTTGACAATAACTTCTCACTATCTTTTTATTTATAGCTGGAATCAATGACAGGAGTAGCGAGTAGATATACAAGTGTGGTTATTATAAAGAGACCCAACGAAATTAACCGGTCTCTTCGAAATTCCTGGCACTTTCTGAACCAAAAAGCGTACTACAACATTTTACTAATTGAAATCATTTAGCCTAAGATGTATATTAATTGCTTCTCAACTTTTTTCATAGCTTCACTCCTGATTTGCTTATGCGATATCCAATCGGAGGAGACGATATCCGCAGCCCACATTTTCGCGATGGCGAGCGTTTCCATCTCCAATATTGGTTTGCTTATGAAGAGGGTATTTCCAATCGTATCAATATGCGTTATAAGTTAGTAGATGAAAGAGACATTCCCGGAGGAGACTGTTGCCGACATTTCTGTCAATATCAATGTACTGAAGGTTACTTCAACAGGTTGAAAGATCTCGTTAGTAATGAAAAATTGAATGCAAAAATTACGCAGTCTGTGCAGCCACTATTGGAAACTCTTTCACATTTAAGGTATTTGGAAGCGGACAAGATTTTCAGAGAGTTCAATGTTAAACAATATTTATATCCAGTTTGTGTTTGGCTTCATAGGTGGAGAAGCTCAGTGAATGGTCATGCAAGTCAAGATGATCTTTATCTAAGAACTCGAGGTTAAATATCTGTATTGAACGAATGAAATTTAATTTTTCTTAGTAAACTCTTCAATTTGCATAATGATCTCCATGGTAATTTCATTTTACGCAGTACTCTGATAAGTTTTATTTTCAATTTGAAGTTTTTCACTTGATACCTGCAATAACAAAATTATTTGCTTGAATCAGATAAGTTGAACTTGAATAACTTATTACATTAATACATTACACAATCTACACTAAAGTCAAAACAGTGAGCTATTTGCGCGCAAATTGTGACCAAACTGAATGGATTCTAAAGAAAATTTCTAAATAACATGAAAGACATAATTGAACTATTAACGAAAAATAAACAAAGTCTAATCAGAATTCAGGCTACTTAGAAATACCCGTAAACAGGGTCGGGGAAAAACGTAGAATCTTTAATTCAATCTATTGACTTTGGGATAAAAACTTTTTTCGTATTAAGGTTGATGGTTTGTTGGATTAGGAAAACATATGAAACCGATTAATGTCGATTAAAGAGTCTGGTCAAGAAATATGGTCCATCAACTGTGCAGAGAGATCAGGTTGAACTTGAAACTCAATTTTTTCAAAGATTTTCCATCAGAGAAACTTTTTTATAAAACTAATGAAATCAATTTTACAACCAACAAATAATTAACAATCAGCTCAAAGAAAAAAATCACCTTTGCTTGAAGAAAGGCTTTTTTCGTCCCAAAATGAATTTCATCAAAGTGATAAAAGCTCAAGATTAGACATTTTCAATTTCTTACATTTTTTAGTCTGCTGATGGCCTTTTCATTGAGTTCCAACTCAATGAAACTATCACTCGAAGGAGCAGATTAAACTGTAAATCCAAGTAAACTCTTTTACATTTATGAGTCTATTGATAAATCTAAATGAATGAGCACCTTTTGCTTTTTTCAGTAAATTCTGCTTTTCATTTAAGTCTTAACCAAACAGCAATGAATCTACTTTGGAAACGAAAACTTTTTGTTTCTAATTTTGAACTAAATGTTCCAATTTGAAGATAAGGCTCACTTTTCATCACATTTTATCAGTTTTAATTAATAGCACAATTACTTGTTAATATTGAAGTTAAGGTTGAAAATGGCATGTCACAGAATGGAATATTTTCATTTGAAAAGAGCGCTTTGAGCCAGGTCGACACTTGTTTTCGCCCAAACCACTTTTCATGTCCAAACTTTTTTGAATTTTTCTCAGTTTTACTCAAGCTTTCAGTTAAAACTAAACGCTTTTCCGAGTGTTGATTGTTTGCCAGTACAAATACACGTTAAAATGGGAGAACAGAATAACAGTTCTGATACTAATAAAAGTAAGTTTCATTTATTCATGATTTCAAGATAATTCACTCTTTACCTGTCATTGCATTCAGTTACTTTCAAAGTGAAGCATTTGGATGAATATCATGATATAGTCATAGATCCAAATGATGACAGATATGAATACAAAGACCAACACCAACAAATATTTGAACAGGCAAGTAAAGTTATGTATCCCAGTGCGTAAAGTTTGCTATCTTTTGACTATAATTTCTCATTTTTTATACATTCATAGCTGGAATCAATAACTGGAGTACCAAGTAGATATACAACTAGCTTTATTATACCTAGAAACATGAACCCTTCCGACGTTAATAATATCGAACGGTATCTGATGTGTTTTTACAACCAAAAAGCGTAATTCAACATTCTATCACTTGATATCAATTATCATGCGATGTATAATAATTAATTGTTTCTCAACTTTTTCCATAGCTTCGCTCATGATTTACGCATGGAATACACGGAATACATGGATGACGATATATTCAGTGTAAATATTCGTGATGGTGAGCGCTTTCATCTCAAATATTATGCTAGTTATAGGTATAGTATTTCCAAGCGTATAAATATGTGTTATCGCCTGGCAGAAGAAAGAGACGTTCCTGAAGAAGGCTGTGGTCGAAATGTATGTCAATTCCTACGCACTGAGAGTTTCTTCAAAAGGTTGAAAGATCTCGTTAATAATGATGAATTGAATGCAAAAATTACTCAGCTTGTCCAACCACTATTTGAAATTTCATCACCTGAAACACATTTGGAAGCTTGGAAGATTTTAAAAGAGTTCAATGTTTTTCAAGTTTTATATCCATCTTGTGTTTGGCATCATAGGTGGAGACTTGCAGAGACTGGTGATGCACGGCAAAATGATCTTTATCTAAGAACTCGAGGTTAAACCCGTAGAGTATATGCCCGTGGTGAATGAACTTCCTTTAAATTTAACTCAATAAACTGAGTTGAGAGTTTAAATTGACCATTCCTCAAAAATATTCATTAAAGTTTGATAAATCCGAAAATTTACTCTGATTCGCAACTCGGTATTCACTCGTTGAGGAACTGAATGCTACTTGGTTGGATTCGATTCCTTTTAATGTTCAAACAAAATCGAACAAAAGATAAAATAAGAAAATAAACATTTTGTGCAGATCTTTTTCAGGAATATTAGGTGTTAGGTTTCTGATGGATACAAGTTCCAACCAAAATGGCATGACACTGGGATAGGGATTGTACCCAATTCAAGAGAAATATTGAATAAAGAAACTAGAAAAAGTTTTATTGAAAATGGTAAGGGAATGAAATTTAGTTTTGAAGTAACTTACAGTCCAATTATAATAAAGATTTAATTATTGCATCGCTCGCGTTACAATTTAATCCATGATAGTAATGACGATTCTTTACAAGCTCATTCGGATCGAGCCTCAATAAACTTCAGTATTTTTGAGAATATCGTGTTTACGAAGAAAAGCTAATGTTTTCTTAAGTTGTCTTTACAAATAGAGACAATTATTATCCTTCTGAAACACCATTTCAATAGATATCGATCGCCAACTGTGATCACTGACCATTCATTCATGAATTCATAAATTGTAAATATATGAAAGTTATTTTTCTACTGTTTCCGAGCTCAGATCATTTTAATATTGATATTTGTTATAATGGGAGAACAGAATAACAATGCTTATGAAAGTAAATTTTATTTTCAATTTGAAGTTTTTCCCTCTCATATCTGTAACACCATTATTCGCTTGAATCAGCGAACGAAAGCAAGTTGAACTTGAATAATTTATACATATGTATCTACACATATTTTAATAAAGACAAAACAGCAAATTCACACCAAAAATTGTGACCAACCTGAACAGATTCTGAGGAAAATTTTCAAATATAGAATATTGTAGAATGAAAGCTGTAACTAAACTACAATCAAGAAAAATAGCCAGAGTTTAATCAGAATTCAGGTTAAAGAGAAATACCCGTTTAAACAGGGTTAGGAAATGTAAAAACTGTAATTAAATCTTTTGACTTTGAGAGAAAATCTTTTTCGTATTCAAGTTGATGCTTTATTGTTGGATTAAAAGTACATGTAATACAGTCAATGGAATCAATTTATAGCAAAGGCTCGACATTAAACTCAAAGGAGAAATTTTTACCTTTGCTTGAAGAAATGTTTATTTTCGTCTAAAAGTGACAATAGCTAAAGATTTCAAATTTTAAATTCGTTAGTCTGCTGATGGCTTTTTCATTGAGTCCAAAGCCTTTTATTATCACTCGGAGTAGCAATCTAATTGTAAATCGAACAATGGAACCTTACTAAATGTCAGAATTTTTTTAATGTTAAACAATATTTATATCCAGTTTGTGTTTGGCTTCATAGGTGGAGAAGCTCAGTGAATGGTCAAGATGATCTTTATCTAAGAACTCGAGGTTAAATATCTGTATTCAACGAATGAAATTAATTTAATTTTTCTTAGTAAACACTTCTTTTTTAATTTGCATAATGAATCTCAATGAAATATTCATTTTACCTGGTATTCATTTCAGTACAAGGGGAATATGGGAAATAGTAAAGTACGTGATGATGAACAAAGCCTAATGAACTAAACTCAATTCTTCGAGAACACAAAAAGTGGACATTTGTTGATAGCAATTAAGAAATGTGCTGATTCATTCATTGATTTAAAATTTGTAGATATTGGAAATACAGCTTAGAAAATTAAGTTTCGTCCATCAAACAGTTGAAGATACGAATAAGTTTATCAGATTAGTTTTAATCGAAATCTCCATTGCTTATACAATTTATTTTTAGACTTATCAATTTAGATGCGTATCTTTAACTGTTGGATGGGCGAAACTTAATTTTCTAAGCTGTATATGTATTAAATATTTGAAAGTTGTTATTTATTGCTTCCCAGCTCAGACACATATTGACATTGATACTTGTTAAAATGCCTGAACAGAATAAAAATTCTGATGAAAGTGATTTATTTTCAATTTGAAGTTTTTCACTTGATACCTGCAATAACAAAATTATTTGCTTGAATCAGATAAGTTTTACTTGAATAACTTACATTACACAATCTACTTTAAAGTCAAAACAATGAGCTTTTTGCGCGCAAATTGTGACCAAACTGAACGTATTTTGGAGAAAATTACAAAATACCATGAGAGACATAATTGAACTGAATCACGAAAAATATACAATAATCAGAATTCAGGCTACTGAGGCTACTAAATACCCATAAACAGGGTTGGGGAAACAGGTAGAATCTGTAATTCAATCTATTGACTTCAGTATAAAAACTTTTTTCGCATTAAGGTTGATGTTAGTTTTGTTAGATTAGGAAACATATGAAACCGATTAATGTCGATTAAAGAGTCTGGTCAAGAAATATGGTCCCTCAACTGTGCAAAGAGATCAGGTTGAACTTGAAACCCAATTTTTTCAAAGATTTTCCATCAGAGAAACTTTTTTATAAAACTAATGAAATCAATCTCACAACCAACAAGAATCAACACTCACAGGCTTTTTTTTTGTCTCAAAATGAATTTTATCAAAGTGATAAAAGCGCAAAATTAGACCTTTCCAATTTCTTACATTTGTTAGTCTGCCGATGGCCTTTTCATTGAATCAAAACTCTTAAATTATCGCTCGAAGTGACAGATTAAACTGTAAATCCAAGTAAGCTGTTTTACATATTATATATGAGTCTATTGATAATTCCAATGAATGAGCAGCTTTTGCTTTTTTTCAGTAAACTCTGCTTTTCATTTACGAAATGAATTTCGATTCAATTTTACTTTATGTCGGTGCCTTTGATTAATTATTGATTGTTGATCATCGCTTTGGAAATACATCTTCAAGTGTCTTCTTCGTCACATTAAATTATAAACTTATTTTTTGAATAATCTAGAAATCACTTGATCCAAGGATTTCTTATGATTTTACTCTTAATAATAAAACAGCAATGAATCTATTAATACTTCGGGAATAAAAAACTTTTTGTTTCTAATACAGTACTTTCACGCATAAGTTGCATTTTGATAAGCGCCGTCTACTATAAGTAAGATGCTTAAGTATACCATTGGTAATTCAGTAGACGGCGCTTATCAAAATGCAACTTATGCGTTAAAGTACTGTATTAAGCTAAATATTTCAATTTGCAGACAAGGCTCACATTTCAACAATATTAGCGGATGAAGAACTGAAACCCATTAACATGTTGAAAGATGATCAGATCACATTTTATCAGTTTATATTGCTAGCAAAATTACTTGTTAATCTTGAAGTTAAGGCTGAAAAGCCATTTCGCAGAATATAGTGTATTCATATTTGTTTGAAAAGTGCGCTTTATCTCAGGTCGACACTTGTTTTCGTCCAATAATCTGCTTCTTTTTCAAGTCCAAACTTTTTTGAATTTTTGTCAGTTTTACTTAAACTTTCAGTTCAAACTAGACAGTGTTCAGTGTTTCGCAGTTCAGACACAATTTGATAACATTACTTGTTGAAATGGCAGAAATTAATAACAATTCTGATAAAAGTAAGTTTCATTTTTTTATCACTTCAAGATAATTCACTCTTTACCTTTCATTTTATTCAGTTACTTTCAAATTGAAGCATTTGAATAAATACCATGAGATAGTCATTGATCCAAATGATGACAGAAATGAATACAAACACCAACAATTATTTGAACAGGTAAAGCTCTGCATTTCATCTTTGAGCAATAACTCATCATTATCTATACATTTATAGCTGGAATCAATAACTGGAGTACCAAGTAGATATGCAGCTAAGATGCTTATAATTAAGAACGAAACTCCTTCCCCCCTTAATAATAATGGTCGGATTGTGTGGGGGATTTTCGTCAACTCAGAAGCGTAATACAACATTTCACTAATTGATATCAATTATCATGCGATGTATATTAATTAATTGCTTCTCAATTTTTTCTTAGCATGGTTCCTGAGTCACTAATGGAATACTATCCACATCTTATGTTCACAGCACACATCCAAGATATCTTCAGTGTAAATACCCGTAATGGTCAGCGTTTTTATCTTCAATATGGTGTTTGTTATGAGCATCAAATTTCCAAGCGTATAAGTATGTGTTATAAGCTAGTGGAAGAAAGAGACGTTCCTGAAGAAGGTTGCGTTGGAGGTGTATGTCAATATCAATGCACTGAAAGTTACTTTAGAAGGTTGAAAGATCTCGTTAGTAATGATGAAATGAATGCTAAAATTACTCAGCTTGTCCAGCCACTATTTGAATCGGGAAATTCAGCGGAAGTTTACAGGATTTTCAGAGATTTCAATATTAAACAATATTTATATCCATCTTGTGATGAGGGTTATAGGCGCCAACTTGCAGTGAATGGTCATGCACACCAAATTGATCTTTATCCAAGAACTCGAGGTTAAACCCGTCTGGTATCTACCTGTGGTGAATGAGCCTTGTTTCAATTTTACTCAATAAACTGAGTTGAGAGTTTAAACTTTACCATGGCTCAAAAATATTCATTAAAGTTGGATAAATCCGAATTTTTAGTGTGATTCGCAACTCGGTATTCACTGCGTTGAGGAACCGAATACTACCTAATACCGGTTGGATTCGTTTCGTGCAATGCTCCAACAAAATAAAACAAAAGATAAAATAGGAAAATAAACTATCGCTATATCGCTTGTATCGCTCGCGTTGCAACTTAATCGTTGATAGTAACCATGATAGAATTCTTTACAAGCTCATTTGAACCTGGTTTCACTGGTTAAACTTCAGTATCTTTGAGATCATCATGTAGAGACAATTATTGTCCTTCTGAAACACCATGGCAATAGATATCAATCGCAAAATGTGATCACTGATTATTCATTCATGAATTTATAAATTTTACTTATTTGAAAGTTAATCTTTACTGTTTCCGAGTTCAGATCATCAACTATGCAAAGAGATCAGGTTAAACTTGGAACTCAATTTTGTCAAAGATTTTCCATAAGAGAAAATTTTCTCTAACAACATTAAACAAATGAAATCAATTTTACAACCAACAAATAGTAATTAACAATCAACTCGAACCTTTGCTTAATGAAAGGCTTTTTTCTTCCATAAATGAATTTTATTAAAGTGATAAAAGTTCAAGATTAGACCAAAATTTTAATTTAATTTTCCTTTATGTCGATGCCTTTTATTAATTATTGATTGTTGATCATCACTTTGAAATATCTTCTCGTCACATTAAATTATTAACCTATTTGTTTAATAATCTTAAAATAACTTGATCCAAGGATTTCTTATGATTTTACTCTTAATAATCAAACAGCAATGAATCTACTTCGGAAATAAAAACTTTTTGTTTCTAATATTGAACTATTACATATTCCGATTTGAAGACAAAGCTCACATTTCAACAATATTAGTTGATGAAGAACTGAAACCCATTAAACTGTTGAAATGGTCAGATCACATTTTATCAGTTTTAATTGTTAGCACAAGTTAAGTTTGAAAAGCCATTGCACAAAATGGAATATTTTCATTTGAAAAGAGCGCTTTGACTCAGTTCGACACTTGTTTTCGCCCAACCATCTTTCAAGCCCAAACTTTTTTGAATTTTTGTCAGTTTTTTAAGCTTTAAGTTGAAACTAAACGCTTCTCTGAGTGTTGAGGTTTTGCCAGTATAAATACTTGTTAAAATGGAAGAACAGAATCACCATTCTGATAAAAGTAAGTTTCATTTTATTTATGATTTCAAGATAATTCACTTTTTCCTGTCATTTTATTTAGTTACTTTCAAATTGAAGCATTTGAATGAATACCATGAGATAGTTATTGATGCGAATAATGCCAGATATGAATACAAAGACCATTACCAACAAATATTCGAACAGGTAAATAAAGTTTGACATTTCATATTTGAACAATAACTCATCACTATCTTTACATTTATAGCTGGAATCAATTACTGGAGTACCAAGTAGATATACAACTACGGTGTATATACTTAGAATCTACGATCTTTCTTCCGTAGATAATACTGTTCGGTATATCTGGGGGATTTTTAACAACCAAAAAGCGTAATACAACATCTCACTAATTGATGTCATTTAGCATAAGATGTATATTTATTAATCGCTTCTCAACTTTTTCCATAGCTTCGCTCCTAATTCACAAATGGAATACTATCAACATCAAGATATCTTCAGTTTAAATATTCGTGATGGTCAGCGTTTTTATCTCCAGTATGGTGTTTCTTACGCGCATCGTATTTCCAAGCGTTTAAGTATATGTTATTACTTGGTAGAAGAAATCGACGTCCCTGAAGAAAGCTGCGGTGTAGGTGTATGTCAATCTAAATGCACTGAAAGTTACTTTAAAAGGTTGAAAGATCTCGTTAATAATGATAAATTGAATGCTAAAATTACTCAGCTTGTCCAGCCACTATTTGAATCGGAAAATTTAGCGGAAGCTTACAAGATTTTCAGAGAGTTCAATGTTAAACAATATTTATATCCAGTTTGTGATTTTCATCATAGGTGGAGACTTGCAGAGACTGGTCATGCACGGCAAGATAATCAATATCTAAGAACTCGAGGTTAAACCCGTATGGTAGCCTTGTTTCAATTTTAATCAATAAACTGAGTTTCATGTTCACAAAGAAAAGCTAATTAAGCTTTTCTAATTAGAATTCTAATAACTAATTCAGATATTGATATTACGTATATATATTATATATATTGATATACTGACAAAAGTGGACATTTTGATGATATCGATTGAGAGATGTGCTCATTCATTGATGGATTTAAAAATCGTAGATATTGGAAATATTATAATATTTGAAAGTTATTGTTTATTGTTTCCCAGCTCAGACACATATTCATATTGATACATGTTAAAATACCTGAACAGAATTAAAATTCTGATAGGTTTTATTTTCCATTTGAAGTTTTTCACTCGATACCTGCAATAACACAATTATTTGCTTGAAATAGATAAGTTGAACTCGAATAACTTACATTACACAATCTACTTTAAATTCAAAACAATGAGCTTATTGCGCGAAAATTGAAAGGACCAAGTGCCAAACTGAAAGGATTCTAAAGAAAATTTCTAAATAACATGAAAGACATAATTGAACGAATCACGAAAAATATACAATAATCTGAACTCGGGCTATTGAGAAATACGCGTAAACAGCGTTGAAAAAAACGTAGAATCTTTAATTCAATCTATTGACTTTGGGATAAAAACTTTTTTCGTACTAAGGTTGATGGTTTGTTAGATTAGGAAAACATATGAAACCGATGAATGTCGATTAAAGAGTCTGGTCAAGAAATATTGTCCATCAACTGTGCATGGAGATCAGGTTAAACTTGAAGCTCAATTTTTTCAAAGATTTTCCATCAGATAAACTTTTTTATAAAACTAATGAAATCAATTTCACAAACCACCAAAGAATTCAACTCAACGCAAAGGCGAAATTCACCTTTGCGCAAGAAAGGTTTTTTCCGTCCCAAAATGAATTTCATCAAAGTGATAAAAGCTCAGGATTAGACCTTTTCAGTTTCTTACATTTATTACTCTGCCGATGGCCTTTTCCTTGAGTTCCAACTCTTTAATTATCAATCGAAGTGGCAGATTAAACTGTGAATCTAAGTAAACTGTTTTACATATATTAATATGAATCTATTGATACGAGGTGTTCAAACAAGCAGGTTAAATTTTGTGGCTGTATATCTCGAAAAATAGGCAGATCTTTTTCCGAAATATTAGGCTATAAAAAGTAATGTTTGCATTGATAGATACAAGTTTCAACCAAAATGACACGGCCCTGGAATAGAGATTGTACACAATTCAAGAGAAATGTTGAATGAAGAAATTAGAAAAAGTTTAATTGAGAATGGAAAGGGAGTGAAATTCAGTTTTGAAGCCACTCACAGACCTATTATAATACATGTGGAATTATTGCGGGGTATTACATATTCCAATTTGAAGACAAAGCTCACATTTCAACAATATTAGTTGATGAAGAACTGAAACCCATTAAACTGTTGAAAGATGATTAGATCACATTTTATCTGTTTTGATTGTTAGCACATGTTACTTGTTAATATTGTGAGAAACTTAGATAAATTTTGTCCACTTAAGTGGTCTTAATCTTAAGAGTTAATCGGCATTTTACAATATTGGAGTTAGGGTTGAAAAGCCATTTCCAAAGCCAATGTAAGGTACGTATGACGAGTAATGTTTTGGATTAATTTTTCAAAATTGAATAGCGACAGTTAGACTTACAGGCACCATTGATTCGGTTCCTTTTATTATATTATATTATATAATATTATTTCAACAAAATAGAAAAAAGACAAAATAATCAAAAAATGAACATAAGTTTAGAACTTTTCTCTGAAAAATTAGGTTATAAAAGTAATGTTTGTAACTCGCTTAACAATTGTGAATGAAACTACAGCATCTTTGAGACCATCATGTTCACGAAGAAAAGACAATATTTTGATGAGTTCGGTTTCATAAATAAAGATAGTTTGTCCTTCTGAAACACCATCGCAATAGATAACAATACGCTCGGGTAAAACAATGAATTGAGAAAACGGTAAATAAATATTAATAACAATCCGAATGTCATAGACAAGAAGATTGAGAAAACTACGATTTTGATTTTGCGTTTGTGCTACAAACAAAAGCTTTAATAGTACCATCTCTTTTAGATGTGTCTAATAAGTATTAAAACCAAACATCCATTTTGATGGACATTTGAAGCACAAGTTTAGTAGCAATTGACAGCTGTCGTTTATTCAAAACTTTAAGAGTTGCAACTCGAGATAAACGAAACTGATCACAGTAAAAATAATAGCAATGTATCGCTCTTTATGTTGTTTAGGCACAACGATATGAACCATTCTAGCCATACTTATCATTTTTGAAATAAATTAATTTTCGATCATTTTCTACCCACAAAAATTTATTAGTAGCACCGATTTTTTGTAATCCATATCATTCTTCATAGTCTTCTGTAATAGAAATTCATATAAACAGCTCGGGTACGCGGACAATATCTCTTTCAAGTCTCCAAGATATTGTTTCTCAGTTGGCTCAACCAAAAAGAGAAGTTGATTAAAATCCTTTATTTCAATCTTATATTGATCTTTGTAATAATCCTTCAATGAAACTGAGGTACCTTGTTTATCAAAGCAATAGATTACTGGATTGGTATTGAAAATATTAATAAAAGCATTAGACTCGTATCTTAGAAAGTCCTTTTAGTAAAATAAACATAACAATTGATTTTGACCGTTTTGTCTGTCTTGTTGCTAAAGCTGCTTTAATAAGTCGAGGGGTGAATCTTTTCTATTGATTTATGAAAAAAACTGAAAACTGTCATTGATTCCATCATGGGCATTGATGATAGTCATTAAACCAGAACAAACTTTCAAAATTCAAATCTTGGTTGGGTTCGTTTCCTTTTATTATTTCAATAAAATGAACAAAAGATAAAATAAGAAAATTTGGGATTCCCATAAATCATCGATGATATTGATTGAAAAAACGACATTGGTGTACAGTGAAATACAAGATAATGACAGTAAACTTGTCAATGGTCCCAATCAAGGACGGGCTAAGAAAAATTTTTTCAATAAGCTGCCCAGCGAATAGTACGAATAACTTATTCGGGATAAGCTAAACCAAGTTACTGTCATTAATTGGCATTTTACGACTTTTTTGATTTTTTGTCTGCTTTACTTAAGCTTAGAGTCCAAATTAAACTCTTTTCCGCGTTTTCAGTGTTTGCCAATATCGATACTTGTTGAAATGGGAGAACAAAATAACAATTCTGATAAAAGTAAGTTTCATCTATTTATGATTTCAAGATAATTCATTCTTTTCCATCCATTTTACTCAGTTAAATTCAAAGTGAAGCATTTAAATGAATACCATGAGATAGTTATTGATCGGAATGATGAAAGATATGAACCCAAACACCAACATCAACAATTATTTGAACAGGTAAGTAAAGTCTCGTATTTCATCTTTGAACAATAACTCATCATTATCTATGCATTCATAGTTGGAATCAATAACAGGAGTACCAAGTACCATGAGATACACAACGCGTGCTTACATTGATCAAAGTTACATCCATTGGCCTTCTCCTATCGATCCTGTTCGGTACCGATTCTGGTTTATCAACCAAAATGCGTAATGTTACATTTCACTATTTAATCATTCATCATAAATGTATATTAATTACTCGCTTCTCAACCTTTTTCATAGCTTTGCTCCTGATAAACTTAGGCGATACCCTAGACAACATGATATCTTAAGTCTGCATTTTCGTGATGGTGAGCGCTTTGATCTCGATTATGGACTTTCTTATGAACATTATAGATCTAAACATTTAAGTATGGTTTATACGCTATTAAGAAGAAAATGATGTCCCTGAAGAAGGTTGCGGATTATATTAACAATATTTATAACAATATTATTTTAACAATAACAATATTTGCATATTAAATGTGATCTAGAACTCGAGGCTAAATATATGTATTTAACCAATCAACTGAATGTAATTTTTCTTAGTAAACATTTGACTTTTAATTTGCATCATGAATCTGAAAATTTTCATTACTGTCTTTTTATAACAAATATTGGAAATAGTAAAGTATATGATGATGAATGAAATCTAATGAACGAAACGTCATTCATCGAAAATTAAAAAGTGGACGTCTTTTGATAGAGATTGACAAATCGGATTTTTCATTCACGGATGCAAAAATGGTAAAAATACAAAAGTGTAATGTAATTGTAATTGTTATCAGACGACCGATTATAATCACGATCCATTTATTGCAGAAAATCCAATCTGAATGCTTATAGTTGCATGGCAATTAACCCTTTGCATCGCTTTTGTACCAATCGACTATATTCAGGGACAGCATCTGCAACCGATACATTCATGATGACGAGATCTTGGTTTTGAGCTATCACCCAGTTTACGATTCCAATGGAGTCGATAATTATCTTTTTTGTTTTTATGAATTAACAAATGAAAACATGACTCGTGAAGGAGTTTGTTCCATGAATGGTCGCTACTGTCCACATATTCAGTCTAGAACTGAACTTTCAACAAAGTAAAATACGTCTTTTCAGATGAATTTCAATCAAAAATATTGATCGTATTGGCTCATCAAATATTTTTCATGTATCGGGATTTCTCATGGAATTAAATTTACAAAAATATTTCTCATCAGGTTGTACAGAAACCCTTAGACGCTGGCCACTGCAATTTAGCCAAAGATTTTATCTTTATCTGAGAAATCGTGGTTAAAATCTAATTAATGATTTGTTTATTTAAATAAATTTTCATTTCATTTTTCAGTCAACTATTATTCTTAAAAACAACGCTTGGTTCATGTCATAACTCTTCTAAATTTTGATGAACTAAGCAGGAAAAATAAACTTGCTGATTTGCTACCAAAGATTCTCTAAAAGTCTAATACATGATAACAAAAAATTTGATAACAAACTTATTTAGGGATCAGAATCTAAAGAAAAATTCTTGGAGTTTCCTATTTATTATTATACAGTTGATTGCATAGAGTTT